AGCGGGTGGAAGGCTGAGGACGGCGGAGCGGGCACTGCAGGTGTCGGGGCGAGATGCGACGGCGGGGACTTGCACGACGTGCGCACTTGCAAGCGCGGTGCCAGGCGCACTCTTGCCAGCGCGCTGAGACGACAAGCCGGGATGGTCACTGTCAGGTCACGTGATGGGCTCATTCGCGTTGAATCTCCTAAGTCCGTGTTGGCTACTGTATCTCTATGTCATAGCAATCCCAAAGTATATAGAGATACATTTCAGTTCATGAGGCTGTCAATAGTAAATGAATAGGACATTAGAGAAATCAACCACCTGAGACTAAACCATTATAATAGTGTTTCCCAGCTATCACTTCAGTGATCTACAGGGTACATAACTATGTTGTTGGCTACAGAGATATCTGGCTTTTCAGATGTACATGCAGGATGTGTATATAAGCTAGGGGTAGATGGGATGAACTGATATCACAGAGGGAGCCATGCAAGGATGAGGTGTCAGCAGTCAAGTACCAAACCCCAACTCCAATACTCACACCTAGATATGGTCTCTAACTTCTCCTTGTACATGGACCAGTGCTAATATGATTTACACTGCAACAACCTTCTATGTCAATTGTTTCAAGCCCTCTTGTACCTACTCTCTAAATGGTCAGTCATCTGGCATGATTTAACAGCTTTATGTGATTTTTTGGCCTTTTTGTGAAATTTTAATTGAATATAGTCATATTATGAACTATGTATTCCTATGTGTAGAGATTTGCCAGAGGGGGCATTTCCTGATGTACGATATTTCGATGTGACGGTAGGCATGACTCACAATTGCGCGATAGGCAACCTGTTCTTTAAACGACGCCCTCTGCATGGGTTTGCGCTGCAGGTGAAGGGCGCCTTTATGGCACGCATGTGAGCCCCTTACCATGCTTCCCTCACAGCTCGGTACCGACTCAGTCGCACCTCGTGTAGCTGTAAAAGCATTTGTCTTGGTAAGTTCCAATCCTGTACGCTTACACCAGCCCCTCAGACGAGTGCGATAGTGGGATACAATTCAAGATCCGACGCTTTAAGAGAGAAGATCATCCGTGCCCTCAATGTCTTCCACATAAATCGCGCACTGGCAGTTCCGTTTTGCAACCAGTGAGCATTATTTGCCATATATATACACTATCTTTACGCTTACTTTCATCAGGTACTACCGTGCAAGAAATTGGCAAGACCTGGCACGAACCGTTTGTCAAATACCTTCTACACCGCTAGACGGCTTGGTGCAGCTGTTCCACTCAAGCCGCGACGTGGCTGGGAACCCACCTCAGCGTGGCGTCCGGCGAGTGATATATAGTACCTTCCCGGAAATTTCGGAGCTGCTGGTCATGGAATCAACGACTGGAAAGGCGCCGATCCTCCGCGGAGAAGCAACGCCTTTCATCCCCAACTCAGGGTCTCTCCGGACCATGGTAGAGAAGATCCACGCGCCCGAGGAGCAGAAGTCAGACGATTCTCAAGTGCATGACGAGAAAAATGAGGCCATGAACGTGGAGGAAGAAGTCGACGAGCACGACGAATCCCCAGAGGATCCTGATGTCGACGCGGAACCCATTGCTGCCCGCTTCAGTGGCAACACGAAGGATTCGGACAGGGACATGGTCGAAGAACCGTCTGAAGACGAATTGGCTGCAGCACGGAAGTTGCAAGCAATCTATCGTCGCCACTTACACCATCGCCGACAGGAACAGACCACCGCCGAACAGATGAGGTCGACGATTTTTGTCCAGTGTCTCGAACAGAGCCGCAAGATCGATTGGCCGTACACGTACTATCGTTGTCTATTCCTGGGGCCGTTGCCCCATCTGCTTATCTGCCTAAAGAAGATGCTAGTTTGGGCAGATGACTTGAAGAAGAGGGTCAAGTCGAAGCGGGAGGGCAAGGATCATAAGGAGTACGACGACCTCTTCGAGCGGCTGACGCAGATCAAGTGAGCGCCTTCTGCACTTGTCCTCGATTCGAGTCCCTGACTTCCATTCTCCCAGCAATTTCCGCAAAGCGGCACAGCGATTGCAGGACACCCTCAAGCCCGAATCGCCATTGCATCAGCAACGCGACTCCGTGAAGCTGAAGGAATTCGTCCTGGAGGTCGAGGCGCTTGCCACATCGACACTGCCCGAGAGCAGTATGGTGGAGATCCGTCGCGATCTCAACATCGCGGTGAAGTGCATTGTCACGCCGCCAAAGCCACCGTCGGCTAAACCAGAGAAGCCGGACGTTCAGATTGACAATGCGTATGATCTTTACAACGAAACGCACGGTCGTTACGACGGAGATTAGCCCTAGCATTTCCCAGCGTACTTCAAGCAACGGAACTAGTCGAGACTGATATAGTACGACTGTGTATTCGCTTTGTCTGTCGGTGTTGAACACTATGACTGGCTGTAATTCATCGACCATATCCCTAAGCATGGACGGCTACAGGTCGAACTTCCGAAAGGACGAGTGATTCAACGCTAACAGATTGGTAGCCGACGGCAGCCACGACCGCGATATCAATCCTCTCCGATGCGGACGACCAGCTTCTCCCCACTGACGGCCCCGTTCGCGAGCGAATCGATCGCGTTCTGGAGGCGCTCTAGAGGCGTGGATCCTTCGACGACGCGGATCTTGTTCGGTTTGATGAGGCCCTTCTCGAGCAACGCGGGCAGCAGCTCCGGCTGCAGGTGATCGCGGAACCACTCGTTCTTTTGGGGAGACATATCCAAGTCAGCGTCTCGATCAAAGCGGTGTAAGCAAAACGCGGGAGAGCGTCGGTACCTTCTCGTAAAAGTGGGTGCGGACGAGGCGGACGTGGACGCCGGGGGCGAACGCGCCCTCGTCGAGCTCGCTGCCCACGTTGTTGGCCGCGCGTCCGCCGTAGCGAATGGGGAGCAGGATCGCGACCCGGGCGCCGGGCCGGGCCAGCGGGGAGTACTTGGCGATCGTCTCCTGCCGGTCGCCTATCGCGTCGAGCACGTAGTCGACGGGGCCGCCGACGTCTTCGAGGACGGTGGGCGCGGTGTAGTCCACCGCGCGAGAGGCGCCGAGCGCGAGGAGGTCGGCGTGGTGTCGCGCCGAGGATGCGGTGATGACGTTTGTGTATCCACTTAGGGCGAGGAGCTGCGATGGTCGCGGTTTAGTTATGCACCCGGGTTGATGGGGGGATCGTTTGGTGAGGGGGAGCGTACCTGGATGGCGTATTGGCCCACGCTGGAGGATCCGCCCCAGACGAGGATTCGCTTTGATTTCACGTCGGCGGGGAGGTCGAGCGGCTTGCCGGAGGCGTCGCGGATGATGTCGAGGCCGAGGTCGGCCGTGATCGTGTGGAAGACCGTGACGAGGTTGGTGGGGACTGTGACGGCGGCCACGGGATCGACGTTGGCTGGCAGCTGTTGTGCAGGAGGGAGGGAGGAAGGGAGAGATCAGTTTCGCGACGTTCGTTCTTGTTCATTGGGAGATAGCGCGCTTGCCTTGGCGATCCGGTTTGCGGGAATGAGCGCGTACTGCTGCGAGCCGCGACCTTCGTTAGGGCCGAAGGTGAAGGACAGAACCTGATCGTTTGATCGGGGCTTCCGGTTTTCCCGAAACAAGGAAATCGCGCATATATGCTCACCTTGTCTCCCTTGGCGACGTGCTTCACGTGTTCTCCGACCTCGGCCGCGACGCCGTACAGGTTGTCCGCCGGGACGAGCGGGTATTCCGCCGCGAGCCCGAAGTGGCCTTGCCAGACGTCGAGCGGGGTGGGGGAGACGTAGACGACGCGGACGAGGACGTCGTCCGGGCCGACGGCGGGGGTGGGGACCTGGACGGCGGTAAGCTTCGCGCCTTGGGACGGGAAGGCGTATCCCGTGTGCGTTTTGGACATGGTGTGCTAGTAGTTTATCGAGTTGCGGTGGTGCTTGCGCTGGGAGTTTGGGTTCGGGTCGGGTGTGTGGTCGTCGAGACGGGCATCGCGCGCGAAGGCTAAAATAACCGTCGGTGGTCTACTGTGGAAGGTGAGGACCGCCCGTCCTGGGAGCTCAGGATGGCGTCAACGCTCACCAAGAACGGTCGTTGGCTTAGTATGCTGAGTAAGGCGCCCAATAAGCCATCGATCACCTGGGGCGTGGATGGCGAGATGAACGGGCACGGAGGAGCGTCGGTAGTGGCAAGTTGCATGCTTTTTTTTGCGATTGTTCTCCAATCTTCCGTTGAACAGGGTTGTTGGTCGAACGTTGGAAAAGTCCGACGCCATTGGGGCAGGATGCAGCGAACGCGAAAGGAGCTTCCGTATCTCGTTTGCTAGCAGGGCGTCGCTCAGACCGGGGATCCGATCCAGCAAATCGAGTCCTATTATGTAGCTTGGCAGGCGAAGTTGTGACCGAGGGACGAGCAGCATCGTAGGCTCTGTCGAGGCAAAGGCCGTGTTGGACGAATGTTCAGGAGGCCGGGCCGCGTGAGCCTGAGTTCCAGCTCAGGTACTGTAGCTCTGTTGTATATGCTAGCCTAGCTCCCTCATATGCATCTCTCGTATGTATCAGCGTTTGTCTTTATATGGTAGCATACAGCATAGCTAAGTGGTTACCGGTCGCTACCAAAACGGCCCGTGAACCCGAGAGGTGGGTGGGGGGAATACGTGTTAACCCTGCTAGGGCCAGTGCACGCAGGTCCACATGCACATTTCGTACTTACTTTGTTGCAGATTGGCATGCAATGGTCGAAGCTCGCCGCGGGAGTAAGAGAGAGGATCGTAGCGTATAGATCGTCGAAAGGAGGGGCCAGGAACGTCTTTGCGATGACGTGCGAATTGGGCGATCCACGTGAGGTATATACATATGGGCCTTGCAAGGCCCAGGGCCAGGATATTGCCCTTGCCCTTGAGCTTGAGCTTGAGCTTAGGTTGCCGTTCGGCGGAGTATGTGTGTTCATGCAACCGACCAGGGCGGCGGTAAGTGGGGCAAGGTACTGTACAGCGGCGCGCGGGGCTGCGGGCGTCCCCGGAGCCGTGCCGATGATCCCATGCAGATCGGGTTTCGGGGTCGGGAGGCAATCGAGTTGGTCGCCGAGGTCGCGCACAGCTTTTGGGGGGGAGGGCCGAAGGAGGCCAGAGCTTGAGCTTGAGCCTTCTTCGATGATGGCCGCCAACCCCCGTTTTTGGGGAGTTGGAAGGTTCTGAGGAGCGTGTTCTAGAAAGATTTGGCGTTTGGTGAGCTTCGGTCGGTCGAGCGTCGTAAGCGGGGGGGAGCACGCCGCACGCGGAAGATGCGCTGGGAGATCAGGGAGTTTGTCAGTGAGTACTAGGTAGTCTGGGCGTTATGTCTCCGTGTTCCTGTCGGTGGGGAGGTATCGGATCTTCCGCGGGCATAGCGATGCGTCCGGGCGAACCGTCGTGAAGCTCTGGGCAAAGTAATGTCCATGTGTATGTCGTCAGGCCGCTGAGCTGTACTTGAGGCGTATCATCTTCCGAGCGGCGATGAGCCGGCCGAGCGCAGTAGCTTTGGACCGATAGTAGTAACTTCAGTATCGTCAGCCAGAAGCGGGCAGTCCACGAGAGTTCGTTCGTTCGGTATGAAGACCGAGGTTCCTGGAGGGTCATATACCGCTGGTCATACCGCTGAGCCACGGCGGTGTCCGGGATGTTTCCTCCGAGCACAGCTTGCGCAGAGACGGGGCGATCTGCCGACGAGTTTGTGTACTGTATGGATGGCAGTTGACGGTGAAAGAAGGAAAAGGATTTTTTTTTAAAAAAGCTGCGCCAAATTCGTTTCGGAGGGGGGCCGAGCGTTGGATCGGAGCGCGAGAAGGCAGGGTGATTGGATTGGACCACCGGAACGGGACCTACTTACACGGCGGCTCTCAAAAGTCCAAAGCGGGACGAAAGACTGGATCGCCCGACGAGCGCGGAATCTTTCGAGTCGTCGAGGCCCAGGTCACAGGAGGAGGAGGTGGATTAGCCATGTATATACGTCAACGCGAAGCTGGGATGATGTCGTTTGTCGTGGTTATGTCGGGGGTGCCTGCCGTGCCGGTCCGTGCACGGGTGAAAACAGTAGTGGCGATAAGGCCGAGCTGTAGGATCGTCGAGGCTCAAGTACAACCCCCTGTCTCCGGTGTGCCGAGCGTAGGATTGGGGCGCCACGAGCCCCTTGGCCCCGTCGTGGAGAGCGGAGAAGGATAAGTATGGTTTGATGGGAGAAGGTTCAAGACAGGGGGAAGACCCCTGGACCCCTTGAGCGCGGACCGGAGAGCGGTGCTCGACGGGCGCGTCCCGCGACGGTCGCTGGAGCCATTTGCAGTAGGCAACAGATCAGACATCCGCCGGCGGCGGCGGATGCAATAGTGAGCTCCGGGTTCGTGGCGAACACGTTCGTTCCCGGTGAGATCGTCCTTGACATGAGAGGTCAGGAGGGTCAGGTATGATAAGAATCGGAGTGGGTTGATTACTTCCGAGAACAAAGCGTGGGAGGATCTTGCATTGACCGTGGGAGCGCGATGCCGCCTTCCGTCCAGAGCGCGGGTGCTGGTCGAGGGGATGCAAACGCTGCGCCAATCGCTCTTTGACGGAGGGAGGTTTGGTGCTCGGGAAGGGAAGGGAAGACAAGGCAAGTGATATCCCCGGATACATCGAGGCGCCAGCAACATGATCGTCGTATCAAAAGAGATGGCGGATAGAAGCCGTCCTGCAAGGTCGTCGGATAACGATCGCGTCTCGTTGGTTGGGGGCCGATAACAGGGGGGGGAGGGCGCATTTGATGCGGGTTTCGCGGCGCAGCTTGGGGTTATTTTGTTGCTTTTCGGTTTTTGTAGCCAACCCGTGCAAAAAGAAAAACGACGAGGGCTGAATCAGCGGGCCCACCTGAACTTAGGGGCGGTCTTTGTCAGCCGGTAGGGGCGAGCCAGATCCGCTGCTGCCGACGCTTGCGTCTGTTCCCTCATCGCGGCGGCAGACTGTTCCCTCCCTCTGTGACGAACGCTCCCGCCTCCGCACTCTGACTCCTCGCCGCCGCCACCCAATCACAAGTACAAGACCCGCCCGCATCGCGTCGCCCCCAACTTTTCCGCCGCCCCCAGCCCTTTCGCCCCCTCCTTGCTGACCGCCCGCCTCCTTGCTCGGTCAGCTGCCATCGGCCGCCTCAGTCATCCCCGCCCGCCCATCCCCAAGCAGCCCCCAGCACCCCCGAAACGATGCAGGCCTTCGGCAACACGCCGCTCTGGGACCTCGCCCAGCCGTCCCACTACTCGTCCATCTCCGACGACGACTTCCTCGCCCTCCTCTCCAAGCAGTTCCCCGGCTCCATCCCGGACCTCACCCCCAACCCCACCGGCAGCAACAACGACGGCGACACCAGCCCGTCGACCTTCGCCTTCCCCACCTCGTCCTCGGACGCCCCGCCGACGCCCGTCGACGGCATCAATCCGCAGGCGCTCAGCCGCGCGCCGCTCGTCCCGACCGATGCGACTCCGCCCTTGACGGACGACAGCAGCCCGAGCCCGCCGAGCGTCACCGACGAGTCGCGCTCGCGCCGCACGTCGATGGTCGGCGGGGCTGACCACGCCGACGGACAGCACCTCAAGCGCAAGGCGAGCGAGGAGGAGGTCGCCGGCGAGCCGACGCACAAGTCGCAGCACTCTGGTGCGTAGAGAAGCCCACTCCCCCCCCCCTCTCTCCTCGCTGCTGCTTGGCGTTCGAGGTATCGCGGTACGTGATCGTTGACGTTTGTGTTCTGCGTGGGCGACAGAGTCGAGAAAGGCGTCGAGCTCTTCGGTGGCCAACAGCCGGCGCAAGTCGACAGGGGCGCACGAGAAGGACGAGTCCCGCCTCTTGCGGCGCAAGGAGCAAAACCGAGCCGCCCAGCGCGCCTTCCGCGAGCGCAAAGAAAAGCATGTTAAAGACGTGCGTCTACTTCCCGGCTTTTACATGTGCGAAACAATTTATTGACGACGGCGATATGTGCACAGTTGGAAGACAAGGTGGCGGAGCTCGAAGCCCAAAATCGGGCGGCGCAGTCCGAGAACGAGAACCTGCGCGACCTGCTCCAGCGCCTGCAGACCGAGAACCAGACGCTCAAGCAGACCGCTTTTACCTTCTCCGTCCCCCACGGCGTCGCCGGGCCTGGTCCCACCACGCAATCCAACATGGCCCAGCAGCAGCAGCAGCAGCAAGGCAACAACGCCTCCAACACCGTCAACCACCTCTTCTCCTCGACGCCGCTCGTGCACCAGCCGCCTCAGCAGCAACACCCGACGACGAACGACGACATCGACTGGAACTCGCTCACCGCGTTCGATCCGAGCGTGCTCGCGATGCTCGACGAACCGAGCGATCCGCAGAGCATGAACGTCGACTATCCCGGACCCACGACGGGCGGCGTCGATAGCGCCAAGTCGCCGTACCGGACGATCGTGTCCAACCCGATGTTCATGTCGTTCGCGGACCCGAATCCGATGTACGATCAGTTCTGGTCCGCGCAAGCGATGCACGCCTCTGGCTCGAGCTCGTCCGCCTCCTCGTCCTCCCAACAACAACAACAGCAGCAGCAGCAGCAGCATAACGGCCAACATCAGCAGCAGCACTCGTCGTCGGCGTGGTCCCCGCCTGCGGCGTCCGGCTCCACCTGGAGCCCGCCGTTTACGCTGAGCAGCGACCCGAACGCGCTGGACGATATCTTTGGGAGCGGGAACTACACGAGCACCGCGAGCCCGGTCGACTTTGGCAGCTTCATGTCGTCGGCGGCGTCGGCCTCGCCCGCCAACTCGCTCAGCCCCGTCTCGCATCGCCACAACAGCGGGCAGTCGATCGTCGGCGTCTCCACGGCCACGACGACGCCCGCTTCGTCGTCCTCCTCCTCGTCCTCGTCCTCGTCGGGCGTACCCACTCCCGCGGCGGCGAACTCGCCGGGCTCGTGCGCGACCGAGAGCGGGGAGTGTCCGAAGACGAAGGCGGAGCTGGCGAAGGCCGTCGCTAAGGACGGCGGATCGCCGTTTACGGATACGACCCCGGCGGGCGCTTCGCCCAAGCCGACGATCAGCAAGGCGAAGGAGGGCGGGAGCGACGAGACGCATATATTCTGCGCGGGAAGCAATTTCCCCAAGGTGCCGCAGAGCGCGGATAATATCGAGGTGTTGGCGGCGTGGCGGAGTATCACGAGTAATCCCAAGTTTAAGGTGAGAGTTTACCCCCCCCCCCCTTCCCCCCTTTTCTTCTTGTGTTTTCGTTCGGAAGGAGCTGACGACTTTTTTTTTTGATAACTCAGGATCTGGATATCAACGAGCTGTGCACGGAGTTTACGAGCAAGGCCAAGTGCGACGGGACGAAGGTCGTGCTCGAGCCGAGCGGGGTGAACCATATCATCGAGAAGCTGAGTGCCAAGGCGGCGCAAAAATAGAGAGAGAGAGCGCGTGTTTTTCCTACGCGGATACGTCAGCGATGGTAGGACGGGGCAGGGAAAGGGGGACGAGCAGCGCTGCTGCGACTCCTCCCGCGAATAGAGGAGGGAGGAGCGGCTTCCGCCCCGGCGCGATGGCGAACGGCAAGAGCAAGAGCGCTCGTCGCCGGTGGTGTGGCGCGCAGGGACGCTTGCCATGGGCTGGATCGGCCTTGACCGGGACCTCCCCGACGCGTATACGCCGACGGGGTTTTTCTTCTCTCCTGATGCGAACGTTCAGGAGGCTCCCTCGGTTTGCCGCCTTCGTCTTCGTTTGTCGCTGTCGTTTCGTTGTTGTCGTCGTTTGTTTTCCCCCCTTGGGGTTTTGGTTTTTTGTACGCATGTGTAGTCGACTGGGTTTGTTTCCGTGGAGGTTTCTGCTCGTAACCTCGCTCCTCGTCGTACCTGCCGGCACTTATCCTAACAAAACTCACTCACGCACGCACACCTACATTTTTTCTTTTCTATACTCGTACGCACTATTACCGTAGTTTCGGCATGGACGGACACAGATCGATGCGTTCCTGCTGCGTTGACCCTGGCCCCCCCTTTCCGCCTTGCCACCTTTCTCTCTCTCTCTATTCTTATCTCTCCTTGATTGCTCAGCTTCTTGTTCGTTCCGACACGCCTGACAGCTCTGCACCATATATCGATATCGTTACGTATGTTTCGTTCCGTAACCCCAAATGTATACTACGTTCTCTGACTTCCGTGTCGCCTCGTGGAATATATGCGTACAAAACATGTCTGTTGGCGTGGCTTGGATCAGTGCTCGTCCGTACGCGACCCTATCTCTCCTTCGGTCCATCTATCATTAATGGGTCTCGTCTTGCTCATCCTACCGCGACGGAGACCGGGGAGACGGAAGATAAATACCGGTTCGCGATCTCCGTGCGGCGCGCGCCTCTTTCTCATGTCGCGACGTAAAATTAAAAAAAACGAAAGTCGGTCATGCGCCCGGGTTGTACGGCTCGACGAGCATCCGGCTGAACTCCTTGAGCTTGGCCGGTCCGCGGACCTCCTCGGTGAGGAGCGGGAGCTGGACGATGTGGAAGAACTCGTCGTAGAGCTCGTGCGCCTCGTTCAGGTACTTTTGCTGCATCTTGTGCCGGACCTGGCAGTGCTCGCAGTTGGAGCCGGGTTTGGGGAAGAGGAGCTGGTTGACGACGATGTTGTGCGTGTCGATCTCGTACGCGGTCAGCTCTTGCACGAGCCGCTCGGTTTCGTAGAGGGAGAGGAACTCGGAGATGCAGACGCAGACGAAGGTCGTTTTTTCCTGCAGATCGACGTTTTTGTTGTAAGTCCCTCTCGCGAGATTCCAAGGAGAACGAGGGGGGGAGAGAAGGGAAAAGGGGAAAAAAAATGAAATGGGAAAACACGACGGACCGGGTCCTTGAACTGGGTGTTGACCTCGGTGATGACGCTCCGCATGCTCTCGAGCTTGGCGAACATGTCTTCGGTGGAGCCCATCCCGCCGCCCATGAGCGACGACATTTGGTTGATCATGGGCCCGATCCGCCCGCTTAACGTCGAGAGCTTGCCGAGCGCCTTCTCGAGCACGGTCGGGAAGGATAGGAAGCGGAGCGTGTGCCCCGTGGGCGCAGTATCGAACACGATCACGGAGTATTCCATCGATTTGACGTGTCTGAAGACGACGCAGGGTTCAGTCGCAAGAGACGAAAGGGGGGAAGGGGAGGGGAGGGCACGAACTTCATGATTTCGGCGAAGGACATGGCTTCGTCCACACCCGGGATGGCGAATGCTAGGTCCTGCATCATGGTGCCCATCATACCGTTGTCGTCCGCTGAACACGGGGCCTCAGGACGAATACGAGGTTGTGACGGGACTTCCGGACGTACACTGCTCGACCATCTCTTGGATCGCGCTGGTCGGGTCGATCTCCATCGCGAACAGGTTGTCAAAGCCGTTCACCTTCGTCGCATCCTTCGAGAACTTCTGGCCAAACGCGTCGGACAGGTTGTGTGCGGGATCCGTTGACTTTTTGCCGCGGACGTTGTGAGCACGATCCGACTTCGGGTATTATCGGGAACGTATAACTCACGATCAGGAGGACGGACTCTCTGTTCTGCGCGAGCTGGATGGCAAGCGAGCATGACGTTGTTGTCTTTCCTACCCATTACCGGGTCAGGCGTCCATCACATTTTATCTCGCAAGAGAAAGGGCATCATGTCTCACCGACACCACCCTTTCCACCTGCGAAGGTGTAAGACGTAGGAGAGAGCACGGATTGAGATGCTACGTGCCGCAAAAGATCCACTTGAGCGACTTCTGATCCAAGATGTTCTGCAACGTCGGCTCCAATGTTTCGGCCATCTCCGTCGTTTCGAAGGGCGGAGAGAGAAAATGGAGGGAGAACGGGAGAAAGATACGATGAAGGAGAGTATGAGACCGAGTTATAGGTACACGTCTGCTCGCGCGTATACGCAGCATCGCGTCTCGATCTTCTCCACGACCTTCTCATTGATTCCCCTTCCTTCTCCGATCATCCAGCATGGCGGAGAAACCTCAAATCTCGTTCAGAGGTACGTCCAGCCCGACCGACTGCTCTTGCGAAGTGGGATGCTCATATCTTTGACGCGAAGCTTTACAGCTGGCGAATGAGCAGCGCAGCGCATACGGATTGCGGTCCAATGACTTTGCGAGATATCGGTATGCAGCATCTACATAGTACTGCCGATGCTCGCAGTTTTGAGCATTGTGCAGGAAGCATTGCGCCAATCGTACCCATCGGTTGAGGGCGACTCTGAAGATTACGCATGGCAAAGGACGCGAATTCAAGAAGACGCCCCCCATCGCTCAGGATTACATCAAGGACGGGCAGTACGTGCCCATTCTCATTTGAACGATATCTGCCTGCTGAACGGCGTGCTAGCTTGCAATTGTTCCTGCTGGAAGCCGAGCGTGCGTGGGCGTACTCGCAAGACCTCCTTGCTCAAGCTCGCCAGCCGTCCGAACACCAAAACCCGGCCACCCTCCGCCACAGCGCTACGGGCCGCTTCCGGCGCGCGGTCAACTGGGCGACCCAGCTTCTCTCGCACTGCCAGACGCTCTACAAGTCCGGCCGGCTGTCCGCAGAAAGCCTGCTCGAGGCGGAGGTGTACGTGCTCATCCTGAACGGCCGGTTTCTGCGCTTCCGGGACGAGTTCGAGGACGCGTTGATCCAGTTGAGCGTTGCGCGCAGCCTGCTGGACGCGCTCGCGGGCGCGGCGGCGACGAGCCGGGACCAGGCGCTCGCGACGCTCTTCGGGGACGAGATTGGGCCCGAGATCCGGTACTGCGCGCACGAACTCGGGCGGGCCAAGGCGTACGACGTCGACGGCATCGTCGCTGAGCTGGCGGCCAAGCACAGGAACGAGCTCGTGGAGAATTGCGATGCGCTGCTCGCGAAGGTCAAGGCGGCCGGGACAAGCGGTGAAGCGAGTGCGCAGAAGAAGCTAGCTCCGCTCGCATGGGAGGGCGAGCCGGTGCCGATAAGGAACCCTGAGCTGGTGGACGTGTTCTTGACAGTGCAGGATGCGGAGGCGAAGTTGCGCGCTCAGCAGGGCGCTAAGGCCGAGGGCGAAGGGACGAAGGTCAACACGTCCAAGCGGGGTGTCGCGGCGTACGATGCCGTCTTGTCGGCTTTGAGCGATGCGGAGGAGGTCGCGCGGAAGCTTGCTGAGGCTCAACAGGTGTGCTACTCTCTTCCACGCATTCAAAGCATAAGCCACCCATCCGCTCATCCGCATAATCACAGATCGGCGCTGGGTCACAGACTGTACCTGTTGCGGCCGGTACGCGAGACATCCACTTCGTACACGCATTCATCGTGTATCAACTTCTTTCGCGCCGGATTGAACGTGACCTGTTGCTCGCCTCTGCCCTGCTCACCTCGCAGGCCCCTTCCGTTCCGAGAGGCAAAACCTCAGCTTCCGCGTCGAAGAAAGAGCAAGTCGATGCTCGTCTTTACCCTGCGGTCGTGAAGCTCCTGGACACGATTCTACAGAGTCTCGAACAGATGCGAACTCTCAACATTGTCGACGAATCGCCCGATCTCGCCTCAGCCGTCGAAGCAAGAATAACCTTCACCAAAGCAAGGAGGTGAGGATACACTCGTCCCGTTCCGGAATTGCAGGTATGCTGATACGCTCCATTCAGATGTCTATTCCTATCTCGTTGCTACGTTCCCGCGAAGAAATATGCGGAGGCCCTAACCCTCATTCAGCACGCATCCATTCACGTCCGCGAGTCCCGGTCTGTGCTCGGCACGCTCGACTCGGACCCCGTCGCCTTCTACCCGCTCCCTGCTTCCGCGCTGGACGACCTCGAGCAGACCATCGACGCCGATGGCCTCTCCTTCCGCAAGGAATGGTTCACGTGGAACGGAGGCTCGCTCGAAGCCGAGGGCGGCAAATCGCACAAGAAGCCGCTATTCTTCGATATCGCGCTCAACTACGTGCAGCTCGACATGGACCGATTGCAGGAGCGCGCGGGCAAGACCCTGACGCCTCAGCAGAAGCAGAAGGCGGTGGAGCAGCCAAGAGCCGTGCCAGCAGTGCAGAAGGCGAAGGCGGCTGAGATCGAACGCCCGGAAACGCCGGAACCGGAGGCGCAACAGGCAAGGGGCGGATTGAGCAGCTTGCTGGGAGGATGGTGGGGGAGACGATGAAACTGGGTTGGAGTGTCTTCCCTACATAAACTTGTACGGATTTTGAACAAAACGACTGCTCCCTCGTCTGCGATTGTGTCGGTGTCCTGCACCCTGTGTTCGTTATGCGCGCTATTACATAGGAAGGTGACCGCAAGATTATAAGAGACGGTGAACGACTCGTCAAATGGAACTTAATGGATACAGTAGATGACTGAAAGTGTCTTTTCACTGAGACGATGGTCCAAGGAGCCTCAGGTCCAGGAGGAGAATGCGTAGTCAAGCACTGAACATACGATAACATCAGGAAAAACCGGATTTGCTAAAAACCTCCTAAAATGTACTAAAATGTGCTCATTTAGTAGCTTTAGAGGGTTTCGGTACCCAATGAGCGACTCTTTCGATAGTCCGATTTTTCCTGATGAAATCATAGCATTGAGCAAGGGGTCAGAAATATCAAGCAAGCTGATGATTTGGATGAAATCTTCCAAGAAAATGTGCAGGCAATCTGGTGGCCCGTACATCGCGCCGGCGCCGTCGATGGCCCTTGACTGAGGAGCTCGAAAGCAAGAATATTGCTTAGGCCTTGAGCTGTCGCAACTGCTGTTGCACGGTGCGGATATCGTTCCTGTTCCAGTGCCCGACCCATGCTTCACTCGAGTCCCTGCCGCCAGCGATAGGAAGGGGCGGGACGCCCTTGCCCTGGCTTGCGACCGAGCGCGCGATGCCGACGAAGTCGACGTTCGCAGAAAGGCGGTGGAGGTCCACGCTGAATGCGCGCGCGCGACGTCTGCCGAGCCCGATCGTGGAAACCTTGCCGCCGTCGGAAGATCGGGGGGACGTGCGGCACACGACGGCCCTTGTGGGAGAAGGAGGGAAGACGAGGTCGGTGGGCGGGGCGGCACCGAGATGTCGCGTGAGTTTGGCCATCTTCTTGCGGCGCTGCTCGAGGGCGTCGAAGGCGGGCGTGGAGGGCGAGGAGACGGTGAATGTGGCGGAGGCCGCGGTGGTGGGCGTAGGAGGGACGGACGCGGACGCGGTCGGGGATAGTGACTCTGCGTTGTCGTGTAGACAGAGCAGGACAGGGCGCGTCGGGGTTACGAACTCCTCGGGTTCGGGCCGGCGCTTCTCGACTCTTTCGTAGCGGGTGTGCAGTTGCGCAGGTTTAGGCAGATCCAATGCGACTAGCTGCGAGGGACCCGGATGACGTTGGGAATTGGGGGCGATGTTCTCTACATGGTGGTCTTCTTCATCCTCGTCCATATCGACGAACGACGCCGCGTCGTCGTCGTCGCGATGCATTAACTTGGCGGTAGATGAGAAGGAGGCATTGCGGTTGGACAGGGCCCCGTGGCTCTGTTGCCATCGTCTGTGCCTCCGGGCAAAGAGGGCCCCAACGTGGGTTTGATCATTGGCATCGAGGAGGAGAGGTGTAGTGCCGAGGACTGCACCGAGTTTGCGCGTGGAGCGTATGAGACGCTGACGGTCGGCGCGGTCAAGGTTGTTCAGCGTGGGGGGTCGCGATGGGGTGACAGTGTTGGGTTCCATGCGTAGATCAATGAAGCTCGAAGAGACGACGGCGGTATCGTTATAAGATGTGGTCACGGACATGTCGTGAGTAGAACGCGATGAAATAGAGTTGGGTCCTGTCGTCAACGGTTCGTCGAAAAGGCACGAGTTGCAACACGAGCGGTGCGAGAGAGAGATGGTAGTCGCAGACTAGTGAATTATACTGCTATGGAGGTCAATTATGTGCGGATCGTAGGTAGGCTTGGGAGGGTGGCACAGATGGTAGCCCAATGCCAGGAAAGCAGAGCAGACAAAGGTTATATGGGGAGAGGATCCGATCACGGTCACCGGATTGTGTCGCCAAGGCGGGCGTTCGCAGCTGAATTGACAAATTGAGACAATGGACATACAATGTCGTCCGGAAACTCTAACATCTATCTTCGACTTCTGCGAATGGTGAGCTTATCCGGAACACCATACATGCGCACAGGATAGTATCGAGGCAAGCCTGCTGAGCATCGCATACGCAGATTGGGATGAAGGCGGCGGGACGTCGGATCTAGATCCCACCCGGAGAGGAACAAGACAAGGGTAGCATCACGGGATCACCGTGGGGTACGCCCGTGTCGCCAGGAGACTCGTCGGGATCACTGTCTCTGAGAGACACAACACAGTCATCGGGAGCCAGAGCAAATCGGTTGTGAGTGGGTGACTTCCCGTAAGGATCTGTAAGGGCGAATAGAATAGAATTCGCTTACAAATCCACTAAGCGAGCCATGCCGATTTTTCGGCATCGACGAGCCAAGTTGTCGGTTTACAAGTCGCTCGTACAGACCTTTTATCTGGAAGGGGGGGTCGACCCCCCCTTCCAGACCAAAATGACCGTTTACAGACAGGAATTTGTCATACACGTGACCCTCTCTCTTCCTCATTCGCTGCTCAGCCCTTCTCAACGGACCTCCGAGTTTATGATGTCTATTTCGGCCCCACACCGTACGGGGGCATAAACGTACAGCATAACCCACAGATCAAGGTTTGAACTGTTTATTCTGTGTTTCTGTCGCTCCAGATCTTACGGGAAGTCATCCAGTGAGAAAAGAAAGAACGATTTTAGAGTGATTCAATGGGGCAACGTTTTGAACTCGTAGCCGGACTTGGGTTCGGCCTCGCAGCTGAAGTGTTGGTAACCCAAGAATTCGAGGGTTTGTCGCAGTCAGCGGGTTCCAGAGCGCGTGTACAGGCAAATCGTGCGTGTATTCATGCGTATCTGCATCCAGGACTAGCTGCCAGCACGAACAGAGGAAGATCACCCGTCACCACAAACTACGATCACTGATACAGCCATGTGGGAATCTGCGTTCAATGTCCGTCGAGAACAGTATCTCAGTCGATCGACTTCTTGCTCGGTGAGCAGTATTGCGGCATGGGCCAAAACACGTCACCAACGCGTACTCTCCTGATTCATTGCAGCTGTATCAGGGAACAGTGTTGACTCAAGTTGACTCGGGGTAAAATGAAAGCACTGAGGTAACAGCAGACCTTCAGTGCTGTGGCGGTGTGATCACGCTATACAGTTCTTACAGATTATCCCACAGTCCCTCTACCCCTCGCACGGCCCCGGTCGACTCACCACCGACCACCCCCTCAAGAACAAGGTGCGTGCGCTCGCAGTCATTCCCGCTTTCCGGCTGCCACTCACCATCGTTTTCCACCGCTTTCTTAGACCCCGCCATGGTCAACCTTCGCTCGCAAAAGCGGCTTGCCGCCTCCGTCGCGGGCGTCGGCAAGCGCAAAATCTGGCTCGACCCCGCCGAGCAGTCCGAGATCGGCAACGCCAACTCCCGCACGCACGTTAAGAAGCTCATCAAAGATGGGCGCATTATCATCAAGCCTACCGTCGTTCACTCGCGCGCCCGCACCAAGGCACTTTTGGCCGCGAAGCGCAAGGGCCGTCACACTGGGCCCGGTAAGAGGAAGGGTACCTCCGAGGCGCGGATGCCGACGAAGGTTCTGTGGATGAGGCGCCAGCGGGTGCTCAGGCGGTTGTTGAGGAAGTACAGAGAGGCGGGCAAGATCGACAAGCATCTGTGAGTGATTGTGTGAAGGCGGAGCGCATACAGGATCGGCGGCTGACGATGGTATCGATAGGTACCACTTGCTTTACCAGAAGTCGAAGGGTAACGTTTTCAAGAACAAGCGTGTCTTGATGGAGTACATCCACAAGGCGAAGGCGGAGAAGACCCGTACCAAGGTTCTCACCGACCAGATGGAGGCCCGCCGCACCAAGAACAAGGTACGCATACGCGGTTTCCCTGTTTTCATGATGAACTTTTCCTTACGCCGTCTCAGGCTGCCCGGGAGCGTCGTGCTGCTCGTGTCGCCGAGAAGAGGCAGGCGATCTTCGCTGTCGAGCACGAGGATGCCAAGGAATAAACGCCTCACACCATCGCACGTTGTTTTTCGGGTTCTGTCGACCTCCTCTACCTACGCTTCCGCACTTGTATGCTACGCCATGTCGCATGTATGCAATCCTACGCTCTTCGCATGACAAGGATACCATCAACGGCGTCCTGAGTATACCCAAGGGTTCAGTCTATTCTCGTGTTGCTGATTCCGTATTGAACCGTGGCGGGGGTTGTCCATCTGTCGTTGTTCTGGTAATACAATCTTATTTGTCGTCGTACATGGCGCATAACATTCTTTCGAGCGCGGCTTATCGCCTTTGCCAGCGGAGTCCGCCGTACTGACCGACTCTTCCTCCCCCTCTTGCTACCGCGCCGCACATCTACTGCCCTGCTTCCTCTTATAATTGCCATCATAAGATTAATCACTTGGACTCGGTTATCTTGCCAAATTCTGTCAGACTGTGGGGACGGACATGCCTGTCCTACGCCCCTTCGCGCAACCAATCCAAGACAACACCGTTTACACCGTCACAACGTTGTCCGGCGAACGTATGTAATCCCTTTATTTGAGCCGAGATTCAAAATAAGTGCTGCCCCGCCTCGATTCAGAACAGGCTCATGTGCTGGACCGCCGCGGTGTGCAAGACGCAGAGGAAGTCTATGTACACTACCTCGGCACGGACAAGCGCCTCGACGAATGGGTCCCGGCGAATGTCGTGTCCATCTCGGCCAACCAACCTGAATTGGATCCATCTACCTCACCAGCCGCCCTTGGGCGCAAGAGGAGGCGCGCGCGATCCTCGTCCGTAGGCGTGTCGGAGGCACCCGACACGCGCGAAGGCTCGCTCGAACCCGATGATGAGGCGGAAATGAACGGGAATGGGAGCATAGTTGACGGCGCCAGCGATGCGGGCGCGCTCGGCGTGGACGACGGGACCGCCATGATGACCGAGGAGGAGTTCGATCTCCAGCACCACAAGCGGATGTTCGCGCAACGAAACTTCGAGACCGTCACTTTCTATGAGTGGCAGATCAGGACTTGGTGCGTCTTTTCCACTTCTTCGATGTGCTTGTGTAGCTGAGATCGTGCTCGAAGGTACTTCTCTCCCTACCCCATCTTAGACGAGGCCGACGATCCTACCGCGCTACCCTCAAGCTCGAATGGCCATTTTCCTGCAAGCGCCGCGCACACCAGGGCCTCTTCGCATCCGCTTTCCCCTACCGGTGTCACGCCGTCAGCGCCTCTCGGTTCGCATGGGGTCAGCTCTCTCCAGGGTCCCGGACAGCGCGGACAAGGCATTCCGCGGTCCAGTATCCGTGCACATGGCCGCACCTCCGACCTGTGGACGGGGGGACTCAAGAGGGCGCATACGGCGCCGGAGAAGAGCACATTATGGGTGTGCCACCGTTGCTTCAAGTACATGACGGACGGTCTGAGCTGGGAAATGCATATCGTGCGTGGTTCCACTCCCCTCCATGATCGTGCTGGATGTTTGCCGATACGTGTGGAAGGTGTAGAAGAGGTGTACAATGAATAATCCTCCAGGAAGAAAGGTGTATCAGCGTGGAGCACACATCATTTGGGAGGTCGATGGGCTCAAAGAGAAGGTGCGAAATTACTTGTTCTCTCTAAGGTCAATACCCTGAGCGATCGTATAGTTATATTGTCAAAATCTCTCCCTTTTCGGCAAGCTGTTCATAGACATCAAGACCATATTCTTCGACATGGATAACTGTATGTGTCTCTCATCCTCCATTGCGCTTCCCTTCATTGAGGCTTCGCACAGTCTTGTTTTACGTCCTGACAGACGCAGATTCGCAACGGGATCATGCACTCGGATTCTTCTCGAAAGAGAAGGTTTCCTACGACGATTACAATCTCGCCTGCATCGTCATATTTCCACCTTACCAGAGGAAACGATACGGCATGTTGTTGATTGAATTCAGTGTGTTTGCACCTGTGTTGGTGACGCGTGCGGGATCTGATAGATTCGACAGGCTACGAACTCTCCAAACGAGCTGGTGTCATCGGTACACCTGAACGCCCCCTTTCCGATCTCGGATTGCGGACATATCTCAACTACTGGGTTTCGACCATATTACGTCACCTCCAGTACGGGAGCTCTCTTTTTGACAGAACCTCGAGATGACCTCATCTTCATATCCAGGAAACTCCTTTCCGTCGTGCCTCCAGACATGACCGTCCGCTCCGGCCCACAAATGCCGGACCTTTCAAAGCTCCGCGCCAAGTCGGAAGATCTCATGACTCAGAAACCGAAGAAGAAGAAGACGAAGGGGTGGGACGGCGAGATCGACCTGAGCGAGCTATACGCCAACCAGCCGCCGCCAGACGATCCCAACACGTCCTTGACGTCCAGGCGCACCCTGGTCACGCGAGGCAATCCGGACGGGTCCGCCACAACCCACGTCGTGGTCCACTGCACGCTCGAGGATCTCTCGCGGGCGACGTACATCCGCGTGGAGGACGCTGCGTTCGCGCTGAACGAGTGCGGGCTTCTGCTCCGGAAGAAGCACGTCGAGGGGAACACGAGGAATGGAGAGGAGGCCGTAGACGGAGAGCCAGCGGAGCAAATGATCGTGGTGGTGTCTAGGGAGATGATCGACGAGGTAGCGCGACAGTGGGGGCTCAAGCGGATGTGCATGGAGACTCCGCATATACTGCTCTGAACGGACTTGTACTTAGGTGGTTGACATTGCCCGTTGCTCTAGCGTGGAAAATATATAATCATGCACTGCTTATCCTAGGCACTACCTTCCGAAAGGTTGTTATGGTCGTTTTTTTCATGCTTGCAAGACGCGTCGCCAGTCGCTTAGCGTCCATCTCGATATTATATAGTCCCAGTGTTTCCCGCAAAGTGTTCCGGATATTTGCCGGAAGACGTCTTCCTGAGTGTTGCTCCGACCCAGTGTTGAATAGATGGTTCGTGCCGGAAAAACTGGCCGGCCTCAGGCTGGTCACGATCATCGTGACCTGCAGCACGAGACACGGACGCGCCGACCGCGGCTCGAGCAACAACTTCGGCAGTTTCTACCTTGTCCGTCGCAACACATTTACCTGCCGCGAACCAGGCACCGGAGGAAATTATCGGTCTTGCATGGCCAACTTCCGAATGCGCTCAGCGCGTCAAGAGATCAATAGAAGTGAAATCTCGACTTGGACCTCGACGAGACATTGAATTATATTGAAGCCTACTTCCTCGGGCGCAAATCGTGCGATGGAACACGGGCAAAGCAACAGCGTGCGGAGCTTCTCAAGGCTTGGGGACGTGGTCACGGACACCGATTCGTTTGTTCGTCCGAACATGATGTCGGTAAATCTGCGGAGCGCGGGTTCAATATTTCGCCTCAGTATAAGAGTAGTCATCATGCTACGTGTCTGTCACCTATCCCGTCTCGAATTTCGGTATGAAGTCCCTCTTAGTCTCCCTCATTTTGGCACTTGCTAGCACTCCGGCGTACGGTGTGGCCATCTGGGGTCAATGCGGGGTACGAATATACAGGAAGCCAGCAGATACATCCCCCTCATATTCATCTCAGGGCATTGGCTACAGTGGTAGCACGACTTGTGACTCGGGTCTTAGCTGTGTCAAGCTAAACGACTGTAAGTGAAAAGTGACGTCTGATCGACGGGTAAATGCATATTGACGCGTTCGATGGGTTTGTTTGCAGACTACTCGCAATGCCTGCAAGGAGCCAGCACGACCAGCGCAGCGACCAGCACGGTCCAGACTACCACGACCGCCTCCACCACCAGCTCTGCCCCCACCACCAGCGGCCGCACGTGTAGCGGAACGAAGACGAAGTTTTCGTACTTTGGTGTCAATGAGAGTGGTGCAGAGTTCGGCAATGCAAACATTCCTGGAGTCAGTATACCCACGTGTGCCTTGCGACGAGGATCACTGATGTTTGTCATAGGTGTACGGAACAGGCAGGTTCCGTTCCCTCAAGACCCAGCTTTGAACTAACGTCTTATGTAGACTACATCTGGCCCGCTCCATCTTCTATCGATGTGAGTTGAATTTGTTTGCTGAACAAGGCTGCTCGATGCTGATATAGAATTCAGTACTTCGTCGGCCTCGGCTTCAACACGTTCCGCGTGCCGTTCTTGCTCGAGCGTCTCGCCCCTCCTGCTACAGGTATCACTGGCGCTTTCGACCCTCTTTACCTCGGCAACCTCACGGAGACCGTGAACTATATCACCGGAAAGGGCGCTTATGTCCTCATCGAGCGTTCGTGAACAGCTCTTAGGCGGTGGATCTTTCTTGCTGACGTTTGAGGCAGCCCACAACTACATGATCTACAACGGCGCAACCATCACCAGCACTTCTGCGTACGTTACTTCGTTCATCCTCCGTGTCCCCTTGTTTATGCCACTTGAAACGCAGATTCCAAACCTGTGAGTCACTGATGAATAGGGATCGGAGTAGGCCACTGACATGACTCCTCCCTATCAGTCTGGACCAACCTTGCGTCCCTCTTCGTGAGCACAGACTCAGATCCTGTGCTTGTCGGAGTCGTTGACCGAGTTCCTGCTGCAGAAATCCAACAGCCATGTCATCTTCGACCTCATGAACGAGCCCCACGATATTCCCGCGACCACCGTCTACTCGCTGGTATGTGCACTTGTTTCTGAGATTTTACTCGGTGTTTATCATTTGCCTGCAGATGCAAGCTGGCGTTAACGGTGTACGTGCCGCCGGTGCCACTTCTCAACTCATCTTGGTAGAAGGGTAAACATACCTCCTTCCGGCTCCATCATGAGCGCTAATAGTTGAGCTGTGCTCAGAACGAGCTGGACTGGCGCATGGACCTGGACCAGCTCCGGAAATGCCGCTGCTTTCACGGGCTTGACTGACCCCAATAACCACGTGTGCGTATTTCCCCTCGTATCTCGAGCTTGAGCTCGGTCTGACTCTAAGCTTATCCTGCCAGCGCCATCGAGATGCACCAGTACCTCGATTCCGACGGCTCGGGTTCATCGGCAACATGCGTTAGCTCCACCATCGGCGCCGAGCGCCTTGCGGACGCGACTAGCTGGCTCCAGGCTAACAATATCAAGGGCTTCCTCGGCGAAATCGGCGCTGGCAACAACGGTATGTAGTGCAAAAATTTTCACATTCGCGCAGCTTGCTGACGGCTCCGTCATGGCAGATGTCTGCATTACGGCCGTGTACGGAGCGCTATGTGCCATGCAAGAAGCCGGTGGTGCTTGGCTCGGCGGTGAGTAATTATGGATGTCTCCCATGATCGAGGCGAATATGCTGATGCCGGAAAACCCAGCGCTGTGGTGGGCCGCAGGTCAGTGGTGGGGAGATGTGAGTCTTCTTGACTACTCATCTTAACTTCTCAAATGCTCATGTTCTCTCATAGTACTTCCAATCCATAGAGCCGCCGAGCGGCGCAGCTATCACTGGCATCCTCCCCGAGGCTCTCGAACCGTTCTTGTGAATGGAGGATGGGCTGCACGATTAGCCAGATTCAAGATCTTATTCTTATCTTCAAATCTTGTATACCGTACACTGAAATAGTCACACATTTGATGGTGGATTGAGTGAGATCGAATGTGTGGCCTACCTGGCAGTGAGCTTGAGGCTTCACATGGATAAGTTATTAGCCTCTGGACAGGTTGGTTACATACACCTCGCGTCGGGGCCTGCATCCTGCTATGCGAACCACCTAGTTCGCTCGCAAATCGGAACTGGCCACCATGTATTTGGTATATTCGTGCATTTTAGGAGAGCTTTTGACCATGTCTATCGTGTTATGCAGATGACGTTGAGATATTCCAACAGCATCAAGTACTCATTATCAGGAAGACCTCCTTCATCTTGTCCCGACGGAACCTCTTTGGTTTATCCCACTTGTGTGCTAGACAGCGGTTACGAATGCATCATGCACTCCTTAGAGACGGACGAAGTCATCCGAATCCATGGACGGATGAGGCCATGGAGCGCCTTGTCTGCTCGGCCCATCATTGCAGCACGACTTCCAACGCTCCATCGACTCTTCCCCAGCTTGATTTGTTTGCCCGACGTCATAAGTCGAGCAGTTAGTACCACATGTTGCCTGGGTGCTCTAATCATATCATCTCCTCCAACGGCAGCCGCCGAGCGGCCTGCTGTTCTTGAACCGGTTCGAGGCCGTGGAACCTGAACTCATAACCAGGCAGCACAATCCAAGATTCGCCAGGGTCATCACGAAAGGGATTCCGATTTCAAGGATAATAGTTGACATTCCGAGGACAAAGGTAGCTGTCCTCTGTGACATGCGCGATGTCGACGCTGACAAAGTCGACGACATGTTCGACCGGTATGAATATCCACTGTATATTGCCGCATACTATCCAAGCAGATGTCAATCAGGGCCTGAGCTGGCAAGAGGACGAACCACTGGCTGCATTCTGTTCGCAGTGTGGCTTTCGTTTGAATGATTGATGGGGTCATGCATCCGCGCGTGATACATTCAATGAGCTACCGCAGGGCTACCCCTGTTGGCATTCTTGACCCTGTACTTGACAGAATTTTGGCATTGACATGGTTGCCGGCGAAGCTTTGCCAGGATGGCGTCGCAAATGCAGCTGCGCACTAACATTGCTCTACGGCGATCCAGCGAAACCTAAGGATCGTTTCGTATCATGCCCAGAGTTGCGATCTCGCCAGCGCTCAGCACCGATTCAGCGTTGAATGAGGTACTTTCGTTTGCAGTCTCGTCGGATTGTGCTTCCAATGACGAAACGTCGCTCTTTCCAGACCGATCCTGCGTTCTCGCCTCTCTCTAGCGCACCCTCTTCGCTCCCGCCACAGACGCCTCAGTTCGATATCGTACCGCAGTCCACGCCGGTGACGATGTTTCCTACACATACTGTGGAGAACCCAACTGATGCGGGTTGTACAGCATCAACGGTCCATCCACGTCTATGGTCAAGACAACGACGCTGGTACTGTTCTGCGGAAGGACAGTTATAACATCGAGGTATGAGGTAAAAGGTATGCTCGTACAACTAGATGTTGACCAACCGCTGCGTGTAGCACTATAGAGACATAAAGCAGCTTCATCCAGATTGGCGTCATGATGAGATCGAGGTTGGTTTCATCGCCAAGACGGGTATCGAACGGCGACTGACGCCTCATAGGAAATTGTTGTGATTTCTCCAAGGCGACATCAAGATGACGGGTCTTCGTCTCAGGTGCGTTATATTCTGCTATTATCACTTCACCTCATACAAACGCTTACCAGATACCTAAAATTCATGATTACATACTCCTCAACACTCTCGGACAAGGAGCATCCGCAACAGTCTTCCTCGCTCATTCTGTATCTTCTGACTCGCCTGGCATGCGGGCCATCAAGGTATGCGCGCCTTCGTCGCCATCGCGAGCCATGCATGCGCGCTCCGAACACTCTATCATGCGACTGCTGTCCCGAGCGAAAACAGCATTTCTACCCACACTTTACCAGAGTTTTGTCGACGAGGGTCGTCTCGTACTTGTCACCGTAAGTCTCGTGGCCGGTGGCTTAGACTACGGAACTGATGATCAGTGTAGGAATTTTGCCCAGGAGGGGACCTCCTCACGCATGTCATGCGCAGCGGTGCGTTTTCCGCAGACCGCAGCCGCTTCTATGCTTGCGAGCTGGTGAGTGCCATCGAAAAATGCGTTTCGCCTTAATGATGACGTGCGATAGGTGGTTACCTTGAGCACATTGTGCCGCTTGGGCATTGCGCATCGTGACCTTAAGCCAGAGAATGTAAGAATGGCACAGGCCGATCCATCGAATTTCATCAGTGATTATTTTCCGGACTTAGGTCCTTATTGATGCATGGGGACACATCGTCGTTACCGACTTCGGCTCTGCTAAGCAAATCGCGGTTCCTCTGCTCAATTCAGCGGAAGACCAACTCTCGTATATTACTACAACCGAGAACAGCTCCGTCGGAACTCCGGAATACCAAGCGCCTGAGGTCATCCTCGGGTGGCCGCACGATTACGCCGTTGATGTATGGGGCTTCGGGCTGCTCCTGTACCTGATGATCTACGGCAAGGTAGGTTCCGCTGTCACCTATTGGATTACTTGTTTATCTTGATCAACTTGACCGCGATTGTGCTCCAGCACCCATTCATGCTGTCGCAAACACACGAAGCTGTCGACGTGCTCAGAGAGCGCATAATCAGCTATCCGGTGCCATTCCCTCGGGTGGAGCATGAGGATGAGGTAGCCAAGGACCTGATACTCAATGTAAGCTGTGGAAGGCGTGATTCGCTCATGTCGCCGACGATGCTGATATCCAACTAGTGTTTGGAGCGTAATACAGGCATGCGTATCCATTTAGAGGGGATCCGGGAACACGAGTACTTTGATAGGATGTGAGTTGCCCATTTGTCCACCGATTCTTCACTGGTCGAATTACGTCAACAGTGACTGGGATAGAGTCGAGGCTAAAGCCTACGAAGGTGACTCGTTCCTCCTGAGTTCTGTAGGGTATCATTGACATGATCTTGCCATTAGTTCCTTGGTCCCTTGATCTTGATGAGCGCAAGGATGCATTGGATCTTCGATATTTCGAGAAAGAGTTCTGTGACATGGACGTTCATACGGAGTTGGAACGATTGCAACAAGCGGCGACAACAGCGGACCCGGAGGATGCATTTGATGCGCAGACGATGACGTGGACATCGGACACTGATCAACTCAGTGAAGACGGAGGTGGGTCCAGTGTCGCAATGTATCAAATGAAGCTCCCGCTAAAGTAGACACCTCAGGCGTCGTCGTGCCAACAAACCACTTTCTGCAGTCCCCATCTCTCTCGGCATTTGGGACGTCAATGCGCGAAAGTACGCCGCTGTCGGACGTCGGCCATACATCCGGAGAGTTGGATGTCGCGTCGTTTGAGCCTCTCAATTCGGGGAAGTGGCTAGAGCGCGGCCTCGGTGTAACAAGCCCCGGCTACACTTTGGATGTCCCGGAGTCGAGGGTGCAATCGATGCCCAGTCCAGTCGACGGGTTCGAAGATTTCCTGCGTCTTGATCGTAATTCCTTGTTCTTGTCTCCGGCGCCTTCACTGGGCCTCAGTATTCTGGGCGACACTCCGACGAAGCCTGGTCCTGTTCCGACAAGTTCCAAGGGGTCCCGAGAGGGTGCTGCATTGAGCATTCGTGACCTGTACCGCTCCCCATCGCTCATTGGAGGCGAAGACGATCGCGATGATACACGCGGACCACTAGATACGTTTCGCTCGATCGCAGGCTTGCCTACCCACTTTTCGGCCTCGCGATCCTCGGCTATTGGGGTGGACGACCATGCTTTACCCGCAGCAGCCACCCTTTCACTCCCTGGTATCGAGCGAATCGGTCGAGGCATCGGCTTTACCCCTAAGAAGGTGGCTGTGGGCGGCGCAAAGCACACTCCGTCCTCTAAACTGGGCCGGCTGGTGCAGACGCCGAAGAAGCTGTTGAACCGGTTGCGCGGCAGCACGCCTTATCCTCACAGCGGGTCCAGCAAGATCAGGGGCACCCATAACCAGAACGGACGGAGGTCGTTGCCTCTGGAAGACCCTTCAGGCGATTCGGAGACTTCGGGAGACGACATGTTGGCCTGGGGCGTGCTCGGTGGCGGGCGAGCGTTCGCCGGCGTGGACGAGACTCCCGCGCGCCCGGCGAGGGGCCACGCGCGCTTTCCAAGGCTTTCGCTGCCTTTCAAGACGCCTCGTCGATCCGTGAATGGAGCCTTGGATGGGACGGACGACCCACAGAGCTCCGTGCGCTTGGTGTCTGTGCCACGTTTCCGATCGCCGATGTAATATCGAGCTCGTGATGTTAGGATGTTTTCAGATGTTGTACTTTGATTTCGTCGGGTTTTCGGGTGATTCGATGTCTTGAAGGGTATTTTGTGTGTAGGGCCATATCTTCACGGTTTGTCTATGTCGTTCTATGAAACGTTAGTGAACCTCGCCTCGTCAGCATTCGCGCGCGCGCTGCCAGCTTTGCGAGCCGCAGTCCTCGTTCTCTATAAGCTGCACTGTCGGGAGCGCCGTACATCGTCATTCGGGCGCACCGAATGATGTGCGTGTCACTGTCCGCCTCATGCGCCGCAGCGTACTCCGCCATCTGGCAGGAGGAACGCATAATGACAGGGTCAAGCCGATATTACACACCACGGAGACCTTCGCGACTGCTTGACGTCGACCAGTATGGTATAGTGCTTGTAAGACGTGATCAAAACGGCCGAGAGCAGACGGTGAAGAGTGAAGCTAGGTAAGATGTAGTATGAGAGTAGAGACAAGATAAAATTCAGAACAGCTGCGTCGCGGGCGTCTTATATGTATGCAGAGGTGCGGAATGGTCGTTCCGACGCGAATGGCGGATAGCACATGCAAGTTATTCCGCACAGTTGGAACGCGTTTGGATCGCCAGGGCACGAATCCCACACGGATGCGCACGAAATGTCGCCCCATTCCAGGGCCTCACTGCACGACCGGAAATAGATGACGACGATATCTTGACGCCGACCGTGCAGTAGATTCGCCAACGGCGAGAGACTCGGAGAGCGCGAACGGATCAATTCAGCTGAGGTCGATGACGTGTCGCGTAGGAGCCTCTTTCTTCCTTGTTTGAGTTTGTCCAGAAAGAGTACCTGCTGCCTTCCCTAACCCCTGTGGGACGAGGAGTACCATAATCAGACAAAGGCAGACAACCTAGACCGACCAAACAAGCGATCTCATCCGCGCACGACCCGCCTAGGTATACATGAATCTCCGAGTCATACGGTCCTCTATCTCGTAAACCTGCCGAAAATCTTGGATCCAGCTATACACAGAACATAGTGGTGAGCATAGGCAAAGTCACAAAAAAGGAGGTGTACCCACTCTGCGCGAGCGAGTCGACACCCTTCTCGATCTGCCGTCTCGTCCCCTGGCCCGCGACGCTGCCGATCGCGTTGAGTGCATAACCGACCGGCGCGGAGGACAGGAGCGGCGCCGGGGCGGGCATGCTGCCGCTCGAGCCAGCGGGTGCGTTGTAGGGTCGAGGCGGAGGGGGCAGTTGCGGTTGCGGCTGTGAGTAGTAGGCGTCTAGAAGTTGACGAGGACGGCTGATGAGGACCGACGGGAGACAGGGAAGAGATAAAGACTGACTCGGAGGCGGGCTATGCGGCTGTGGTGGGGATCCATATCCAGCGTACGATTCTAAGGTAGAGGTCAGACAAAGTACGCCTACGAGATTCTCGTGAAGACGCACGGTAAGGTGAATTGCCACCAGGCGGGGGCGAAGACGGCTGAGAAACTAGGCACACCGGAATGAGCGTCCGAAATACGGTTATATATTTGATCAGTTCGACGAGCGTCACTCACAAGGCATGGCCTGCGGGAACCCGCCGTAGAACCCGGCGGCGCCTGGGCCTGGTTCGGGATCGCTGTACGGAGTACCTGGTCCACCGAAGCCGAGCGGCGGAGAGGGGTACTGAGGTGTGTATCCCTGTCCGTTATACAAATACGGATGCGGTTCAGGGGGAGCATAGGGAGCGTAGGGCTGCGGTTGGAGCGGAGGTGGAGATGGGGCAGATGTGTGTACGCCTGGAGAGCCGCTTATGGACGGGCGCGGACGCAACGGAGGAGGTGGTGGGCCGCCCGGTTGAGAGTGTGGGTGCGAGAGCGAGGGACGAGCGGCGAGGTTGATAGGCGGAACGTTGCTTGGCCCAGGATCCGGGTTGCCCGACACTGGGCGAGAGGACGCGTGTGGGGGCGGCGGGCCAGTTGCGGAGGCAGGATCATGATTGACCGACAACGGGCGCGATGAAGGATGAGGGCGTAGCGGGGCCGTCGTCGAGTTGTGATCAAACCCACCCGAGACGGGGCGGGACTGAGAAGGTCGAGGATGTAGCGGAGCCGTTGTCGAGACGGTGTCAAAACCCCCTGACACCGGGCGCGATTGGGAAGGACGGGGTCGCAGCGGCGCGGTCGGACCCGCTGGTGATGTTGGGTCGTACTGAGCCGGCGAGGGGTGCCAATTCGGCGGGGGCCACTGAACTTGCTCCCACTGGCCGCCGTGACCTTCGCCGTTCGAGCTCAGATGTTGTGGGTACGTCTGTTCCGGCCGAAAATGCACGGCTATTGATGGTGACGTCGGACGCCCACTTGGCACAGGTGGAGGGCGCGAACTCGAGAAGGAGGCAGACACAGAGATAGACGTGGATTGCAGCTCGCTTGCGAGGCTTGTTACCGGGTCCTGAACCTGCGAAGGGTTGCGAGGCGGGACTGCAGGCGGACGTGGACGCGTGGACGCCGGTGCGGGCGGCGGTTGAGAGTGCTCATGAGGCTGAGTTGGTTCCGCTTCGAGCGTATAAGGCGGTGGCGGCGGCTCATCGCCATCCGATTTAGCCTGTGACGCAAGCCAATCTTGATAGGCCTTCCCTGCATCGTCGCCAGATCCAGAACCGGAACCCGAGCCAGAGGCTGAGCTCTGCGCTTCGTCTTCGTAGTGCGGGCGCGAGGACCAGAAATCCTGAAGTTCCTTGACGGGGAAGGTGTCGTGGATCTGGCGCTCCCCGCGAAGGCCCTCGGCGGCCAGGCCGGCGATCCTCATGTACCAATCGGTCGGAAGGTCGTGGCCCTCCGCGTCGAGCGCAAGGAAGGGCCAGCGGTCGGACTGAGGAAGCTGACGCTTGTGCGCGACGACGGGGAGGAAGGCAGTGCCTTCGTCATACCTGAGTTCGATATTAGCCAGAGTGTCCCACAAGGAGACGTATATAGTCAAGGAAACTCACTCATCCCACATAGCACCGTAGATCATGCGCACGCCGTGATGTTTAACATTGAAAATCTGGCGCCAGAGGAAGCGTCCGCCATTGCGCTTGATGTCGTTGAAGCCCCACTTGCCCTCGGAGAGGTTGAACCCCTGCAAGCCTGATGAGCGACAGTTCCCACAGGAATCAAAACCCCGTCAGAGGCGCATGCATGCACTCACCGATCCGCCCGGGAATACGACCGGCATGTAATCCACCCTCTTCGTCTTCCCCGCCCGCTCCCACTCCTCATTCTTTTTCTGGATGTGCTCCATATCGAGTTTGACCTTCTCCTCCGCGAACTGGTCGGCGCCCTGCTCGTCGCCGTATCGCCCGATTGTCCATGGGCTGATCGCGTCAAACTCGTCCGTCCAGAGGTCGATCCATGCCGGGTTTGGATCGGCGTCGGAGCCAGGCCGGCCGGTGCGCCAGTGAGCGGGTGCGCCGCCAATGAGGTACGCGCCGCCCGGGGTGGAAGTGCGGAGGATGTGCAGGATGGCGCGAGCGGTGTGCGGGGTATAAGGGCGGCCATCGAAGCCAAGACCTATAAACGTGATGTGCCAAACGTCAGAAAAGGAAACATCGCCGGGCGAAGTGAGTGGATATATGCGCACCCCAGATAGAGATGACAGGTCGACCTTTCTCGCGTAGGTAGTTCGGGCTGTCGAGGATGCGCTTCTCGCGGACGAGGTGTTGCCAATCGCGAGTGATCACGTCGTGTATGCGTTCGAGCGGCACGTCCGTCACGTCGTACCTTCAGCGCTAGTCTCTTAGCTCGGGAACGCTTCCAATGGTTCTTAGGAGACAACGCACATGATAGCAAACACCCTGCCCTCCGCCTCCGCCGCCTCCCTGACGCGATCGCCGACCTCGTCCCTCTGATCGCGGATCGCCCTGTTCCCTCTCTCAAGATCGCACTGGCCTACGAAACGCTGCAAGAACGCGCCGTCCACGCCCGCTTCAGCCATCCACCGGAAGTGCCGCCTGACCGTCTGCGCATTCCGACTCGAGAACAGCAGAGGTTCAGAGCCATCGGCCATGCGGAGACCCGGAACGGGGAAGAGCTCGGACGGGCTATACGCGGAGACGTCCGGCCAAAGATCGGTGTTGGGCCGCCCGCCGGCGGGGATCGGCTCGGTAAGCCAGTGCAGCCATCCGTGGTGGTTCGGGTCGAGCGGGGGCCCATCACCCGGGCAGGTAAACCAGCCTTGGTAGCCGACAAGGAACTTGTCCTGGATCGTGTGCGGATCAGCCCTGCGCGGGTTCAACATGGGTGTTGCAGTAAGAATGAGTGCTAGGTTGCGGAAGGTACTAGGCTGACCTTCTTATAGGTCGATTGGGCGTGGACAATAATGACATGGTGACCTAAGACAAGAGCTACGGACTGCTGCTTGTGGCTCGCCGGGCAGCAACAGCCAGCGGCCCAGCCATCTCGCAGACAATATGGGCGCTTAACAAGGAGCGCGCACAGCCTCTGTATGGACAGCTTGCGTGCCCTGACTGCCGAGCTCACCTCGACGGAGTTGAGCTCTGGTTGTCTATGTGTCTCGACCGGATTTTTCGTGGTATGGACTAATGTACTGTCGCCTATGACAATGAAGCTACATCTCCGCTCTCGCTGCCCGTGATCAAGCTGCCAGCTGTCCGCAGAGGGCGTCTGGAAGACTGGACCAGAGATAGTCACCCACGCGCTGTGCAATGATGAACCACTCCAACAACACGTCCTCACCGGGGTGCCCATGACCTTGAATGCTGCCGCTCACCCACGATCTGAGGACAGATCTCGTTAAAGTTCCCGGCAGCGGGTGGTTGACCACGATTCGACGGGTTCTCCTACTTCTACCTGGTCCCCCAGCGCGATATGTCGTCCGCGACCCTCCCCGACCTAGGACTTACATTGAGTGCCCTGTACGTTGGGGTGGCCTTCTCAAGATTTTGAGTGCAGACCGAGTCGATATGTGTTTTTGTACCCCCAGATCTCCCTTAGTCTGTATGACATCACTACTCTTCAATCCTACAACTACTTCACAAGCTATCCGAAGGACCCTCCCTATCTGAAAACTCTCGTAAGTAGATACAGAGCTGGGTTTCCATTCTCTGTGAGATTAACACCGTGAATAGATCTTGCTATTGTGGGCGTTGGACGGCACGCATTGCGCGCTGATCGCGCACGCGACGTATTTCTGAGAGTAGAACCTGGAGCGGTTCCATATTTCCCTCCGAAGAACGGATGACCAAACTCGAACACACATCCGCACCCAGACACGATTCAGAATTACTTTAACCCCAGCGCGCTCGAAAGTGGAATATGGTCCCTGGACCTGAACCTCCTCCTTTCCACCATCGTGGACTGGCGTTCTTCACCGCCCGCGTCTGGGTCCTCGGTAGCTAGTACGTTGTCACGAGGCTGTGCGCGGTGCTCTGTGTGGTAGTACTCGTGCTAAGTATGATCACCACCTACGGCGCCTTCCACGATGCCAGCCGAGATATCGCGGGCCTCTACGAGAAAGACTTCGAATAGAGCGTCCGATCCGGGTAAGTCGACTTCCCCCCCGCGCACACGGTCGCTCGTGGGTGTTTCCCATTCGGCCTGTTGATACATTACGATGTTATACATAGGTTGTCGATCGCCGCCTCCGCGGACGTGTGCATCGCCGCGGCGTCGGTCTTCTATCTATCCAAAGGAAGAAGGCGTGTACTGCACAGTACGAGGCAGGTCATCCAGCGTATACCGTGTAAGCCCTCCTCGGTTCTTGCCATCATCCGGTCTAAACCTCATTCCTGCAGCCTTCACGATCGGTTCGTCCAAGTCGACGAGCACCTGATCCCGTTCTGCGTGACTGAACGACGCACCAGAAACATGCTTGATCACTTCGACCGCCACGATTACCGACGTTATCTGTGTGAGTGTCCTTCTTTCTCCCTGGAGTCGCGCGAGGATTCGTAGGACTGACAGCCGCCTGTCTTCCCAGTTCCCCTCGATGTCAGATAACTGTCGCCGACCGTCCGGTGCCTCCGCGCCTCATCCGAGCCCATCTCTTCAATCGTCTCAATCATCTACCTGGGCGTGTATCTCATCGTGTTCGAACGTTAGCACCAAGCCTGTCCCTCTGTCTCTTATCCAACCGACTGACCGACTGACGCTCGGCGGTCGAGCTCGCCGTGTCGTCGGCGGCCATCCGCTCTACCTTTATGCGTTCGTCAAGCACAGGGCGCGAACCGGACTCCATCGTACGTTAGATATCCTCTGGTGTCCAAGCACTTGCCGTTTCTTGTGATTACTCATGAGTTGGCCGTCTTCCCTCAGATGGTCATCTCCCCGAATCGCCCCAAATCAGGGTTTGGTATCGACGCATACGACGAGGAGCAGCGCCACGAGTCATCCTTCGAGGCGCCCAAGGAATGCCCCTCGTCTTCGGCAGAGCGAGATCGTTGAGATATTTCGGTCCTCTGTTCCGAGCTGCGTGATTGCGTGGCACGATAGCTACTACGTTCTACGTTCTACGTTTCCTCTCTCTGCAAGTTATAATGGCCCCGCCCGCCAGCATATACTTCACCCCGCACAACCGCTTGACGATCTCCTAACGACGAGCCTCTGCGTCTTGACGTCCGCGCGACATAGTGAGACAGATGGAAACGCTGGTATGATCATGTAGAACCATCGGGCCAGGTGTAGTATTACTCTCCATTATGGATTCATAAAGTTATACGTTATGTACCACCCTGTATACTCCGTTCGCATGTGAACTCGACTGTTATACGAATGGATCTCGATTGGTTCGGTCCTGACCCTACATACACCGAGAGGCATCCGGCGCCGCCGGGGCGGAAGAACAGTCTTGTACGCGACAAGCGCGATCGCGTAATCGCCAGCCGCATACATGGAGAGCACCTCCGCCCGGAGTCGTTCATCGAAACCCGCTTCAGGAGACACCCGAATCCCAAGAGTTAAGACACCACGGGAGATAAGGGGACGGAAGATAAATCGCATAGGCGGCGAATGACCACGTGCATGCGACCTAGCGCGTCCGCCTCCATCTGCCGGTGTAATGTATTTCGTTTAGGACCGCCGTGGACCCAGTTTCGCCGTTTTGTGATGAGCGAAGCTACCTGCAGCTCGGGAATTCACTGCGGTGTGGACGTGTGGGAGAGGGGACGAAACACTAAGGGAGATGGCCCAAGCTGGGGGATAAAGCGGGTCGACGAGTGAGGAGGGGGGGGCCACGGTATTTATCTCCAGGCCATGTAATATACGATCCCGATGCCGCGAAGCAGGGGCGCGCTGGCCCTGCTGGCCCGGGAAACATTGAGCGACTCAGGATGTTAACCGTAGGGACGTAAAATATGAAAACCTTGAAGGACGCGCATGTGAGAGGCGGAGGCGACTATACATAGCCTGAAGGCGTGGGCGGCGAACCCGGCGAGCTGGACCCTCCCGCACGGAGATAGGGACGAAACCTAGGGGGGGGAGGCTTGACGTGTTCCCAGCCCCTGTCCCTCGGGCCTCGACTGCGGCGGTGTTCAAGAACGGGCTTCAACACGGCGTTAGGACGCTGTCGAGAGATCATCGAATGTAGATTCAAATTGGATTCGAGGTCCCGCTGAACTTTTTTATTTATTTACGTAGCCCCGTTATAAAGCCCAGTCCGGTCTATAGAACGCGAAACGACGGTGAAATGAATTGGGACGGGGAGGGCTGTGCGGCGTTCTTAATTAACCGATCAGCGTCGAAGCGTTCAATGTACCATAACGCGTTTTTGTTTTGCTCTGTCGCTCTCTGTCAGCGCAGGAGACGACGGTGAAGAGAGAGGGTTTATCGACGTCGAGCAATCAACACCCGACCGATGTGGGTGGTCGATCCCGACCCCAGTGATTCATTCAGCGGGCATGTTCGGGGACTTGTCAAGATCTCCAGGGCTGCGAATACATACGCTGATAATATCGGGCCACGTCGGCGACCAAAGGCCGAGACATTTACACGCGGGTTGAGGTTCCCTCGTAGCAACACATTAGTATGGACCCCGCCACATGATGACGCGCCGTCGTCAAGACTTAAGCTTTTTTTCTTTCTTTCGTCACAGAACAAGATGATATACGTACGTAAGAATGGTTCGTCTCGATGAGGCAAGTCGAAGCGGACGGATGATTGAATACTTCGGGAACCGTGAAGCGTGAAGAAACCCGGGCGATGAGATCCGGTGGGCGTTGGTGAGAGCCGGAAAGGGAGATCTGCTCGTCGATTTGGGGGGGTGGGGGGTGTGGTTCGTTACTATAGAAAGAAATAACGTTGTCGGGCTCGCGTTCGAGGACCATTAATTGCTGAGCTAACTCACCGGCGATCGCGAGCGTAACGCGGGGTCGATGGGCGGGCAGGAGATCGCGCCCGGCCGGCGTTATCACGAACGATTGCGTTTGGTAACAACATGTGGCATGGCCGGGAGGGTGTGAAGGTTGCTGAACGGCTCGCCGGGTCATCGGGGAGGCTGACGATGCGCGTCATGGTATTGTCGTATCGAGCGGCGAGCGAAGGCGCGTTTGAAAAACACGCCCCGATTGCGTCGGACACGTACGTCAATCTCTCGAGGATCCGGCGTTTCGGTAGTTGACGGTGAATTAACTCTGGGCGCGCTTGAGGCTGGTCGAGCGGCCATGCCGGTTGTGCGCGACGACGAGAGGGACAAGAGATATGAGCGGGAGATTTTTTTACGGCATGCTCGACGTCCGGCTCGCTGGAAGGTGGCGAGTGGGACGCAGCGGATCGAGCGAGAGGAACGCGAACCCGCGCGGATTCGTGGGAAATCGCGCGTTTCTTGTCCGACGTGGCCAACATCTCGCACTTCATCGACGCGATATCGAGCCTCCAGGAAAACACGGCCGTGTAGCGCGCGTCTCCGCATACGGCTTCCGCGTGCGAGCCACTACCGCAATGATGGCCATGGCCAGCTCGGAACTGATGAAATCAAGACCGCACGGTACGGCAGCTGCGTCCGGACAGGCTGCCTGCCAAAAGCAGGTGCGGATGACAGTCCACTGTCCGCACGGCGAACTCTCTCGCCCTTGTCCGCGACGGGCGAAGCGTCAAGGGGGGACAGCAGCCAGCAAGGCTGAACGCGTGCGCGCGGGCGATTAGGGAGGGCTATATAACGTTACCGTTGATCGTCCCCTTTACGGGCGCCTCCCGCCCCCTCCTTCCCCATCATGGACTCCTCCGCCTCCGGCCACGGATACGCGTACCTGCTCGCCAGCCAGTCAACCTACGCTGCGAGATCCGCCAGCGCCGGCGCCACCGACGCGTCGGCGTTGCGGCCGACGGCGCACGACTCCAGCGCGGCCAGGGCCCCCGCGCCCGTCCTCTCCGGCGCAGGGCGCGTGTACGGCTGGAGCGCTGGCGTCACCGGCCCGGGTTCATCTCAGCCTCCAGCGCCTTCTCCGGTGTCCAGGCCTTCGTACGTCACGGAAGGAGGACACTATGCCGAATCGAGCTTTGCGTACGACGGTGCCCCCGGTGCCCAGCCGAACTGGAACGCGCCATCGCATATTTCGTTCACCTCCCCGGGCGAGGCGTCTCCGCAGGCCAACGCCGACCCCGCCCTCTTCACTCCCGTACATTATCGTCGAGCTACTCCCGGTCAACACCACCCCATGGCCGCCACGATTCCGCATAATCCGTCACCGGTCGAGTCGGAGCCCATGGCCGATCCCACCGACTACCGCTACGGTATTTCGCAGCAGCAGCGCCCGACGGTGGCGCACTCTCATTCTTACTCGTACCACGATCTGCCCCCTCGTCGTCTCTCAGCCTCAGCCTCCCGATCCCTCGCGGACGACATCGCGAACTCGCCTTCTGCTACTACGACTTCCCAAACAGCCTCTGGCTACAGGCTGCCATTTAATGCTAATCATCCGGGCCCTGCGAGCGCCTACGGCGCCTACTTTCCTTCGGCATACAGCGCCCCTTCATATCCCGATCTCGCATCCCCTCATTCCCAACCGCCGAACGCTCCGACCGCCCTGGTCGGCCATCCCGTCTCGCATTCTCAGTCGACGATGATCGCGACCGAGTTTAGCCCGCAGCAGACGATCACGCCGCCCCCCGCGACCTATTCCGAGCCGGACTCGCTCCAGTCGGACTACGACCTCTCCGTGCACGACAGCCCGACGGACGCGCAGCCCTGTTCGTTCCATATGCTCCCAGGAGGCAGCGCCAGCGGTTCTGCCCCTTCTCGCCCCGCCGGTCGCAAGCTCAAGAAGTCGCACGGGTGCTGGATGTGCCACAAGTCGTTCGACCGTCCCAGCACCCTGCGAAAGCATCTCCTCGTGCACACCGGCGAAAAAGGTCAGCTTCTCGTCTCTCCCCTTGCCCCCCCGTTTCGTAGTCTCTTCGCTACTGCAATGCTGACTTTCGTTTTCCTCCCCCTCAGCCTTCCAATGCGACATCTGCGGCCGTCGGTTCGGCGTGCAGTCGAACCTGACGCGGCACATGAAGCGCTGCCGGGAGCGGAACGAGTTGCCGCCCGTCGACCAGGACTCACCCAGCATGGGCGCGCTCACGACCGCCGTCGCGCACGCCGTCCAACAGGGCGCCCCCGCGCACATGCACGCCACCGGAGGCCCGCACGGCTGGCCCGGCGCCTCCACCCACCCCCAGCAGCAGCAACGCGGCGGCCATACGCACGCCCGACAGGCCACCGGCTCGTCGTCGTCGTCGCTGGACCACCCCGCGGCCCCGTCCGACTCGGGCTCGGGCTCGGGCTCCCCCGCGGGCATGCCGCCCTCTACCACGCGCAAGCGCACCCGCCGCCCCAAGTCGGACAGCTGGGTGCCGAAGAGCCTCGCCAACTTTGAGATCGCGTGCGAGCGGCGCGACTCGGTCCTCCCGCTCCCGCCCGTGACGCCGCACCGGGTCTACCTCGCGCCCGAGCAAGGTGGTGGCGGCGGCGGTGGCGGCGGGGGGGTTTACCCCTTCCCGCACGCGGGCGCTGGCCCGGACGCGGCGACGGTGGCGATGGCGATGGGCCGCACGTCGTTGCTCGAGGCGCCCGTACCGCACGGATCTGGCGGTGCGGCCGGGCGCGGGCAGCAGCAACAGCGGCGTTATCAGCTCCCCTCGCCCGTCGTCGTCGACACCGAGGCCGGGCCGTGCATCTGGGAGGAGCGCGACTCGTACGCGGGCGCGGGCGCTCCGCAGCAGCAGTCGCGGTACCATCCGGACGGCTGGACGGGCACCCTGCCCGGGCCTGCGCCGCTCGGCGCCGATGGGGGCGCCATCAGCACGCGGTTCAGGGTGCGCGGTGCGGGCAAGACGAGGGCGGCGTCGGTGCGGAGGACAGGCTGATCTTCCGGTCCCTCTCTCTCTCTCTCCTTTCGGCTTTTTGGATCTGGAGAGCTCTGTTGTGGCGGTTGGAGCCAGGTGTGTGTTTTCGTCCCCCGCTGCGCTTGAGGCGTCTGCGTCGTTCTTTCCTCTCTCGCGCATCGTTTTCCCTGGGTCCTATATCTCCCTACATTATTTGCTATTATATTGCGCGCTCGATAGCAACCCCATCGCCCCTCCTGCCTCGTTATCGCACTAATTCCCTCCCCGCCCCGCCGTGTTGCACAGTGGCATCGCACTCGCCCATTTCGTTCTCACAGTCGAGTTCTGTCCCATATTGTATCATTGTCACTAAGTACGAATGTATTCGGAGGCTCGTGTCGTCGACGTCGCCCCGCCAACCCCAATGTACATATATTACTCATCCAGTGTTGCGTAGTCACATCGTACTGTATATTCTGCTAATTGAACATAAAACACATGGACTCTGGAGGCGGGTGCTTCGGTGTTGATGGAATACGAATACGGGTAGGCAATTGCAGTGCGAGCAAGCTTCCATCCCGGGGGAAGAACTTTCGCATGAAATCAGCAGCATCCGGGCTAAAGTCGAGGGTCAAACGAACACGTCAACAAAAACTCGAATCCTCAACCTGTAAGAACGCACGTCACTCACATCAAACTATCAACATAAGTATCCAAGACAGTCGAGCATCCGACGTTGGCTGTACGGACGGCGGATTGGTATTCGCCGAAGCTCGTTCCCGGCTCAAACGATCGAAACAGTCACTGCGAAACCGACACGGTCTGAACCTGCCTTAGCACCAACTTTGGCACGATCTCTCGGAGCAGCTCCAGCTCCGACGCGTCCAATCCGCTGCAGCGTTCCAGTATCAGCGTCTTGAAGGGTACCTGGCCCTCGCGGGACGTAGATTTACATCTCCTTGCCAACTCGGCACGGCATTGACCGAACCACTCTCCTCTGGAGGTGTGCTTCGCGGCTACGATACGCAAGCTGACGAGCTCAGGGAGCAAGGGATCTCCATCGGCTTGCGTACGGTGGTGATGCAGAGCGTGGATTATGGCGGCAACCATATCCCCGCCTTTCAAGTTGAGGCGCCGTACGTTGCGGAAGCTGCGAAGGAGGGGATGGACGTCGGGGGATGGCCCTGCCAAGCTGCCTGCCAGGGTGACTGAACAAGAGGGATCCAAGCACGAAAGACACAGTTGGCTGAGACTTAGCAACAACTCGTTGTGTTTATCGCTGGGTACGGGTCGGAGCAATAACGAGTTTTCGTGGTCGCGCGGACCGCATTTTAAGGAGATGGTTGAGTCGGTGATGTCAAATCGGATGGGGCCAGGAGTTACGGTGCGTTTGACCATGTCCCACAGGTCGGGGAGGTGCTCAGCGTCCATGTCGCAGGACACGTCGAGACAGGCCGTTGGGGCAAGTGTCAGACATCGGAGAAGCGACACGCAATCCTGGCATGGGCCTGATAAGGTGACCTCGCGAAGAGCGTGAAGAGCGATCTTGCGTTCGGACCCTGGGGGTAGAGCTGGGACCACCTTGGGTAGGTTATCTAGGAATAGCTTCTCGAGGCGGGGGAATGACTCCAGCGTGTCGAGTACGTTGTTCAGTGCGGGTGGGGTTGATACGTATTCAGGATCCAGGTTCTGTATCAATACAATGCATCTCATATCGAGCGATCTGAACCATCGAGAGGCCCATGGCCAGAAGGAAGGGAAGTTATAGAGGACCAACGAATGAAGGTTTGGTGCATGGAGTCCTTTCAGGCATTCAAAGAGTTCCTTCTCCTGATCTAACTCGATTATCTTGGCGGATGCGAGGTGGAGCGTCCTTAAGACGGGCGCATACGACTGGAACTGCCGTAGCGTTGGCAGGATGACCTTGAACTGCGCCCAAAGCTCGAGCTCGGAGATGCGGGAAGGTTGTTGGAAAATGATACGTTTGAGGACGGTTTCACTCGTAGGATGTGCATCGAATGCGTCATAGACGACGCAGAGTGGAATCCTGGTAAAACGCTCGCACAAAGCTACGGCAAGCTCCGGACGTTGAAGATTTAGACGATTCCACAGCCCTGAGGTACCCAGGGCAACGCTCCGCCAGTGCGAGCAGACCTGGACACACTCGGGGGACCATTCGCTCGATTGATGCCATTCATCCACGGTGTTTACACGGGTGTTCTGGGCAAGGACCATAATTCGGGAGAGAATCTCGATTGGGAGATGATTGATGGGTAATGACGCGTTGTGTTCGCCGCGCAAGTCGAAGAGAGCCTTTTTCGTCCGTTCCGACACACGTTCGAGTTCTTCGAGATGATGTAGGCGTTCTGGTGAGAACGCCGCGAGGAGCTCGTGACGGTCATCGGCGCGCACTGCGGGGCAGCTACATGTGCTGCAATGGCGCGAGTTCATTCGACTGGACTCGACATTCAATGCTGAGCTATCAGTAAGGCTGACACTCGGTGACATATACGGGGGCTTCACCTTTGTCGGTCGTCAAACACGCCAATGATCTGATTGAATGCTGACTTGACAATGCTGAGGAATCGTTCTGGTCCGTAGCGCAACGTGTAAGCTCTTCAGACAGGAAAATAGCGCGTCCCCGCCCTCCCGGGTAATAAAAAGCAGATGTGGTCACGCTTGGACGAACGCGTGAAAGCGGACGCAGAGTAGGTCGTGTCACATGGAGTCACAGTCACATGTGCGACGAGGCTGGAAACTACGACGTCGACCTCAAAATTTGATGTTTACAACGATGTCAAAGCCATTGACGGCTGGAGCTCAGCTCTGCCCCACGGGCTAGTACTGGCTTGTCTGACCATGGGCTTCATGACCGGTTCGACTGCGACGGACGAATTACACCAAGAGACACCAGGCCACGATTGAAACCGTCCAGTATATTGTGTATGCTCACTGAGTGCGTACCTGCGCGCACTCGTAATCATACCCTCTCAATGCATACGACACCTCTGAACTCACTCTGCGTGCGGTGCTGTAGCTACATTGAGACGACACGTTAACTGTGTTCGCGAAGAGACATTCGAACCCCCTTTCTCCAAGACTCCCGTACGCTGAAAGCATACAACATCGAATTAAGCCGCTTACGGTTTGCCTTTGCGGGAGCGCGAATGTCTCGGCAACCAGCTTTGTGGTCAATCCGAGCGCCGGACGAGTCCATCGTGCTTTCCGGCCCCCCCTTTCCATCTGCTACGTGGACTCACTTCCTTCTCGTTTCGTCCCGCACCAGATGGTACAGGAAATGCAACAGAATAAGCCACCGTTTCTGTTTGCGGAACGCGGACTAACTCGGCATTTGACCGGAGCACAGGCGGTCTCGATCGCACCGTTCCGTGCCTCCTTCCACCTTCTATGCGGATTAACTTTCAGAGGACCATCCGCGATCCGAGGGTCATAAACCGGGCTCAGATGCGCCCAAACCTTTCCAGAAGTTGCCTTCTAGCTACCGCGACCTCTACTCTCTCGACGCCTTCCTCCTGGACTTACACTCGCTGCAACCTACCCTGTCATTCAGACATCACATCGTGATGTTCGGGTTCATCGATATCATCCTGACCTTTATTGTCATCTTCTTCAAACCATTGTTTTACCTCCTGACCTGCACGGAGGTGGACGAAGAAGCTCTGACCAGCGCTTTCGTCGCCATCAATTTCCCCGCATACTTTCGGGTCCTCAGCACTGGCGGCACCAAATGTAACAATGCCTCCACCGCAAAATGCACTGACCGTGCTGGTGAAACGATCATGGATTACCCTACAATGGTGAGAATAGGTCACCCTCTCTCTAACATCGTATACTCATCTCGGATATTACGATAACGACAGGCCCAGCTCACGCTGAACTTCGTGGATGCCTTCGAGTGTCCCTCCATGGTGGAGCTCAGATTCAACTTCGAGGACGTTTACGCTCGTCCCTCCATGGCACTGCTCAAGTTCAACTTCGAGGACATCTATGCCCGCCCTTCTACGACCGAGTTCAAGCTCAACTTTGAGGACATCTACGACCCCGCCCCGCGTTCTTGCCCCAGACAGCGATCTAATTCCGCCCCTGCTCGCCTCTCCACTGATGCAGCACCCGCGGCTCCCCTCCCCATGACGTCCGCTTCTCTTGAAAAGCCCGAGGTAACCACCGTGGTCACCTCCACCTCCACCGCCGCCGACGTAATCGCGCGCGTTCCGCGCATCCGCGCCCACAGGACGTTCCTCCTTGATGAGCCGTTATAGCACGCGCTCTGGTCTGGGCAAGAAACGCGGCACATATCGCCACGTGACAACCCAGCAAATACACACCCTGCCCCTGCCTTGCTAACGTCGTCCCTCATGAGGACGAGTTTCGCTCTTACCCTCTGACTATGAGCAACTTCCTCGCCCGGCAACTTGATTCGGCACAAGTCACCTTGTAACTGGGTGCTGTCCTACGCGCACACGAATACAACAGTTCAGGGCTTCAAAGCTCCCGATGAATCGAGACTCGGATATGAATACGGATATTGGAACTCGACTGTGTGGACTTGATCTCGCCGTGGATATTGTACAATTGGTACTCCTCCGACCCTGTAACATCTCCGCTTTGTCTCTCTCTTTGCATCTGCCCATCCGGTTTCTACCTTTATAAGGATCACACGCGGAACTGTAGCGTAGCCAAATACAGAAACTCAAACATCGATGCGAGGACATATCACTGGTACACCCTACGATCAATAGAGGCACTTGCTGCCGGTGCAAGAAGGGTAAATGCTCTGCGCCGGCATCACCCCAATCCACATACAACCAGAGATGACGACAAGAGTGGACATCACATAATACGTGAGTACTTCATGACTTGTATTATATGAATGCCAACCCGACGTCAAGAATAGTGCGGCAGGCAAAAGTCCGGCGTAATGATGCATGCTTGAGAATCAGTCTGAGGCTCTCCGCTTGCTAGTTGAGAGCCCTATAGCTGTTGATGAGGTTGCACTACAAGTAATCCTGTCAACGGAAAATAACGGCGTCGTCGAGGGGCAATTATCTGTGTTACCCAGGGAGAGTGGTTAATACAGATTGGATTGAATCCATCGCGTAACGGCTTGTGGTTGCATTCTGCTAAAACCGTGACGCAATAGTAGTCGCTTTGGCCGGTTGGATAGCCATTCAGCAGCATTAGGTGTACGCTGACGTTAGCAACTACGTTTCCTGTCGTAACGGCCGCGACGAAGGACGCGGCCGAGAGGCGAAAGCCAATGATTTGTTGAACATATAGTGTTTAGGTTCGTGCAGGCGTATCAAAGCAGTGGATCACCCCGATGAGTCCACCCTTGATGCAGGAATTGGCCTTATATACCTGGAGATTGTTTCAGAGTTGCTCATGAATCCGCTATGTGCCACGGAGTCGCCCTTGGAATCGGGATGTGGTCCAGGTTAACGACGTGCCACTCGGCAAGCGCACTGTCTCTGCGCGCGTGGACGATTTCTCACGCCACCGGATCGCTTTGCTGGATGCTTGCCAACGTCCCTGCAACGTCTGCCACATCGTGTTTCCTTCCAACGAAAACCTCACACGTAGTGAAGGGACGGCAAATTATATTAGATCTCTGCGAATACATGCCAGGCAAAAGATCATCAACTCCGATCTCCAAAAACGATGCAATTTTTGTGCGGTGCTCTCCTCGAGCAAGATGCATGCTACGCCGTCGGCGATAATCTAGTAAACGCAGCATCGTAATGAACTGTACACTTTTACAGTTGCTCGTGGAAAGGCTATGTGGTCTCGCCAGATGCTCCGGTTAGCCTGTCATCAGCCATCTACCTGCGTCGTTGTTGTCGAGTTTGGGGTATCACAGTGCGTAATAAGGCCTTTCTGTCCACCCGTAGGTTTTCTGGCTTACCTTCATCATGAATATGAAGGCGGAATTTCGTCAGATCTATTTGGAAGATTCTTCAGGGCAAAGAATCACGAACACGTCAGGGTCCGTCATATCTGCCAGCAATGTCAGTTTGTTGACAGGCAGTCGAGGTTCGTGGTCGTTGCTCTTTTGCCTCTTGCCTGTGTCCTCTTACCATCTTTCGTTCCAGCTGGTCTGTACTCCGCCTGGTCGGGAACAATCTATAAAACCCATTCCTTTCGTTTTCCGAGGCCGGACCTCTCCTTTGTCGAAGCTCTCCGCTTCCGCCGACTTCTCCAACAAGCTACTTCGCGCATATAACAAGCTTCGCTCAGCATGAATAATCCTCGATCAATCAGCGCGTCTGTCCTTCTTGCCTTTATACTGCTTATCCCTGGTGTTGGAGCATCCGTTCGGCGGGATCTCAGCGACGTTAACTGGATCAGCCCAACCAGCGGCAGCGCTTTTGACTCCGGGAGCAGCCTCAGCGTCAAGTGGTCGTCAAAGCAAGAGGTCGACACGCCATCTTTCCGCTTATGCGTGCCAGACGACGGTTCCTCCGCACGCCGCCGCTCAATCATGCCCTCTCATGTGGTCTTGCGCCCATCGCATGGGTATTCGAGATCAAGTCGGCGTGCGCTACGAAACCGCGCTTCACGTAGCCAATCCATAGTCTTGACGCGTAACTCGCACGATGGCAACGAAGACGGGGATGGGTTGGCGAACGGTTCGGATGGCGATTCAGAGGACGATGCGGTTCATGAAGATGCAACACCGGAGGATTCCGACGGGGAGCAAGCAGATGGAGTCAAAGCCGTTGATTCAGATGCCGCCGGTGATGTTGATACTGCCGGGCAGGAGAATACTTCGTGCGGAGATCCCTTGACTCCCGAGGTCCAAGACGTCGATGGGACGTATGTCGCCATCTTGTGGGTTGTTCTCGGTTGTTTCGAGTTGTTTTCATCTTGACTGATCACGCTCTGCGCAGAGCTGCACCGAATGTCGCTGCCGAGGCGACATTTTATTTGCAAATGGAGGATTCTTCAGGCCAGCAGAGCATTTCGCCTACGTTCTCGCTGTCTTGTGAGTTAGCTATCATGCGAATGCTCAGGCGACATCTTTTGACCTCTGTCCCCTTAGCTATCAGCGCAACGTCGGATAACTCTACTGCCGGTACTTCGGCAGCGGCATCGCCCACCGGTAACAATGATACTACTCAAGCAGCGCTCGATAAAGCTCGCAGGCCGCCGCCAGTTGCGGCATACGCGGTCCCACTCTCGATGGTTGGAGCCGTTCTGCTGGTAGCCCTATGCCTTGCTTGGAGGCAACATAGGAAGCTCAGGCAAGACCGACTGGAGTCCTTAGCCAACATGGAGAAAAGCAGTCTCCGAACGACCCTCAGCCATCCGCTCGCTTATGGCAGCACGACAAGGAGCCTAAAGAACGAGAAGGGTGGCTCGGAGGCGTTCGTCCCGACCTTATACTCTGAACCTTCCTATGGTCCCAATGAGCGATATACCGCGATTCCTCGGAGGAGCTCTAGATGGGATTATGCTCCTGGGTCTATGGGGGCTGAGCCACGACCTGTAACCCATGAACCATGCTGGCCCGCCCTCAACCAAGATTTCGAGTACCGGTCGACGGACTCGATGCGCATGTCGAGGAACTTCGGGACCGCTCCCGTCAGAGCATTCCGCCAGGCCGGTGCTGCGGGACCGGCATCGCCACACATCGATCGCCGTGCAACGGACTCCGCTGTTCCTTTCGGTGGGGCTCAGGAACGAGTACGCGTTTTGACGCCGGCGAGAATGCCTTCAGAGCCTCTGATGCACCACGAGGGTGGCGCCCGCTACTCGAAGCCCCTCCCTCCTGCGCCTCTGCGCCCCCGTTATACGCCTTCGATCAATCGACACTATGCGTCGCAACCCTCGCAGGCTTCCCCTCACTACATGCCAGAAAGACAAGATATGTGCCGAGAAGCGTATCAGGCGCCTATCGGCGGCGTGGACGCGAGAAGCAGGGAATGCGACGAAATGTATGATGCGGTGCATAGGGCTCTGAGTAGTGGACACGCGCATTATCGCTGACAGTACGCTCCCTTGCCCGTCGAAGTCGTGGTAGTAGTCGTAGTGGCAGACCATGAATTGAGTTTGATTTATTCTCAAAATCTCACAAGGGAGGTAATCGGCTATAAATTGCTCGCCTAAGGGATGTACAAGACGCAGATAAGCAACAAACTAGGTCGCAGAGGGGCCACCGAACATAATCTACAGTAAGCTTACAGCGACGAACCGGCAGCATATAATGATAAATATACACACGAAACAGAGTAAGGTAAACCGTACAACCGTAGAGTCTCTGGAGGAGTATACCAGCCGTCATGTCAATAACGCAGTGCAATCACAATGAGTAGAAGGAAGGCGCGGCACAGCCGTTGAAGTCTCCTGCCGTCGTGTAGGGATCGTCGTAGGGGCACTCCGGTTGCCATTCAGCAGGCGGCATATCAGCTTGATGGCTGCTAGAGCAGCTGTCGCTGCTTTGGGTGCCGTAGTCGAAGAAGAACCCGTTGGAGCTGTAGCCAGCGTAATCGTTAGAGGCCATAGGAGACTGAGCGGGCATCCAAACGTCGGTGCGCGGAGCGGAGGGAGGGGCAGCCATCGAGGGTGGGGCGAACGTGCTGATAATCACGGGGGTTTCCAAGGACGGCGAGGGGGAAGGCGAATCATCGCTGCCGACAGTTGAAGGCGACGACGCAAAGTAGGGAGATTCACCGAAGTCGAGGCTTGGCATTTCTGTCGGTACGGGGCTTTCAGCAAGTACAGTCCCGTCACCGGTGGTGGAGAAGACGCCCTGCAAGGTACTACATGAGTCGACGGTTCAGGGCGCGGACAAGTCCAGAAACATACGTATTTAGCTACCGCACGCTTCAGCGCCTTCTCGAGGACCATCCAATCGAATACCTTGACTGTCTTTTCGATGGTGAACGGCTTCGGCTCTGGGAACATCATGATTGTCTTGAACACCCGCTCGAGTCCATGGCGATCCTTCGATACGGTGGTCGGCCCCAAGTTATCAAGGTTCCTAGAGAATATTCAAGTTAGTGCACGGGGCGGGCCAGAGGCGAATGCGAACATACCGTCTGATGCTACCCTTTTCAGATGCCGGAAACTCTTCTCGGGCATCCCTGGTGAGAAGCATCTCGAGGAGGTCGATCACGTTGACAGACGTGAAGCAGTATGATCTCGTATCCTCGCGCCAAATACAGGAGATGGTGATCTCGTTGTCGAGCCATTGATCGAGGCCCTTTTGCTCGTCATACCGCTCCTGAGTAATCGCCTCGCAGTGAAGTTGGATCTTGCTCCCCTGCACGGTGCGGACGAAGCGGACAAGACGTCGCTTCGCCTCAAATTCCTCGCGAGTCCAGTTGACTGTCATGCTATACGTGGGCGTAATGATCTCAAGGTGCGGTTCGCCGAGATGAACGAGCTGGGGGTCTTTCTCGGCGGTGCTGATGCGCATGACGGCGAGCGAGACGTCCTCGAAGATGTTGGCTGACTGAGAGGGGAGTGGTCGGGTATTGTGACGAGGCATAGACGAGGGCTGTCGTCTTGACGAAGCAGGCGTAGGGCGACGAGAATTGATCCGTCGGTGCCTGGTCAACGACTTCTTCTTGCCAGTCACGGAGACGGCGAAGACGGCGGGCGGGGGCAACGACGCATCTACAGGATAGTTTTAATCGAATGATCCTTGTGGTGACGCCTGTGACGAACGTACCAGAGCTTCCATACGTTATGGTCCCGCAAAGGATCGTCTTGGCGAAACATCCTTGCTTGAATTGAACGGCCAAGCGACCGCGGAGGGCGTCGCACCTCGGTGCGAAGGCGAACAGGGTGAACTCGCCGTCCCTCTGGCCCTGTTGGACATTCGTCCCCAGATCCTGGTCGTCAACCGACAGGCCGAAGTAGATATTGTCGGGGATTTTGCTATGAACGCGGACGGTGGCGGCGATGGTCGCGCCAGGGCGAGGCACGGAGCCAGTGTAGTTGAGGAGCTCGAGATGAGGAGAATGAGTCGATGATTTGACGATCATGGCGGCGGTGGCAGGGCAGGCCGGTGACTATAGAAGGCGAATTTCACTGGCACCGCTTTGGCGCGGAAGGGGGAGGGGAGTTGTGGGGGCGAGTGGGCCGGGGAGGGAAGAGGTGCTGTGTCTCGGCTACCAACCCGGCTTTTCAAGTCGAACGGTCGGTCCGGCCGGTCAATCAGGACGCAGCAAAGGAGAGGGGGGGGGGGAAGACAAACAACGGCCACGATCGCCTCATGCCCCATTATCGGGCCGCACATGTCAGCGCCCCAGCCAGTGGCCTGGAAACCTTATTGCGTGAAACATCCTGGAATAGGGGTCGGGATATTCGTCCTTTTGATGAGAGTCGAGCCCGTCTTTTTTTTTCTTTGCGATCTGCCGAGTGCCGACAGGAGGTCGGTAGCCTCGTTCCCGTTCGCGAGCCAATTGTATACAGTCGGTGATCGGCGATGCAACTGTACCCGTAGCCGATAAGCCTGCGGCCACGGATAGTTGCATGGACGTACGCTCGCATCCTTGGTGCATGACATGATTATCGCGCTTCCCGAAGGGCCACTTCGTGTGGCGTGCTTCGCGCTCCAAGAGCGCTGATACTGTGAATAGGAGGAGAAGACCAGCAGAACGGTGATGCGGCCCATGCGCTCCGAACAGGGAAACTGTTGGCCGAGCGTTCGGAGAAATGTCAGGGGGTATTCTTCGCGCCACACCAGAACAGGTGCAAGGCACGCGATCCATTAAGATTAAGCGTGGACATGTCCGCAAGAGGCAACTCCGACAATAGTACGACGCCTTGCGGACGCGAGGTACGCTGGTAATGAGCACCCTCGGAGAAATAGCCATCTCCGCGGGGATGGTTGGGTAGCCGCGAAAGACGATCGAGGGAAGGTCGCAGGAACCTGCTGATGGGACGCATATGGAACTGCGCCGAATCGGTCCTGGTCGCTGAGGCCACACTCGCGGTGAAGTTAAAGCACACATTGTGGGCCATTGTGGGGGGCGTCTCCTGAACACGTAAACCGCAACAGGCGCTTTGCGTTTCGTTCTGAGTCAGCCGCTGGGCGCAAGAGCCGCGGGACGAGAGGGTTGGCGGACTGGTGTCTTCGCGACATACATCGGTAGTGCCGATCTCTGATCTTTCCAAGGATTCTGATAGGTGACCGGACCATGGACTATCACCGTCGAGAAAGACGAGCGAAACTGCATGTGATATCCTGGGCTATCGGGCGTTCACGATCTAGATCAGTTCCGTAGTCACCGGCGGCACAGCCCTTAGCCATCGGCGGCTTGTGGCGTCGTTAAAGACTTAAAAGTGCTACAAAAAGCTCGTAGTCAGGGGCCGTACAACGCAGGCTAAGGCTCAAAGCGTGGACTGGACCCACATGCTCTCCGTAATAACCCCTATTGAAACGAGAGGCCCTGAAGCGCGCGGAGCCGACACAAGAGAGTGCAGACAGGAGTGCCCTGAGCTCCCGAGGTGCAAAGTGGTTCCAGTGGGTCACCCGACGCTCGAAAAAGGAAAGATTAACGTAGGTGGGGATTCTACGCTTCCTGAAGCGGTAAAACCCATCGATTCTGGACGCAACTTAGCATGTGGTATTCTTTCTGGTGCTCGACGAAGGCACCCGAACCTTGTGTGTGGTGGGGCAGTGAGGATATAGACATACGATAGCCTGCTGGATACTGATTATTGCCTATGTCGCCCCGTCGGCAAAGAAATGGCCGTCCAGGTGGCCGGCAGGCGCGTGGGTTACCGCGACCCGGATGAGGAGATCAAACTGAGATGATGGTCTGGGCACGGATAAGTGGATTGGCAGGAGGCGCTGCAAGGATATGACCGAACCGGGGAATAGCCCGGTAAAGGAGGCGCGACCTATTTTGATTTCCATCTGGAGCTAGTGCGGAGAGAGATGATGAATATATGCAGAGATGACAGCGTGAACTGGGGATGATATGGCCGCGATAGGGTCTGCCAAGGGCTAGGGGGAAATCTTGATGTGCCCCCTTGCTGTGATCCATCGACGCTCAAGGCAGGCGCCGTCGCAATTCGTCGGTCATGCACGCCCTCGCCGCCGACCGATCAGTAAGAGTCGTGACTTCGGCCCCGCGGATAGTGCTAGTGTCAGAGAACAAAGAAGACGTGCGCGCGCTCTCTTTGTCTGATTGTTTTAACCATCTGATACGGTTGACAGCGATCGTAGGCCGGACGGCCGGTGAGCTTTCGGGGGAACGCATCGTAGGATCCTATGAAATCATCGTACGCATAAAACGAGGTCAGCCAACGAAACACCAGCTTCTCCGCAGTACGCATGACCTAGCAAGGTGTACTGCCTAGTGATATAGCACACAGACGCTATTATTCTTGGGCTTGTCTCGATGTTTTCGCGTGAACCCCAAGTGTCGGTGATACGGACACGTTCTTCGCTGGCGCGCCCTGTATGATCGACCACGCCAGGTGACTGGTGGTCGCGGTGCATATAAGCGCCAGACAAACACAATGGCGATATTTCGCGATCGGACGATAATAAAGCGACCCTTTCCCTAACCCTCCGGATAAACACGAAGCTGGACAAATGCATGATTTTCTGAGAGGAATGCAGCTCGTCAAGGCGCCGCACCTCTGCAGGAATTGTATCAGGACCTGGACTTCTCATCGATGATCATATCCCAGCGCCGTCACCAGCGGTAGAGGTCAATTGTTCTGCGCCACGAATTCTATCGTAAGAGGATGCCCATGTAAACTCTAGTCGTCTGCAGGATTAACAACATTGACAAAGATCTGGCTTTCGATTCCAGGGACGAAACGACTTCGCTAGGTCGCACCGTCGCAGGGGGCGTCGCTTCAACTTTTTTCTGGCGTCACGATCACGTGCAAGTTGCTCTGTTCGTGACGCAACGTGCGCGACGCGCGTCACGGTCGTGTCGACCTTATCCGAATCGTGATTAGTCGACGTCGAGCGTCGAGAAACCTTCGAGGCATAAGTACGTCCGGACGTCTTCCGTGTCCGTTACTCCCTGCAGCTGTTTCGTCGTCAAGCTTGCTGGGAAGTGATGACGCCATGCTCAAATCTTCGCTGGCTCCCGGCGGACTGGCCTGAGCAACTCCAGGGATCTTCGTACCCAAGCTTGTAGATGCGGAGCTGCACATCGACTCCAGTAGTCTTCTTCAACATCCCGGGGGAAGCATGCCCCCGGAGTCCCGGCGGTTGGCGCTTGCGAATCACGTCGCCAATTTCCGCATCGGGCAGCCCGCCTGCCCAGAAAACACGCCTTCGTCACGTTTGAGGCGCATCTCGAGATTTATTGATCGCGGCCGACGATCTCTCCACGTCGGACATCGGTCACCTGCCGCTTCTCGCACCGCGCTCAAACCGCACGCGCTCACCCGGCCCCGGATTTTTTCTCTAAAAAGACACCTGTCTTTTGGGATTCGCCCCCGCCCCGCGTCTGTTTTTCTCTGTCTCTCTCAGCAGTCCCATGCTGTGTCCGCTCGTTCAACATCGTTGACCTCCACTCTCTTTTGTCCATATACCGGCTGTTGTCCTACGCCCTTTTTCTGAGCCTGCCGTCGCTCTAGCCGCGGATCCCGCCATGAACCGCCAGCCTGCTTTCTCCGTGGCCGAGTTCAACGAGCTCGTCTGCTCGACACTCGATCGCGTCCCGCCGCCGGACCTGTCCTTCTCGGTGCCGCTTCAAACAAGACGGGACAACTCCCGGTCGACCCTAGATCTGTTTCGGAGGTCCAACTCGCGATCGCAAACCCGCGCGGAGAGGGCGGCGCCCAACCCGACCGCCACGCCGGAGCCGCCCCGCCCCAAGCATGCGCGCACGCGCACCAACTCGCTGCCGAAGTCGTTTTTTGACATATCGCCAGACGCCAAGGCGACGGCTGCGCAGGCCGTCCACCACCAGGAGAACACCCGCTCTTTCTTCGATCAGAGGCAAGCGCTCGATTTCGCGCGCTCGCTCCCCCACGCCCGGCCTTTCCAGTCTCTTCTCGCTGCCTTTCAAACTTGGCGCGTCACCGGGCGGCGCCTCCAGCCGGAGAGGACTGAGCCCTCTTCCGACACCCATCAGAGCCTCATTCGCGGATGACATGGGCAACTTGCCGTTTTCCTCGAACGACTTTGAGTCTCCTCGCGATCCTCCTATGACCCCTCTTTCAGCATACAACCCTCATTGGCCCAGCTCCGCGGTATCCGACGTACCCTCCGTGAGCCGTTGGTTTTGATGAACATGTTCTCGTTGCTCATCGTATCCGTCTAGGAACGCGACATTCCTTTCAGGTTCGGAGATGCGCTGCCGGAACCCGTCTCTCTCAACGATTCTGTAAGTCTTGCATGTCTTGTGGGGATAAGGACTGACATCGGCATCTAGGCCGAGTTGATGCCGCCGCCGCCTCTGCCCGACTACCTGCACCTTAGAAGAGGCTCAGCGACGTCTACCGCGACCAATGTAATGATCCCACTCGCTACGCTGCGAGGCCGTATCACTGATCGCAATCACACAGCAATCCAAGTCAAGCATTGCATCTAAGCTGATGTCGAAACTGGGTCGCCCGTTTACCTCCAAGAGCAGCCCGTCAGGCACTTCGCCCGGTTCGCTACCTTCCTCGTCGCTCCCGGTCACGCCCATCTCCGCTACCTTCAATTTTCCCGAGAACGTCAGAGCGAGTAGGCGACCTTCGGCTGAGGTCGAAGAGAGAAGCTCTCGCACGACGAAGCGCAAGGATAGGTCGGGAAAACAGAAGCCCTCCAGTAAGGTTCAGGAGAAGCGGTCCAAGTCCAAACCGAAGCCGGTTCGCATGCGCATCGACGTTCCTGCTCCTCCCAGGCGATCCACGTCCGCTCCGTCCCTGAGACAGCGCGCCAGCCTCGCGGATCTGGACATAGAGGAAGAGCTCAACCAGGCCGACATGGAGCGCGCATTCACTCCGGAGTCGGATCCGTTCGCCAAGGGCGAAGTCGAGCTCGTGGACGCATTTCATTGCTCGCCATCGGGCTCGCCTTCGAGGACGCTCGGGTCAGCGGCCGGCAGCATCTATTCGCTCAACGACGACTATTATCCCGCGCCGGAGAGGATTCCCTTGCCGCTTACGCCTACCTCGCCCGAGTTCGGAGGCTTTTCGCGTTCTTCGTCTCAACGGAGTCGCGTTACATTCGAAACCCCGAAGGTTTACGGTTGCTCATACGAAGCCCCGCACCCGCCTACTTCCTACAGATTCCCCGCGCACTCGCCCAAGGGCAACCCTCCCAGCCCTCGTCGTTCAAGCCCTCGGTCTCATCTCGAGCGAGCGATTCTGGCGTACCCCACTCCTGAGCTGGAGGATGGACCTTTGGATAAACCAGGCTTGCGTCCCAGGCTTTCGTCCGTTTCGGCAACCAGGCAAAGGCTACTGAGACGGGAATCTGCGAAGGCCGCTCCGACCCAGCCATTGCCTGCACCCCCTATGCGCCACTTCTCCGGCTGCTCCGCCGACTTCGGGGGCGGCTTGTTGGACGAGGACTCTGCCAGCACGCCCAAGGCGAACAAGACATGGGCCATGCAATGTAGGACGCCCGCAATTTCACCTGAGGGGCAGGCGGGCAGGGCCTCGTGCGAGAGCGGGAGCAGCATAGGTCTCGGTCTGGTGGACTGCGTGGAACCTTCGCGGATGCGCACGCCTGAACCCCACGGCACCACGGGAGATGTTGCCTTCACACCACCCCAGTTACCGTCGACTGATAACGATACCACTCCCGTACGCCGTTCCCCGGGAAAGACGACGCCTCCGTCGTACAGGATGGCTAAATACGTGCCTTTGGAGAAGCACAGAGGCCGGGAACCGCCCTCGTCCCCGCCCTCGTACCGTCCGCGGCATAGCGAGAAGGCGCCTTCAGCAGGATCAGCATCGTCCGCTGGTGTTGCCCAAGATCCGTTCTCGAATAGGCAGCATCTCCGCCCTGACTCCGAGCGGACGTTCGATGGCTCTATCGGGTCTCTGGGCTCCTTCAGAAAGTCCGGCAGCTTGTCGATCACGTCTCGTTCGCCTGCCCCGTCTCTGTCTGAGTTCCCGTGCCCGCCGCTCGCTGCGGCATTGTCCGGAGCTGATTCGGGAGCGGACACAGATGCGTCTCTAGCTTCGGGGGCACAAACGGCGGAGCGACAGCGTTCTCGGAGCGGTCGTTCTGGCTCGCCCTTTCCCTTCGCCAGGAGCAACTCGACCGAGATGGAGAGCCAGAAGATGCTTGAGGAACCCACGACGGCGGTGACGGAGGACGTTATCATGCCGGGCGCATATATCGAAGACTTAAGCCCTCCAGCGGATGGTCAAGTACGGCACAAGCCCTCGTTCCCTTTCGAGCATCAAAGGCAGCGCTTCCTGAGCGAGATGGACCTCATGTTCACCCCGCGGAGCAGAGAGAGCTCGATCGCTGGCGATGATCACGAGGGCAGTGTGTGCTTCAGCGACCCCTGGATGATGCCCTCCGGCGCGAGCTCGAGGGCTGGGTCGGTCAATTGTCTGTCAGACGATGGGGATTCCGCTAGCATCGGGAGATTATGCATGGACATGTTGTCGTTTGACGATGATGGGGAGGGCCTGGGGAGCGGCTTGGACGAGGATCTGTTCGAAGACGCGAGAGATGATAGTGGAGTCTTGGGGGAAGATTCAACTGTGCACGAGCTGCATAGTTTCAGAGAGAAGGGAGGACGATGGCTTCAGCCGTATATCCCAGAGGTTAGTGACTTGGGAGCGTATTTCGTGGTGCAGAGGCTCACATGATGTGAATTAGTTCTCAAACGCGCGCTCGAATTCACCGGTGCTCGGCCGTATTCCCTCATCGTCTGGTAGATTGTCCCCGAACGATCGTACACCCACGTTGGAAACGGGCCCTACGGTGTCGTCTATTTTTCATGGTCTTCGCCGGCTTCACAGTTCGTTCTCAAAGGTCGCGGACGTGAAAGATCCTGAGGAGTCTGACTCTGCCCTCACTCCGCCTCCGCTGCCTGATGTACTAGAGTCACCAGTTCCGGTGGAGAAGCCGCTTCCGTCTGTCCCGTCTTCCCCGGTCTCGCCGGTTCGGTCTATCAGGACAAGAGAGATCACTCAGCGCTTTAGAAGGCTGGGCGGTGTCAAAGCTGGACTGCCTTGGTCGTCATCGGAGGCGAAGACGAAGCTGCCGGATCGAGAGGGTGGCGGAGCTGAGCGCGTCGCGCACTCTCGTACGCATTCGCTCGCCTCCAAGGGGAGCACCTATCACAGCGCTAGGTCTTCATGGGCGTCGGGCCAAGAAGAACGAGCCGCGGAGGACGACACGGAACTCGATACGCCTTTGTGCCCGACTTTCCCGGTGGATCTTCTGGAGGAGGAGGAGGCAGATGAGGATGAGGCATGCAACGAGCGTGACTCTGGCGTGTTCGTTCGGCAAGACGGACCCAGCTCTCTGCATGCGACCGGCTTCAAGACCTGAACGCGAGACAAGAGGTTCACCAAGCACACATCCAGGATTCGGGTACTGTCGCGTTTCACCTTTGGGCGCCGTTCTATTCTACAAGCACTGTAATCTGACGCTATCAGTCACGTTCTCGAGCTTCCAGCTGTGTCAACGTTATCCATGTTATTCTCCACCATGTTGTGCGATATGTGCAGTTAATCGTTGATACCCCCCTGTGTTCTGGAACCTCGAGGTATGAGTAAGCTAGTAAGCCTTCGCGATAGTGTATTTGTTGTTGGTACGACGTGATTGATAGAGCTTAATAGACCGCAAGGGATTGTCGAGGGAAACCAAAACGAAAACCACCTGGTACCAAACATTGTCGACGTGATACGCCAGAATCTTGAGAGCAACTCTCACTGCTGAGCCGATCGGCACTTGGGGCTTGCTATGAGGTACTCCCCGGTTATCTATGGAAACCCTTCGCCAATTGTACCTAGATGAGCGTCATGTCTCCGATTCGAGACACGATATCGGGGGAGAAAGAACAAGATCGCCGGTCGGTCACTAGCAATCGGGCTCGGACCTTGCTCGGGACCACGGAGCCGGCGAACACACTGAGACAAAAAGGCTGTGTTCGGGATGGGGTTCGGGAGCGGGAACTAGGGGTGCGTCTGAGGCAAGTCTGAGGGTTTGCAGGAGGGACTGAGGTTACGACTCTGATCGTTGGGAGGTCAGCCAGCGTCCAGTGACTGCCATTGACGGCAGGCATTACGAGAACCGCGGTTCAATATCATAGGATACCCAGTCCACAGGAACGGGGCCCGATACCGTGATACGAGCATTCTGAACATGTGGATACGACTCCATCGCCAGGTACTAGGACTGGTCATCAACGAGGATAGAGGGATTAAGATTAAGGCTTGGGCATGGTAAGTACCTCCTGTGTGATGTCGACAGCCGAGGAGACATACCTGATTGCATGCACTCACGGCTCGAATGCGATGGCGCCGAGTCATGTCATTGACTTGAGACTGTGCTCGTTCATGGAAGGAATACGTTGTCGCTTAACGGATGTTGTTCGGCATCAAGACCTGTAACCAAGTGGCATTGTGCATCAGTATGCGCCAGCTTGCGTAGACTCGATCACCCTTACAATCTGGACAAGTAGCCGATTTACGTCCACCGAACTTGAAGTGATAGAGAACTGCATTCTACGGATGTCGTATCATAGTTCTGAATGCTGTTTGTAACATGCATCATGGCGTGTTGATTCTGAGCGTGATCCAGCCTCCAGTCCGGCGCCACCGTTTTTTGGCAGTCGCGCATCGAACCTGCCCCATGGCCAAACGCAAACAGAAGACCCAAGACGAAGTCGATGGTGACGATAGCGACGTCGTATGTGATTTTTTGTGACGATGCACGCTGTGAGGGGGAACCTGAAACGCTGGTGCTCTAGTAGAGCCTCGTCGATGTCGACTTCGAATTCTTCGATCCGAATCCGAAGGTCGATTACATCGCCCTCAAGAGGCTCATCGTACAACAATTCCAAAGCGATGCGGAGGCTTTACAAGTGAACGATTTGGCAGATCTCATCCTTAGCCAACCCCTGGTCGGGACGACGATCAAATGCGACGGGATCGAGAGCGATCCGTATGCGGTGCTTACGGTGTTGAACATGCATGTTCACCAGGTGTGTGAATGCTTGTGCCTCTGCCTCTCAAGGTTGGTTTCGAGAACGATTTTGCTTATCGCAGGCTCGACCTTCCATACGGGCCATCAGGGATTACGCTCTCGCCAAGTCGGGAGCCAATCCTGCGTTTCATCAAGCGCTCCAAGGCCTCCTGGGGGAGTCAGGATTGCAGTCCCAAAATCACGTCGGACTCGTGTTCTCCGAGCGACTGATCAACATGCCCGTGCAGACCGTCCCGCCGATGTACCGTATGCTCGAGAACGAAATCAAGTGGGCCATTGACGACGTGGGTTCTACTTACGCACTCAAGCTGCAGAAGCAACTAACAGCCGGCATCTCACAGAATGAACCATACCGTTTCACGCATCTAATGTTCATCTCAAGGATATACAAGCTCACAGACGCGGAAGCTGCAGAGCTCCATGCCGACCAACCACGGTCGAAAAAGCACAAGAATGCCGCAGCTGCGCAGGCGTCTAGCACCGCCAAAGGCGGATCGTACTCGTTCCATCCCGAAGATGAGATCATCCAAAAGGTCAGCATACGTGATTGTTACCGATGATCCGTCCGCCCGTAACGGCCACCTGACGCCGGCACTCTTCCGTTTGTAACTAGTTCGCCACGCACGCCATCGATTATTCGTTCACGAACGCGCAACCACGGGACGAGGAGGCGTTTGGACTCGATACAGGGGGGCGCATGATGCTGGTCCCCTCAGACCGATTCCAGGAGCTCATCGCGGCAATAAACAGGGAATATGCCGTCCCCCCTTAAATGCTGACCACCACGGAAATATCAATGTATGCCATCGTCATTGCAATCAGTCTGCATCGATGTCCGCGCAAGCTTGTCCGAAGTCGTTTACCACATCACATATAGCACGTAGACTGTTATAAAGGGGTAAGATGATGGCCAGTGTACTGTGCATAGGGGTGCCCGCACACGTCGCGCCACATGGCGACGGAATACCGACGGAGAACGCGGACCTTGTCGATGATCAAATGGACGATCTTACCACATGTCGCAGCAGCTTGCAGCGGGCCGCACGCGTCGTGCCGTAACTGCACAAACATCGCGAATGTCCGAACGTCCAGACGTGCCTTATCTTGACCTCTACTATTATTCCGAGTATGATAAGTACCTGCCCGGACCAAGCCTTGCACTTCATCCTCGATGTACTCTCGCCCCCTCCTCGGACGGCCGCAGTGTAGGCTCACGCGCCTCCCGCGACTGCCGCCAGTCCCGAAAGCCAGGCGTCTGTCGAGCGAACCGCCCAACCCTGGACCGGAACGCGAAGCGCGCAAGCGACAGGCACTTCGCCTATCGAAATACGGATTCGCAGCGACAGGAGGCATCCTTGGAGCCGCTCTCCTGCTGGGGCTTGGAGATCGCAGCGTTCACGCCGATGCCGATGCGGAGGAGGACAAACACAAGCGGCCTACGGCATCCTTGGGCAGCCTCATCCGAACATACGTGGTCTACGCTGCTTGCTCGTTCCCTACTTTGGTGGATGCCGCGCCGACTGTATTGAATACGCTCCTATCGATACCGGGGGTGAAGCACATCACGGAGGCCGTCGTGAGGGCGACCTTCTTCTCGCAGGTGCGTCGGCCCGTATATATGCGAGTGTCTCTGGCTCATCAAACGCTCTTACGTGTTTTACGCAGTTCGTAGGAGCCGACACTGCGCAAGAATGCATCCCTTTACTGAAGGAATTGCGTGCTGAGAACAAGGGCTGCCTATTTGCATACAGCGTGGAGGTAGATGAGGCCGAAGCAGCTGGCGTTCAAGTCTCACACACGAATGAGCACGAGAAGCCGCCTCATAAACAGGCAGTGGAGGAAATGATCAATTGCATCAATGTTGCCGCCGATTTCGAAGACGGGCTGGGAACTGAACGGACCGGTAGGAGGACGTGGGTTGCGGTGAAACTCGTATGTGTTCACGTCTGGACCGCTCCCCGACCCTCTCCTGATAACCAGTCGTACATCACTCAATTCCCTTAGACGGCATTGTTACCGGATGCTCAAACTCTCGTCAATTTTTCATCCTACCTGGTCAACTCCCGTCCTCGGACTAAATCGCCGATAGCCTTTCCTGGTTATCCAGTCCCCACGGATCTGGATATTCTCGCTTCTCCGTCTCCCCCGGCAAAGACTCCTCTCACTACACAAGACATCGTCGCTCTCAAAGAATTGTACGATGACATGTTCAGGATATGTTCGCGGGCGCAAGAGAGGGGGGTAAAGGTCATCATCGATGCGGAATACACGTAAGCTGTCGAGATCCGAGATGCACGTCTTCATCTGCTCATATGGTCTACCGCAGCTGGTACCAGGTATGCGTTCCACCATTTAGCATGCCCAGCGTAGCACTGAAAACGCGGCCCAGCCCGCGGTAGATGCGTATGCACACGCGCTCATGCGCCATTTCAACAGACTGCCTTCGACCGGAGGTAAATGGAAGCAGCTCATCGGATCGACACCAGTAGCCGCTCCCGCAGTGCAACCGCTGATATATCAGACTTACCAGGCCTACCTGCGGAGGTTCGTCTTTCAACATTATCCCCTTCTTTATCGCGCCCAACGTCCTTTCGCAGAACGTTGGGTTACTTGCAACAAAGTCTCGAGGATGCGCGCGAAAACGGGTTCGCGCTCGGGGTCAAGCTCGTCCGCGGCGCGTACCACCCGCACGAGCTGGCGGCCCACCCGAACGGCAAGACCCCGAAGGATTCCTCCGACCCTAGCCTCCAAGTCAAACTGCCCTCTATCTCGCCGGACCCGGAACCGCCCGTTTGGCTGAAGAAGTCGGAGACGGACGCGTGCTACAATGCGTGCTTGCGCGTGCTGGTTGAAGGCGTCGCGAAGGATGTGAAGGCTCGCGGAAGAAACGGAACGCCCACGATCGGCGTGTTGTTCGGCACGCATAACACGACGAGTGCAGAGCTCGTGCTGGAGGAAATCGTTCAGCACGGACTGGGGTCCAGGACGCAAGGAGGAGAGGTCGTCTTGAGCCCGGAGGTCACGGAAAGGATCAATATGGGCCAATTATATGGTATGTGTTGTCTCACCGCACTACAGCATGTGGTGGCTCAATATCTAGAATAGGGATGAGCGATGAACTTACGGACTACCTAGCAAGCAAGACGAAGGCGGCTTCGCCGTTCGTGCTGAAGTGAGCTCTCTCCTCTACGCTTCCATAATAGATAATTTTGGTGACCAACGAACATGTTGTTAGATACGTCCCCTATGGCGCTTTGAAGGATGTCATGCCATATCTAAGCCGCAGAGCAATCGAGAACAAGTCCGTGCTCTTCGATGGAGCGGCGGCCAAAGAAAGGCAACGCGCATGGAACGAAATCAAACGCCGGATATTCGGATAATGAATACATTTCGCTGGGTTCTTTCCATGTACTAAGTACAGTTCTTTGGGCAGATAGAGTGGAGATCGTTTGCGATGTGAATATGGAGGTGATGACGATGACGATGCACACACGATATAGAGCATTTCAAACCGCGCGCCATGCATTTAAGCGCCTACCAGTTCACGGAACTCGGTCGCCCATTCGCTCTTCTGCAAGACCTCGATAAATGCGTCAAACTTGGGCGACAGGCCAGAAACGGATATCTTGCTAAGCGCCGCAGACGCGCGAAGAGTGCTTCTGCGCAGCTCTGCCGCCCGTTCGACGTCCTGCTTTACTGTATCTTTGGTGACGTTGGGACCCTTGACCGATTTCTCAAGCAATGGCGTGGCCTCATCGAGCCGCTGGGCAACAGCGGTGGGCGCTACTTGCGAGAGGCGGAAGAGGATCATGTGGCATATGACCTTGATCTCGTCTGAATCGTCTCCCAAACCGCTGAGGACGCGCGCCAACAGTTCGTTGATGTCCAACTTGGGAAGGCAAGTGTCGAGCTAGAGATGACATGCATAAATCAGGTCGACGAATAGATGTTGCTCAGATACAAGCCTACCAGAGTGTACACAGTCTCGTACGCCGTTTTGCGGGCATCGAGACCGTCGTCGACTTTGTGTGTCCAAGGGCCCATCTGCACAGTGCGGATAAGCTCAGGTTTGACCACGGTTTCCGAGTAAAGGTTGGGTATGATAAACGCGAGGTGCTCCCGAACGAGATGCGGTTTTGTGCGCGCAGCTGAGTTCAATGCGGACAGAGCGAGTCGTCGCACAGTCTATAAATGATGTGAGAGGTTACCCGATGTAACCTCATATGCACTACGCACGAGATCCGGGTCTTGCATGAGACACAGGAAGTCCACGAGCAGCGGAGACAGCAACTCGTCATACGATTGCGAGGCGTCCGCGAAGGTGTAGCGGATGGCGGCGATGACAGTAGCTCTTGCAGCAGGATTTACGTCACGAATACGTGCCTGAGTCGCCGGTTAGCGATGCTGGACGTTGGACGTCCTCAAGTATGCAACACGTACATGAAGCTGCGGCAAGTATTGTGATGGATGTGTTGTGGTGAGCTTTCCAAGGCACGCCGCCGCGACGTTGCGCGTAGCTTCTTCAGCATTCTCAGAATTTTCGAACAGCGGAGTCCACAGGGTGTCGGCAACCGTCTCCAGTTGCCCATGAGACGTGTGACTGACGACCTGAGCGTATACGGTCAGTAATGTACGTCGACCGAGCAATTGACAGCACAGCACCTCTTTGAGAGCGTGTAGGGACAACAAACGCTTCTGAGGATCACTCTTTACCAGCTTGACAATGGCCGGAAGGAACAAATGTAAGTTGCCGATCGCGATGTTGCCTGGGTAAGGGGAGGGTAAGGACGGAGGATCAGTGTCAGCCATTGAGACTTGCCGGCAGCGAAGGCAGCCGCAGTGCGTATTTCCTCCTGCTCTGCACCAAAGTGGTTAATAGCATGAGTGAAGATATCTTGTTGGTTCGACATGTCACTGTATTCTCCAAGGAATTGAGGAGTCGTGTCGGCAATCTAGGGTGGGACACTCACATGAAACGCCCGCATTCTCCCAAGGTTAAGAGACTGAGAACAACTTGTCGTGGCTTCGCCTTAGAGGCAGGCTAGTCGTGATATTCATAGGTGAAGGAGATACATAGTATTCAAGGTATCTCACCTTGATGTTCTTGGAAAATTCAGCGATAGTACCGGCGGCGATGGCCAATTGGCTCTTGACGACCTGTGCGATACATTTCGCTACGTTCGCCTGCGATACCTCGCCGTCCTCAGCCTTCTCGGCAGTGATCTTCAGGTTTGGAACCACGTGCGTGGCTATTTCCATGTCGGCTTCCACTAGCGCACCAAAGAATCCAAGGAGGGAATCAAGAGCGGTACCGGATACCAATGGAGATGCCGCTACGCCATACACGTCCTTCAAGATATCCCGCTCAACCTCGGGGAATGTTGAAGACGGCGAGAGCTGCAACAGCAGAGTGAGCGTGGCGGCCGAGTGAGACAGCAATGATATATCCGATGTCGCAAGGAAGCCCTTCAGTTGGGGAACCAAGGCGGATACAAGATCGCGAGGAACTTCCGATTTGTACCTGCGCTATGATCAGTAAGGATGTGGATGGTAGGTGAATGAAGAACTTACTTCCTCAATAAGGCATCAAGACATGTGAATGCCTCGGGCTTGCCCGCTCGTCCGCCTCTCTTGAGTAGCGTCATCACCCAATCGATCGAGGCACTGGTCCAGTCGTCACCAACGTCCACTTCTTTCGCTACGCGAGTCACTACGTTCACCGCGCCTTCCGTTCGTCCCGTGGTCCGACGTATATAATCCCATTCTTTGCGGTCTTTGCTCTTCACGACGTCTGTGGCGCAAATCCACAAGTCCGCGATGCACTCCTCCGCGCATCCTCGCACTTCGGCATCCGTATCGTGGTTGCTCAGCCTCTGAACAGATTCTTCATAAACCCGGTCCGCCCAGTCATTGCCTTTTACCGGTTTCATCGCGTTGAGAAGCGAGGAAAAGACGCGAAAAGACTCCGACGCGACGCGGGGATGTCTCTCAGCAAGTGACTTGAGCAACGCGGGGGTGATTGTTGGAAGGGAAGCCGAGAAGGTAGGAGGAGAGTGGGTTGAGAACAACCTGGCGAGGAACGTCAGGCAGGAAAGCTGCAGAGTAGCTCCGGTATTGTTGGATGTCTGCGAGAAAACATTCTTGGAGAGCGATGCAATGACTGGAATTTGATTGGAGAGGCTGCCAGGAAGTACGAGGAGCAATGTTGACAACATTCCGAATCCAGATTGAAGAGTGGCTGGCGACGCCTTCCTTGACTTCAGCTGGTTTAATAACGTTTTGGAGAGGCTTGGCACTTGAGCGCGCAGAAGAACGGACGGAGTCTCCTCGACCTCCATACCTTCACTTTCACGCTTTCTCTTACCGCCGACTGATTCGATGTCTTTGGAAGGCTGGACACCACCAAACACGCGAGTTTGGTGAAGGAGGGTATTGTAGGTCGCCCATACCTCTAACCGCACGGTTTCCTCGCGGTCACCGAAGCGGGAGATGAGCACAGGGGAAACTTCTTTATAAAGAGCTGCGAGTAGATCGGGACGGGTCCCAATAACAGCAGCGAGAAGTTTCGTGGCCGCACGACGTATCTTGTACGAGGTGTCTTCATCGTCCTCATACCTGTGAATCCGTCAGCACTGATACCAAACACACCAGATGACCGCATACTCGTCCATGTCATCATCCTCGTCCTCGTCCTCCATTTCCTCGTCCTCGTCATCGTCGCCAGCATAGTTGGGGTCGTACTTGATATATATGTTCCCCACCTGGATAATGTTACCAACGAACGGGCTAGCCTCAATCGGACAACGCAGAACCAGAGCTTCTAAGGCCTGTAGACAACTCTCTCGAAGTTCTTCGTCGTCTCGTTTCGCAGCCTCGACAATTCCTGGTACAATCTGACTGATGGAGGGTGCTATCTGACCTGGAGTGTGCCGTGCCACAGCAGTGACGAGCTGTACGGTTGTGCGCTGCTTGTCCAAGTTGGATCCGGGCGCCAAAAACGGAATGATATCTTTCTGAAGCAGGGTAGTGAAGAGCTGTGGTGACGATATAGGCACGACCTGCGCAAGAGTGATAATGGCGCGTTTGCGCACGGCGGGGCGAGGATGGGATAGCAGAGGAGAGATCGCGGAAAGCGGCGCGGGGTTCAGGTTGGCGGTAGCGAGCTGAGTGGGGAATCTGCTGGTGAGGATTGAGAGGATTGAGAGCGTCTCGATCAAGGCTTCTGGCGACGCCTTAGTCTGCAAAGAGGTCTTAGAGCAAACAATATGTGGTCAGGACTCTACTCACATTCGACAATTGCGAGACCAGCTTAGGTGCCAGCTTGTAGCAGGCTTTCGACGTGATACTTTTGTCAGCCGGCAGTTCCGATGTAATGGTCTTCAAGGCTTTGAGAGATATGAGTGGTCTTGACGCGAAGATTGTCGTGACAGTACGGACCAAGGCCAGAGATGTCTCGTAGTTCCTCATCCTTGCCCGCGGAGAATTCGATGAGCTTGTCGATAACAAGATCCAATTGGTTCTCCCGGAGGATCTTGGTGAGTTTCCCCAAGCTAGCGAAGTAAGCCCCAGAGCATAGATAGGAGATTCATTATGCTCACCATTTGACAGCCTGGTTCTTCACCTCCGAGATATTGTCCTCCACGAGTGCCATGACTTGCTTCAGTACCTTCATCTCAACAGTTTCGTCACCGTAGAAACTATTGGGATCTTGTTCGATCTCCTTCATCAGATCGTTTAGGCCCATATATCTGACCCAAATATTCAGTCGGACAACCTTGCATGGGCGATCCCCGAGCGCACCGGAAGTCCTGGTCCGACGATTGCATCTACGAAGGAGCTTAGAGCCACACCCGGCGCCACATTTACTATACATACCTTTTCGATGAGCCCGTTCATGATGTACGTCTTTGTCATGATGAATGAGCGGTGCTATCTATAATGGAGGAAATGGAAGGAAATGGAGAAGGAGAGTGAAAGCCAAACGACGATGCAGTGGACGGTGGTAAGCCACACAACGCGTGCGCGTGCCGCTTCCGATCGCGCGGCGCACCTGGCGCCGTTAGTTCTGGTTCATCCGCTCATTGGAATACGTCATTTTCATAAGTTCAATACTGCAGGATTACTGTACACATCCTCTAGTTTACAGGTCAATCAATAGCGCTTCCTTACGTTCTGCCGGTGGGGCGGGAGAGCTGTACATGGAGACTGCTTGAGGAGCCGCGGTCGGGACAGCTGGGAAAGACGGAAGGGAGGGGGCAGCCTGAGTCGCTTGCTGATGAGGGGGTGCATAAGACGCATATGTGGGTTGACGGGAGAGCGAAGATGGCGGGCTGTACGCTGAAGCCGGTTGAGACGCTGGCAGCGCACCGTTCGCGTGCGCAGACGGAGGCGGCGACTGAACCTGGCCAGGAATGACTGATGATGGGGCGTAGTTCTGCGGTGGTATGCTGGCTGCGGGAGTAGGAGCCGAGTATTGTTGTCGTTGTTGCAGTGAGTCCGGCTGCCATGGTTGTTGTGGAGAGTACGAGACCGGGCTAGTCACTTGTTGAGGAGGTTGATAGGAGGTGAGGGAAACGGCTGATGTATAGCCCGATGTCATCTGGGGCTCCGAATGTGAGGTACTCTGAGCAGGCGATGACCATGGAGCTGGTGCGGGAGAAGCGTAGCTCGGCGTGTAAGGTATCGAAGTTGAGGGTGCATATGACGTGGGTTGTGAGCTTTGCCATGTCGGTCGGGAGACTTGCTCGGTGAGAAGGCGGTCGTAGATCTTGACGGCTTGCGAGAGTTTGGTGTGCATATCCGTAAGGACCTCTGCGGACAAGCGCGTGAGCGTTGGTCATGGCGCGTGGAGAAGAATCTCACGTACCATGTTTGCGGTTAGTGTCCTCGATGCTCATAGTGAGTTTCGGCGTTAAGGTCGTCGCCTTGTGGTGAAGCTCATTGATAGCCGGATAGCGCAGTATGTCCTGACCATGTTGAGCCTGTACATGTTCGACCGCTTGGTTGAACGTCAAGATGACGTCGGACTCCAAAGGCGCAAGATCGTAGTTCGGTAACGATGGCACGGATGGCTGAGGGGTAGGCACGGATGCAGGAGGATACGACTGAGAGTATCCAGGGCCGGCGTACGCGAAATAAGGCTGCGTTGAGTCCGAACGCGGGGTTTCCAGTGCGACGGGTGCGCTGGGACGCGGTGCATTTGCCTCCCTTAGGCTCGCCTCGATAGCGGTTTTCAAGTCGGGATCGTCTTCGTCATCCGCAATAGGCCGCGTCTTCCGGTCAACCAAGGGCGGCTCCGACAAATACCAGTCGGTGGGCTGCTCCGGAACATAGCCAGGACGGTTTGCATGAGACGATCCCATCTCGGAAAGAGAAAGCTGGATGGCCCTCTGAAGCTCAGCATCTTCGAAGTCCCGCTGATGACGGTGTCGGTTGGCTCCTTGGCTATATGACCGGCCATGATGAGTCGAAGGCTTGTGTTGGGACGCGTGCTTCAGGAGCTTTGGATGGCAATTGTCGCACACTCGTACAGGATCAGAGATGCCGAAGTGTGGAAGAGGGAGAGACCTGGAGGAGCATTTTTGATCGAAGACTTGTCCACAGTTCCGGCAATGATGTTTGCGATTGGTAAAGCTGAAAGGATCACGACAACGAAGGCAGAGATCAGAATCAATCCATTCCGGCGCGGTCTGGGTGTCAACCATGGCTGCGCTTAGAACGGTTGGATCCTTCGGGGGAAAATTGAAGCCTGGGATTCTGTGAGGTTCACTCAAGGCACCGAGACACACGGGAACACACCTTCAGCCTTCAATGTTTTATACACCTGGGGTACATAGGCAAGGCTAGGTTTGCCTTCGAAAGCAATCGCCCAATTCTGAATCAAGCGCAGCAACTTGTTCTTGACCTCATAGTTGAGGGCTGGCATCCTCAGGATGGATACCAAGTTGTCCATGAAGTCTCGAGCAGCAATCTCCTGCAGGAAATGATCCCCCCCATTCTTGATACAGACGTCGGTCAACTAATCCACGATACGTCAATCATGTTGGTTGGACGTGGACGAGCATATCACTTACACCGAGCGCTAGTAGCTGAACATTGGGGTTCTTGTGATTCAGTCTCCGCTTGAGTGACTTCACAGCGTCTTTGGCTGGCACCGTCTTCGAGCGAATCTGGTCGCAGATCTCGAGATTGAGTGCAATGTCCTCTGAGCCAGCGGGGAGAAGCTCCGACGTTGCTTTGTCTGCAATAACTCATGAGTTCTATTCGATATTTAGGATGCTAGAACCCACCGACTAGCTCGTCTACTTGAGACGTTCCCCACAGCCAGGATGTCATGGTGGTCGATGAACAGTTGGCAGAGCACCTGTAAGGCAGCGGTGGCGCTCACCTGGCGGCACAGCTGAGCGCAGCTGCGTCACGCAGTGAAGCTGTGGCGGCCTGGCGGGGCTGACTCAGAGTCTGGATTATTGAAGCGGAGTCTGAAAACGTACGGGGCTAACTGGGAGTCAACGGCGAGCGCGAGGGCCCCCTCCCTTGCCTTCGACGCCGTTGACGCCGACGTCAACTCCATCTGTGCCCATCGTCGTCCCACGCAAACGCGTTTCAGCTGCTCTAGACAGGCTTGGAGAACATTTGTCTGCGACGCCAATCCTCTCCTCGGACCTTTTGAAGCCTCTTTGCGCGGTTTTCTGGCGTCTGCGTGGCTCACGAACTGGTTTTTGAAACTCCCTAAAACATCGAAAAGCGACTCTTCGGTCTCTTGGCTCTATAATATACTTTGCTTGCGAACGTTTGCTATCTAATAGATCGGCCATCGTCGTCGTTCCAATCCTCAAGCGTTACCGGCTACACACAGGCTTTTGGGTTTTTTCGCGAACCATGCTGGGTCATCAGTTTGCATACTCGGCGGCTCCCATTAAGAGGGTCGCCGAGGTGCAGTTTGGTATCTTGTCTCCCGAGGAAATTGTACGAGTCGTATTACCCTTTGCTTGGATGTCTCTGATCCCTCTCCAGAAAGCATACTCCGTCGCGAAGATCGAGTTTCCTGAAGTCATGGACGAGACCACTCACAAGCCGAAGATGGGCGGCCTGATGGATCCTCGCATGGGCACCATCGACCGGAACTTCAAATGTCAGACGTGTGGCGAGGGTATGTCGGAATGCCCGGGCCACTTCGGTCATATAGAACTCGCGCGACCTGTCTTCCACCCTGGTTAGTTCTTGTACTGCCTCGAACTCTACGATTCGCTGACGGTGATCTAGGCTTCATCGTGAAGGTCAAAAAGATTCTGGAGTGTATATGCGTGAACTGCGGGAAGTTGAAGGCTGACACCGTGAGTGTCATTTTCGTTGACCCTCGTTTTGTTCCCCGCCGCCAATTTTCTGGGGGCTCTCTCCTTCAATGGAGAACCCCAAGCCCGCACCGCGTTGGTCCCCGATGATATCCTATCATCGGGGCGTTCTTCCACCTAGGCGGGGTATCGCGCGTTTTCGATCGCTTGATCGCCGCGATACCACTGCAACCGCTCGTGGCTGGTTGGACGCGGGGTGCGTGGTGAAATGGGGGCTGAACGAGGAATGCGAATACTGGTTGGGCGTGGCCCTGACAAGCCACGTCCGCGGGTTGACCAAGCTATGATATGCTCTCTGTGACGCAGAGCTGCTGTCATGGTTTGCCCGTAACAGTAGTTAGCGCTTCGGAGGTCATCTTCAAACGTTGTCGTCGTTATCATTGCTGTGCATCGCTGACTCATTGATCCCTCATGTTGCTCCTTCACCCTGTTTCTCGATACGTAAGTCCGATCCCAACTTTGCGGACAAGATCCGTCATGTTCGCGACCCGAAGAAGCGCATGGCCGTCGTGTGGGGGCATTGCAAAGGAAAAATGGTGTGCGAGGCCGACGACCCCAAGGAGGAAGGTGACGGCCAGGACGGCGAAGAGCCAGTGAAGAAAGGTCACGGCGGATGCGGTCACCACCAACCGCTCATCCGGAAGGAAGGGTTGAAGTTGTTTGTTCAATACAAAAAGTCCAAGGATGATGATGAGGTTGGTATTCTAACGTCGTGGCGGCAGAGCGTCGCCTCATCACTGTTCACAGGACCTTAAGGCCCATCAGCCAGATAAGCGGCTGTTCTTACCATCCGAGGTCTACACCACCTTCAAGAAGATGACCGACTCTGACCTTCATCTACTTGGTCTCTCAGACGAGTACGCGCGTCCGGAGTGGATGATTTTGACCGTTCTCCCTGTCCCCCCGCCGCCGGTTCGACCGAGTATCGCCGTTGATGGCGGAACAATGCGCAGCGAGGATGATCTTACCTACAAGCTAGGTGATATCATCAAGGCGTCCGCGAACGTCAGGAAACATGAACAGGAAGGTGTTCCCGCGCACGTCACCATGGAGTATGAGCAGTTGCTGCAGTTTCATGTTGCGACCTACATGGACAACGATATCGCCGGCATACCGCAGGCTCTGCAGAAGTCGGGCCGACCTGTGAAAGCTATACGCGCGAGGCTGAAGGGCAAAGAGGGACGGCTGCGGGGCAACTTGATGGGCAAGCGCGTGGACTTCTCGGCGCGCACTGTCATCACTGGTGACCCCAACCTGATGCTCGACGAAGTTGGTGTGCCGCGGAGTATCGCTATGACGCTGACGTACCCAGAGCGAGGTACGAACCCGTGTATCGCAATCTCATACATGTGCTAACGTCTATCTAGTGACCCCGTACAACATTGCATATCTCCAGGAGTTGGTCCGCAATGGCCCGACGGCATATCCTGGAGCACGTTACGTAGTCCGCGATACAGGCGAGCGTATCGATTTGAGGTACAACAAGCGAGCGGACGCGTTTCTGCAATATGGTTGGATCGTCGAGCGTCATCTGAAGGATGGAGAGTGCGTCTCTTTCATCCTTTTTCCCAGATAACCTCCTCATGCCGACGATTAGCTACGTGCTTTTCAATCGGCAACCTTCATTGCACAAAATGAGTATGATGAGCCATCGCGTCAAACTCATGCCGTATTCCAGTCAGTCCATTCCGAGACTATCGGAGCTCTTGCTGATGTCTTCATTCACTAGCTTTCCGTCTGAACCTATCCGTGTAGGTTTCAGCTGCGAGAGTTCGAGCTTAGTTCTGACGTTACCACCAGTACTCCCCCCTACAACGCTGATTTCGATGGCGACGAGATGAACATGCAGTAGGTACTCTAGCATCTTCCGCGTGTCCCGTGCTCACATGTCCACCTCGTTCTAAGCGTACCGCAAAGTGAAGAGACCCGCGCGGAGTTGGCGCAAATAGCTTGGGTACCGCGACAAGTAAGTCTTCGTGCGCAGCGCGTCCTCTGTTCCGATGCTGACTCTTGCCCAGATCATCTCACCACAGGCGAACAAACCTGTAATGGCCATCGTGCAGGATACTCTCTGTGGAATTCGCAAATTTACGCTACGCGACACCTTCCTTGATTGGAACCAGGTCCAGAATATCCTCCTATGGGTACCTGAGTGGGATGGAACTGTGCCTATACCGACGATCGTTAAACCCAAGCCGATGTGGACGGGGAAGCAGATACTGAGCATGTGCATTCCTCGTGGCATCAACATCTTTCGCTCTCCGGATCCGAAGTCGTCCAGCCCGGTCTTTGACGATGGTATGATGATAGAGAACGGCGACATCATCTTCGGCATCGTGGACAAGAAGACTGTCGGTTCAGCTCAAGGCGGCCTCATCCACGTCGTGTTTCGTGAGAAGGGCCCCGAGGCCACTCGAGGCCTGTTCTCCGGTTTGCAACAGGTGGTTAACTATTGGCTCTTCCACAACGGATTCAGCATCGGAATCGGTGACACCATCGCCGACGACAAGACTACCGCAGTGATTTCGAAGATCATCGCCGATCGCAAGGCCACCGTGTCCAAGATCACGCAAGACGCGTATCACGATCGTCTTAAACCGCAGCCGGGTATGACCATCCGTGAATCATTCGAGAGTAAGGTCGAGCGCGAACTCAACCTGGCTCGTGACGATTCCGGGCAATATGCCCAGAAGCACTTGAAGGAGGACAACAACGTCAAGCAGATGGTCGTCGCGGGATCCAAGGGCTCCTACATCAACATCTCGCAGATGTCTGTGTGCGTTGGGCAGCAGTCCGTCGAGGGTCGCCGTATACCATTCGGTTTCCGGCACCGAACCCTCCCGCATTTCACGAAGGATGACTTCAGTCCGGAGGCTCGAGGCTTCGTCGAAAACTCCTACCTCCGCGGTTTAACGCCTCACGAGTTCTTCTTCCACGCCATGGCTGGACGCGAAGGTCTTATCGATACGGCCGTGAAGACGGCTGAGACAGGATATATCCAGCGCCGACTCGTGAAGGCGCTCGAGGATGTGGCCGTCTGCTACGATGGAACGGTTCGCAACTCGCTCGGCGATCTCATCCAGTTCGTCTACGGCGAGGATGGCATGGACGGTGCCTTCATCGAGCGACAAAACATCGAGACGTTTGCGCTGAGCGACCTGGACTTCGAGCATCAATACCGAGTCGACGTCACTGACCCGCAAGGTGGCTTCCTTCCTGGCGTCCTCCAGGTGGGCTTGGACGACAGTTCGCTGGAGCTTCAGGCGAAGCTGGACGAAGAATTCGCGCAACTCGTCGAGGACCGGCGGCTCCTCAGGGAGTTCATTTTCCCAAATCAGGATCCATCACGTCCCACGTACTTACCCGTCAACCTGCAACGCATCGTCCAAAATGCGGTTCAGATTTTCCATATCGATCGCCGGAAGCCCAGCGACCTGGAACCTGCTTACCTTATCGACGCGGTGCGGGGGCTAGTTGAGCGGCTTGTCGTAGTTCGTGGAGACGACTCTTGGGCGCACGCCGCCCAAGAGAACGCGACAATGCTCTTCGGTATCCATCTTCGAGGGATGTTTGCGTGCAGGCGTGTCTTGGAACGATTCCACCTCAACAAGGAGGCTTTCGAATGGGTCCTCGGTGAAATCGAAACGAAATTCAATCAGTCCGTAGCTCACCCCGGAGAGATGTGCGGTACCCTGGCAGCGCAGTCCATCGGAGAACCCGCGACGCAGATGACGCTAAACACCTTCCATTACGCTGGTGTCTCTAGCAAGAACGTCACTCTCGGTGTTCCTAGGTTGAAGGAAATCATCAATGTGGCCACGAATATCAAAACTCCCTCCCTGACTGTTTACCTCGTACCGGAACTACAGAAGGATGCCATGCTGGCGAAGAACGTCCAACAAGAGCTCGCGTATACCACATTGCGGACTGTCACTGCAGCCGTGGAGATTTGGTATGACCCGGACCCGACATCGACGATTATCGAGGAGGATCAAGTATTCGTGGAATCGTTCTTCGCAATTCCTGACGAGGAAATCGAATCGAAACTCCATCTTCAATCACCGTGGCTTCTGCGTCTGGAGCTCGATCGAAACAAGATGCTTGATCGCAAGCTTACGATGTCCTACGTTGCCGGACGGATAGCGGAGAGCTTCAAGCAGGATCTGTTCGTCATCTGGAGCGAAGATAACTCGGAGAAGCTCGTCATTCGCTGTCGAATTCTAGGCGGCGCAGACAAGGATGAAGATGGATTGGCGGGTGTCATGGAGGAGGACGAGTTCCTGCGGTCGCTCGAAAACACCATGCTCAACACCGTCAGCCTGCGCGGCGTCAAGGGCATCGAACGCGTGTTCATGATGCAGCACAACAAGGTCGTGACAAGACAGGACGGCACGATTTCGGCCCGTGATGAAAACGAGAAGGAGTGGGTTCTCGAGACGGACGGTATCAACCTGAAGACCGTTATGTGCATCGACGGCGTTGATTTCAAGCGCACTTACTCCAACAACTGTGTGGAGATTTTCGATGTCCTCGGGATTGAGGCCGCTAGGGCCGCCATCATGAGGGAGATGCGCAACGTTATCGAGTTCGACGGCTCCTATGTCAATTACCGCCATCTTGCACTTCTGTGCGATCTCATGACTCAACGTGGCACTCTCATGGCCATCACTCGCCACGGCATCAACCGTGCTGACACGGGAGCACTGATGAGGTGTTCCTTCGAGGAGACCGTCGAGATCCTCATGGAGGCGGCAGCCGTGGGCGAGAAGGACGACTGTCACGGAATTGCGGAGAACGTTATGTTCGGTCAGATGGCGCCCATGGGCACAGGAGCGTTCGACGTCGCGCTCGACATCGATATGCTGAAGGATGTGATTGTGGACCACAGGCTCCCCGTCCAGAATATGCTCGCTGCTCAAGCGGATGGAGCTATGACCCCGGGCCAGGTCGCAATGACCCCCTACGATAGCAGTTCGCCGATGTGGTCCCAGGACGGCTCCTTCAAGGGGGAGTCAGCTGCATTCTCCCCGCTCGCCGTCAACGGTGGGGAGGATCCAGCAAATTTCTCGTACCTTGGCTTCGGGCAGAGCCCCATGGGCGCAGGTGGGATGTCCCCTGCAGCTGGTGCTGGCTACAGCCCCAGTTCGCCGGGCTACTCGCCTACTTCGCCGTATATTCCACAATCCCCATTCGCCGGCGCTACGTCGCCCTTTGGCACCTCGCCATACGCCACTTCTCCATTCTACGACCGAGGGGCTGCTCCCACCTCCCCAACGTACTCTCCCACTTCACCCGCACTGAATTTGACCTCTCCAAGCTACTCGCCTACGAGTCCCCGCTACTCGCCGACGTCGCCTTCGTTCTCGCCGACGTCACCGCGGTACAGTCCGCAATCGCCGTCGTTCAGTCCGACGTCACCGCGATACTCCCCGACGAGCCCCTCCTTCAGCCCAGCTTCTCCGAGATGTGAGTTTATGCTCCCGAGCTCGTGTATTCGAATTGCCCACTGACCCCATCCTTGATCCTAGACTCCCCCAGTAAGCCCCAATCTCGCCTCGAGACCGTTTTCAAAGAATCTCACCTCTCCATAGCTTCTCCTGCTCAGATGTCGCCGTCCTCTCCAAAGTACTCCCCAACCTCCCCCGCTTCGCCGTCCTCGCCAAAATATTGTAAGTGGACAAGCTCTCTGGACATGATGGTCGTGCCCGCTGACTGTTCGGTAGCCCCGACATCGCCTTCGTATTCTCCAGCTTGTGAGTCATCTGCCATCTACCCGTCTCTTACATTACTAATATTCAACCAATATACAGCCCCCGCATATTGTAAGCACATGGTCCTCCATCCAACCCATTGCACGTGTAAGCTAACGTGCCCATAGCCCCTGCATCACCCGCGTACTCGCCGACCTCACCGCAGTGGTCGCCCGCGAGCCCATCACACCAGCCCAATGGCTCGAATGGCACTGGCCGCGGGTCCTCTTACACATCTCAGCCATCTTGGGACTAGGGCTGTCGAGATGGATCGCCTGCGCCCTGAGATATGCTTTGTTTCTGTCTCTTTGCTCTCGTAGTCGCACCCGTGTTTTGGTCGTGAATGGTGCCTCACATTGATACATACATATCTATCCATGCAACATAAATTTTGTAGATTACTATCATGTCTTACTCTCAATGGACGACCGGTACATGGCGGTCCTTGTTGCTACGCCTTGGACCAGCTTGGAACCTTTTAGTTGCTGATCCTGCGAGTGATGCTCCGTCGCTTTACATAGCGGCCGCCAACGGATGATTCTGTTCTGAGCGCTCACAGGCGGCATCGGTCCGTCCTGCAATGACGAACTCTGTCGGCCTCACGCCTCTTCGTAGGTCGACACTGTGTTATCTCGTCACAGGGCCGCTGATTCAAGCACCGACACTTACTTAAAAGCTTGTCTTGATCATGGGCAATAGTTTCTCCCGTGCCGGTTTGGCTCTATATCAGGCGTTTGAACTCCTGAAAGCTTACAACGCTATCCACAAACGTATACACGGCTCACCTGGCCTGCCCGTTCCTCGTCCAAGCTTGTCCTTCTGGCAGGTCCCTCGCTCGTCCCTCGCTACCCACCAGTCGGACTTGCCCAAACATGCGGACGTGGTTATCATCGGCTCTGGCATCACAGGTGCTTCAGTAGCCCGGATGCTGCTGGGACATGAAGCGGGGTTGAAGGTCGTTATGCTCGAAGCTAGAGAGACATGTTCGGGAGGTACTGGAAGGGTGCGCGTTAACAATCTGAGTACGATCCCACTCGTCCCCTGTGCTGAAGTTCTGCCCTAGAATGGTGGACACATCAACCCACGTACGTTCATGACCACATTCTCGACAGATTCACACTCACGCGCCCCATAGCTTTGTATCACGACTATAGTACTATTAAGGAGAAGCATGGTATCGAAATCGCTCAGAAGGTCATCCGGTTTCGGTTGGCGCATCTGCGTGAGATGAAGTCCGTCAGTGCTGAGGAAGGCATATTATTGGCGTCCCAGACCCGGGATGTGCAGAGCTTCGATGTGTACTATGACGAGGAAGATTACGTGGAGGCAAAGGAGGACCTTGCCAAGTGGAAAGAGGATATGCCAGATGAATCTGCGGCGTTCCAGAGCTGGGACGGCGAAGAAGCTATCAAGGTATTGCTGATTATCTCGAAAGGACCTGCGGAATGCTCAAGTTCGCCTCTGCAGAGGTTTAATGTATCCGTGCGGAGTGCTGGGGCTATCTCCGGCTCCGGAGGTGCTATGCACCCTTATCGCTTCGTAACGGGTCTACTCTCCAACCTCTTGCAGCGTTACCCGGACAAGTGAGTCGTTCATCTAAGTTCGGTACGGTACGTCGCTCATATCCGTCATCATCAGCTTCTTCCTTTCCAGTCTAACGCCATGCGTCGACATCGTGTCGCCCTCGCTGGATGGTTCTCAGTATTACACCGTTCATACCACGCGGGGAACGATTACTACACCGCACATCGTGCACGCCACGAACGGCTGGTCGGCGCACCTGCTCGCTCCGCTACGTAGCAAGATCATACCGGCACGGGGCGTGATGAGCGCTCAGCGTCCCGGGGCTGGACTCTCGCCTCCACCGAGCCAAACGACATCAGGCGACCCTTTTGGCGACCCTGCCTCGTCTCAGTCCCCAGCGAAGAACGACGCCTACCCCATCCCGGTTCCCGGCATGCGTTCCTACGTGTTCTACGGCGGTACCGGCGGGTACGACTACCTTACCCAGCTTCCAAGCGCTGGGCACGAGCTGATGTTCGGCGGGGGTTTCATCCGCGGCTGCAGCGAGGGCTTGGAAGAGATCGGCGCCTCGGACGACAGTGCGTACAACGTCGGCCTCAGCTCGCATCTTGGCGGTGCGCTTCCTGTCTACTTCGACGAAGGCCGGTGGGGCGCAGAGAGGGGCACTTTCGTCGAACCCGGGGAGGACGCGGGCTGTGAGGCGGAGGGCGTGCGCTGGCATCAGGGGCGCGTGAAGGCGTTCTGGAGCGGCATTCTGGGCTGCTCGGCGGACGGGCAGCCGTGGGTAGGACGCGTCCCGGTCAAGCTGGCGGGCAGGCCGGCCCCCGCTGCGGATCTGGCGCCGAAGATCGCGAAGGCTAAAGCAGGGGGCGTGGCCCTGGCGGAGCAGACGACGGCTGCGCCTGGCGAATGGATCGCTGCTGGGTACAACGGGGAGGGCATGGTCCATGCGTGGATGTGCGGCAAGGCCGTGGCTTGCATGATTCTGGGCGAGGAAGCGGAACGGGAGATGAATGTGAGTGATGTGCCTTTGTTCGTTGACTTTTCTTCGGGACTTCGCGCCTCGACTCCGATAGTAGCTTGGACGAGCTCCTTTCGTTCTTCGCACCTTGCATCACAACGGTTTTAAGCTTCCGCGTCTGTGTGCGCGCTACACGTCCGAGTGCCTGGCGATTCGTCGCCTGTGGCTATGTTATAACATGGCTTCCTCCGGCATTCTTGTTGTTCCTCATGCCGGCATTTATGGTCGCTTCTTTATGCGGTCGGAATTGCATTGCTTGGTTTACTTATGGCTCGCGCGAGTCTCCAGTCAACTCGGGGTCGATGCAGTGTACTAACATGAGTTTGCCTTCATTCAGTTGACCGAGTGGTTCCCGGATATCATGCGTGTCACGGAGAAGAGGTGGAAGGAGGCCGACCTGCTGAAGTACATCAAAGAACGACGGGGATGAGTTCAGTCTACCGGAGGTCTTGTAGATTGTCTGGCTCGTTGAGATGATTTCATTACTTTCGGGTGCCACGAGATGCAAGGCGTGTACATGGATCTGCTGTCGAACGGTTTATCCTGACTGAGTATACTCGCCATGTCAGCTGGTCCAAGAAGCAACCGGATGACGCGACGTTCACATAACGATGCGGTGGTCGGCCGTTTGCCACAGGTATATGATTGGGTATCAGCGTGAGATGAAGAATCGATTGTCCGTCTGCGTGGAGCTTTCCCGGACGACCTCGGGGGTTGCTTCTACGGTAGATTCGATGTTGAGCATTCAATCGGCGGTCATGGGTAACGCAGAGGTTCCGGCGATGAACAATCGCCTCGGGCGATGAAGTGGACGCGTCACTGGACTTTTTATTGAAAGCGTCCGTATACGATGCTCGCGATCAGTACTGCATCGAGCAGTTCTGATACCATCTGCGAGCTTTACTCTATTCAGTTGCCGGGGTGAGTCCATCTGATCCACGGCGTGATACTCCATCCCGCGCGGCAGATGCTCGGCACGCTCCTGGGGACGGTCTTGTGTTCGTGAGTGCCAGAAGCAGAAGGTTGAAGGGATAAAAAGCGTTGGCCGATGTCTCCCGGAGACTGCCTGAGAGAAGGAAATGCTTCGAAGAGGCCTCGCAGATAAGAACCGGGTGACGTTTGCGCCAGCGCTGGCAGCTCGTCTGCTCCAAGCCGGGGTTTGTGCGACTCGCCGGGAGAGGTTGGGCACGGTTACCATGCGGATGCAGGCTGTGGTTGATACGCTGTACACAAGTCGGGCTATCCCCTTTCACCTTTTTGTTCTGCTCGATGCCGGCAGGGCAACGGACGCAGCGTAGTGCGCAGCATCGGTCGGAGGGCCGCAGGTTGGAGAAACCGATCGCCCCCCCCTGGCTTCGCCCTCTTTCCGGGACGTGGGGAAGAAAACACGAGGCTCGCACGGTTTCGGCGCGACTGCGCTGGTGCTGCAATCGCTGGGCACGGCTGATCGCATCGGTGTTCGGTCCTGCTCGGACTGGACTGGCGCCGAAATACCAGAACGCGGTAGAATATGGTATTTATCGGCGCCACGGCTCGAGAGACCTGATGGCCCCCGTGTTTTCTGAGAGAACCTGATTTGAGTTCGCGCGTGCGAATTGGTTGACGAGCAGGAGATCAGCGGTATCCGTGCCAGCTGCGCGTCCCCAGCCGTATCTCGTGTCGTCTGCGTGCTCGACGCCGTTCACAGCGCCGACAGAGCGTGCAGATCGTCGTAAAAGGACCAAGCGCAGGGAGACAACACGGGTCCGCCGTTGCGCTAGTGAGAGGTCCTATCATCCGCCGCGTCGGTGCCGGCCTGGGTTCACCGCCGACCCATATCGAATTGTTCGCTTGTCTTCATCGACAACGACATCGACCGTTGCCGCTGACGTCGACCTCGACGACGAGCGCCGATAGCTGGCCGTCGCTCGTCAACCACCCCGTCTCTTTCCCATCCCCCCAAAAATCGTGGGTCCCCCGCGCCCGTCGATTGTGCTCGCGACTGAAGTGACCCCCCCTGTTCCCCGTCGCGCGTAGCAGATCTTGCCAGCACCCGGCACATGGCCGTTCTCGCTCCCCAAGACTGGCATCCCCCGAGAGACACGACCATGGACTCGCCATCATCCAGCAGCGCCAACCCATCCGTTCCCCGCCAACGATCGTCGCCAGCCAACGACCATCTCCCCTCCCCGGCCTCCTCAGGACAGCCGCAACAACCCTACCCTTACCCTGTCCAACACCAGCAACAGCCAGGATGGACGCCATCTCCTTCGGCCCAGCCGTTCTACCCCCAATTTTACCAAAATCCTCAGCAGCCCTATCCGATGCATATGCCACCTCAAGGCCAGATACCGGGCCAGAACCCCTTCTACGATCCTGCGGCCAACGCCCAGTTCGCCCAGTGGGCTTATCATCAGATGATGTTCAACGCGCAGCAAGGAGGACAACCTATGGGTGGCTACCCCCAACACCCCTCTCCCGCCGGTAGCCAGCGAGGTCGGACCGGAAGCACGAGCTCCCATGGCGCCCATGGCGACTACTTTGGTGGTCAAGGACCCGTCTTCACGCCCTATCCCAACGGAGCGCCGCCAGGCGCGATACAGGGCGGACCCGGGTTCACCCCCAACCAAGGCGGTCCGCAGCACCAACAGCAATACGGCGGCTTCCATCCGTATCGCCGACCGACCCGGCAGGGCTCTCAACAGCAAGAGGCTGGTCAAGGCATTGGAGAATGGCGCGCGGCAGGGGGCACTCCGGGCCCGCCGGGAACGTTCCAGCCGCCGTATGCTAGGACGGATGCCGCAAGCTCCTCTTCCTCTGTCAATTCCACAGGGAGCGCACATCGACAACGCACGAACAGTCATCAGGGGCGGGCGGGCTCGCCCTCGCTGCCGCCCCAGCACCAGCAACAGAACGGGTCGTCCTCGCCTGCGGGCCGCGCGACGCAGCGCACGGCCTCGCCTCCCGTCGTCACTTCGAACGCGGCAACCAAGGCACCCTCGGGCCCGGGCACGATCAATACCTCCGTACCTTCACCCTCTTCACAGAAACCTCCCGCGGCCCACGCGCGCACCTCTTCGACGTCATCCGCCACCTCTTCGGCCTCGCGACCGTCTGCTTCTGCCGTCTCGACACCGACCTCCCTTGCGCCTGCCACGGCTGGCCCGACCACGCGCAAGCCCTCGCCGCTCTCCCAAGGAAGCATGAGCGTCGCCGAGAAGCGCATGTCGCGCGACGACAGCGATCTGCAAACGATGATGGAGCCGATGGGCTCGGGCGTGCGCGGCGCGGGCCTCAAGGGTCGCCTCCGGCGTGCGCTTGGCGTAACTGCACCGTTGAAGGAGGAGGACGAGGATATGGTGCTGCCCGGGAAGGGCAAGGGACCGTCGAAAATGACACAGTCGAACTCAGCGCCGGGGGGAGTCGGAGGCGACGCCGACGATTCGGCGTCGAACGCGACCGTCCAGGACAAGAAGAAGAAGAACAAGCTCTTCAACTCGAGGTTCAATCGCTCGACGGACAACATTTCGATCTCGTCCGTGTCGTCCTCGGCGTCGGTCATGATCCGCAAGCTCGGCTCGCTGGGCAAGATCGCGAGGAGGAATTCGATCGCGGGCATCACTTCGCTTTTCAAGGACAAAAAGGACAAGGAGGAGGAGGAGGAGGCCGGGGACGGCAAAAAGGGCAAAAAATCGAAGAAGGGCAAGGCGTCCGCCGCGCCTGCGAGCGTTTCGCATGTTACTGCGGAACTCGACCGTTCGGAGGACTGGACCATCGACGAGGAGGGCTTGACTCCCGCCGCTCGCCTCATCAGGCAGCACACGCTCAAGGAGGAGGCCAAAAAGAAGCAGGAGCAGGCTGCTGCCGCCGCCGCTGCCGCGGAGGGCAAAGATCTGCCGTCAACATGGGAGAAGAACACGGCGACGAGGCAGGGCGAGCAGAGTCCGGCGGCGAGGCAGAGCGGCAGCATACGCGTGGGCGAGAACGGGCAGCGTGTGCTGGTGGAGGACGATGACTCTGCGAGTGAGGATGGCGATGACTACTCGCACCCGGGTCATTACAATGCGGATGCGTGGGACGACGATGGCAGCTGGGACCACGGTGAGGAGGATGTCACGGTGAGGCAAGATATCGGCCAGGGTCGTGATGACGACGAGGTCGACGAGTCGTGGGCGGTGGGTCTGCGCCGGAGTGTTGAGCGTTCGCGAACGCCCGCGAAGGGGATATTGAAGAGTGCGTATACGCACGTTATTTCACTCGTTTGCTTGATCCTGACCTCCATGCCAGATGCAAAGGCATACGATCAACACCTGTTTCTTGATCAACGTGCTTTCAACGAACGGACGAACCAGCCGGCGAGGCCGCGCTCGTATTCCGAAACACACCCAGAAGGATCACAACCACCCCAGCCTGGACCCCTTTCTCACATTCCCGACAAGGACCCCGACGACATCGATGGCCTGCACCGACATAATTCACAATCTTCTGCACACGGTAATGGCAAGCACGAATCTGGGGCCTCCATCCCGCGTCTCCCGCACTTCACATTCGAGTCGCCCGACGAGGCCGAGGAAAACGCGGAGCCTCATGGCTCTGCGCCGGCGGACAAGGCATCGTTATACAATCACCCCAACTCCTCGGCACCTGCGTTGTCGACCATGCACGCGCCGACGCATCCTCCCCTCAATCACCGGTCCGCCACTGTGCCGCCGCCGAAGAAGATCTCGTTCGCGTCGAACCTGTCGATCTACGACACATTCTCCCCGGCGGTCTACGACCGGCGCAGCGAACCTGCGACATGGAGCCGCTTGACGCCGGCGCTGGCCCAGAGGATCAAGGAGGAGCTCAACTCCTACAAGATGGAGGAAATGGAGGTACATGCCGCGAGCCGAATCCAGTAAGTTTCGTTCCTTGCAGCGCGGCTCTGCTTCAACTAATACCCTTTCGTGTTCAGCACCCAGTTTTTCGTGTGATTCGATCGCTATCATGGTCCTTTTCCTCGGTCAAGCCGCACGACTTATCACGACTACCTTTGCCCATAATCAATATCGCCATCTAGAACGCTGATCGGTGGTTCATTAGTCAATCATACAATCTCCCGTCCGCACCACCCAATTACAGTCGGAATGCACATTCATTCCCTCGAGTTCGCTTCATCCAACAAAGACCCCCACCCCGTATCTCTCATAACGCTCCGCCACCGATACCCCCTCACTTGTACTCTATCTGCCGCGGTGTACCGTGCATCCCACTCATCCCACTCATCCTCTCTCCGTCTCTTTAGGACCTCTATCTACCTTCTGCGCTTTTTCAATGGTTTCTCCCGGCGCGGACTCCGACCTCACTCGTTTTACACATCTCAGGTGGTCGCCGGATGGACGCCTCATATTCGTCGATCTTACTAGTAGCTAAAGCCATGGTCGAAGGTCTTACCGCAGATGTTTACTACTATGTTTTGTTGCTTGCCAATCAAATCCTCATTATCTCTCCAACGAGTGATCTTCTGGGATCTGGCTGACTCGTCTCACGGACTTGTGAGGTGAGGCATAGCACCGCCACTGCTGGAGGCTTGTCCTCTCTCCGCGGCATGGACGAAGACTCACTCGTTCGTCGACGTTCTCGGCGTAGCAACTTTGGAAACCGGTTGGTGACGCGTCAATCTGTACCTGAATATATGCACTCATTCAAAAACCAGACTAGAGGCCGTGTTAGCGGAGGAGACCGTCGCTGAAATAGCTGCTCAGCAGGATGCTGAGGACGACGAGGACTGGGAGCTAACCAAAGCCAGAGGTCCGGCCTTGGACTACCGTTCACCGTTCTGAAAACTCACTGTTATAGGCGGTTGATCAGAACAAGAGGATGTATTCGAGGCCGACTTCGACATCGACGCGAACTCGGACGAGGAAGCTGCGAAGGTAAACGACGAGGGTGGGGAAAAGGCGGCGCAGGAGGAGGAGAAACGGGAGAAAAGAGTACGTGTTTCTTCATTGCGTACGCGGGGTATGTGGTTTACGTGTATTCGTTGCAGGCTGCCCGTACTCGAGTAGAACGAGCGACAGCTGCAGCGCATGCCAGACAGAAACGAACCTTCAACCCTGAGGCTGACACGCCTGCGAGCGATCAAATCGCATCTTCTCAGAGGAAGACCCGTCGCAGGGTGACGCTCGGGCCCGCCACTGACGCCGAGAGTAGTCGGGCAGCCCGTGGAGGATATGGGGCAGGTGCCGCAACAAGGCACAGTCAGCGACGGCATACCATGCTCAGCACATCCGCAACTGCAGAACGGATACGGGATGCGGAGAAACGAGTACGTTGATCGTATGAAGTTTTGACGCCTCGCGTTGCTCATAAATGTGGATGTCTAGGTTGCTCCCAAAAAGGTCAGAGCCGAAACGAAGGTCTACACACAGGACGAGCTCATCGCACGCGCTTTGGATACGGAGGAAGGAAATATAATAGAACACCGAGACTATCTCTCTCTCGAGGAGGAGAAACGACGGAAAGCGCGCGTCGTTCGACCGCACATCGAAGGACCGGTTCTGCGCTGGATTAGCAGGGGTGAACCTACGAAAACCGACTCGCCTTCGCCTGCAAGAAGGGGCATCGGCTCGTCGCTATCATCGCGCCTAAACCACGCCATTGATGCGAATGAGCATTCTTTACCGAAGAGCTTGGGATCAGATTCGTCCTCTGCCGCGGTCCCCGGCTCTTACCCCTACCCAGTGCCTGACTCGACAACGTTGTCGTCCCCGCTTTCAAGTTCCGCTATTGGTGCAACGGTGAACAAGGTCGACCCCCAACCGAAGCAGCACGACTCTGAGCGAATTGCTCGGAATTACGTGATACACGAACTGGGCCAGAAAGATCACACACCTCTACCGATGTGGGACGAGACGATGCAGGCCATGTTCGGCGACCACGTCAAGTGGAAGGACCTAAAGGTTTATGTCAACAAAGGCCGGCCCTTCTGTACGTTCTTCATTTCTACGTTTGTGCGTGACTCTCAGGCGCTCACTCGGCCCTCGGACAGCTCGTCCCGTTCAGTCGTGTCCGCTCACTGGGTTATCGGCAAGATATCTCGATCCCCGGACAAACGTGCCGTTTGCGAACGTGAAGGCATACCAGGCCCTCACAGGAATTCTGAATCACGAATACGTCTGGAGCGACGCCTTGGGATGTTACGTCGCAAGGGAAGGGGAGCGTGCTGCAGGTGACAAAGCTGGAGCTTAACGCCAGCCATTCTGAAAGAATGAGGCGGTTATCCCAATGTTCCGATTATACCGGTCGTGCAGATACACCATATTCTCTTTATTCCGATCACACAACCATCCTGGCTGATCCACGTTACTTTCTTGCGCGTTATCGTTGTATTATGTGAACTATGCTATAAATTACAGATTATGGGGAATAAGAAAGACGCTTTCAGTATACCCGCAGGTTTGGAGAGTAGGCATTTAGCCTCGGATGGTGCATACACGCAACGTGCATGGGAGTATCGGAATGGGGAATCAAGGCGAGGAAATAAGATACTGCGAACGTCCGTTAGCAACCGCGGCAGCGGGTAAAGCTCTAGTATACGTCTGCAGCGTGAACGTATCGTAGGAAAACTAGCTGTCGTTAACCGAAGGTGAGGCACATTTCGTGCGGCTCCGAGCACGATAGCTGACCGTGCTAGAACTCTGACGTCCAGTAATGAGATAGGGTCTTATGAGCCTGTGTTTCTCGGGAGGGGGCAGAGATTCCCGAAGGGACATGGCCATTTAGGGGGAGGGAGATGTAGTTTAGCATCCCCGTCGAATAAATCGCGGAAATCGAGGCCAGGACTGAGTCACCGCGGCTTGCGTCTCTACGGATGGCATCAGTTTGAAAGGGTATAGAAATGGAAGAACAGGCGTTACCTTTGTGGCGTTCTCTATCGGATAGACTTCCGTCCTCTTGCGTTTACTCCGCCGGAGCGCAATGGGCTCGCAAACTTCGGGAACTGCTTCTTCCTTTGAAGGGACCTGAGCGCGCCGCCCTGCATCAGGATTCGCGGGCACCTTTCTGCGACGACTGGGGACCTTGGGCGAGACGGGTGCGGGCTCGGTCGGACATACTTGATTCGACTTGCGTTCGCAGAGCGCCATGCTCCTATTCGGAGGGTGTGCCGGGTGTGCCGGCAGGGATGGCGGTTGCATTTGCGGTTGCGGAGTCAAGCGCAGGACCATAGGGCGCGGTACTGTGAGGCAAATCCTGCGGTCTTGAGGTTCAACTTTCGACTGAGGTTGTGCGGATGAACCAGCACGTTCCGGAGGATGACCAGCCGATTGGGGGATTGAGAACCTGACAGGCGAAGCCAGTCGTAACTGCCGTCGTGGAGGCGGCGACGGAGGAAAACCTCGTCTTCTAGACCTATCGCCCAATCAGAATATCATCACACTGTGGCATCGTCTTCGCGCATACCTGCGTGGTACCTGCTGATGCGGTTCTTTTTTCTTCTGGAGCAATTCCTTTTGGCGTTGCACTTTTTTCTTTCTGTCGTATTCTGCGATCTTGTTCATGTCCATGATCGTCCATGAACCCTTGTCAGGCCGATTTCGCATACGGTTTTCTTCACAACGCGCATTCACCCGAAGCTGGAATACCGTTCTGCGTGTGACATTACGCTGCTGGCCGTCAGCGCGTTCCTTGAGTGTTACAAACGATAGCTAGACGTGGAAGGAGGATCAGGGACTACATTGCGGTTCACTAGTTGCAACGAACCTCCGGGATATGGGGAATTGCTTGTGGGGTGTCTTGACTTGTTGCCCTTGGAACCGTGGACGATGCTCGGTTGGTTAAACGCAGTTCATCCAAACCGGTAGGGAATACCATGTCATTCGTGATGGTTCGAGGAGTATGAGCGTATTTAGGATCGGTGCTCCAGTGAGAGACATCTGCAGGTTGTGGAAACTTCAGAGCCTTGTCTTTGATGACATCCAGGCCGAGTTGTCGGAGGATCAGGATACTGGCATGATGGCATGTATCGGTGTATGTCAGGCCAGGGCTTTCAGGTTCTGGTTGGTTGCCGCGGAGAGGTTCGGACACGGGTTGATGCGCGTGGACCGACATGTCGAGGTGAGGTATAGCGAAGATGTGTTGACGTACGGGGAGAGCCACTCGTTTCTTTATGAGCCAGGCCTGGGCTGGTTGATCATTGGGCTTTGTGGCCCCTGCATCCTTATTGTCTTAGCGATACTCCGACGTTCAAACAATTACCTTGTCTGGTAAGACGTCCGGTTCCGGACGATGACTTGGAGCATTGGCTGCAGGCAAAACAACAGGCACGAGCGTTGAGCTATATAAGTAAGATTTGGTTGCTGCGTTGAAGCAGAGCCTTTTGTGTCGAATCCGCGCTTCGATACGGGAGCTGGTTTGCTTACATAACCGTCAACTCAGCGACGAGGAAAAGCCAAATATCCAATTAGTCGCATAATGACTTGCGGGTGTAGCTTGTAGGTCGCCCTTCGGTTACAGCTTGGTTACACCGCAAGTACATACGGCCGGCGAGAAACTACGGGAGGGATTCGCGCAGGATGCCCACGTGATGTGGTATCTCGGGTAATGTGACGGAGTCGCGTCCTCGTCTATCCTCTTCCAGTTGTTCCGCAACCCAGGAGTTAGGGGTCGTTATGTCTGTATAAGACCAAGGTTAGTTCGCCCGTTCCTATCATCAGAGCCTTCGTTTTAGCCACATTCGCTTACTACAACGCTCTCTACTCTACTGCGCGATGCCTTTCTCTGTCTTGAAGGCCTGGCCCACCGTTGCCTCCGGTCGTAGCGTCCTTGGTTTCTTCGCCAAGGTCCTCTCGGTTTTCAATTCTGCTACCGACCTTAGCAATGATCACATCAATCTTCCCGAGTCTTTTGGCTCCATCGGGTTCGATGAACCTCACGTCGAGCTAATCTCTATCGACGACGATGCCATGGCCACCCGACCCCGCGCTCTGCCGGCCATCGCCGCTCCAGAGAGTGTCACCGCCGGATCTAGCCGTCTGCCCTATGCTTACAACGAGAAGGTTGTCGAGATTGTGAGTACTGATGAAAGCATCTTGATGACGCGCTAAATCATCTCGTGTAGCTCGCGAAGATGGCCGCCCACCACGCTTCTCTGATCCCGACCCCTAAAGAAATCGGTGTATCCGAAGGTTTCGATACTGGATTTAGTCATCTTTTCCGAAACGCGGACGCGAGCATCGACAACGAAGACCACGTCTTCAAGCCCAACTATGTCTTCGATAGCGAGTTCAATGCCCACAAGGATTCAAGCCTCGAGCTCCCTGCAGAACGCACTGCAGTCGGAGCGAAGACGTTCAAGTTCGTTGACATCGAGGCTATTTGGTATGTTCGCAATCTTCTATATGCTCTCTCGTCGCTGACGTTTATCCATCCAGTCTCCCGGCCCTGCATACCGGCGAGTCGTTGATCTCTTCTTCATCTACGTCATCTTCGGAGAGCATCATCGTGAAATCCGTCTCCACGGACACGATTCTTAGCGCCAGCGCTTCCTTCAGCGCCGCCTGCGAGGACATCACAACTATTCACAATACGCTGTTCATGCCCTCGACCTCCTTCTCTGCCGAATTCGGGCAGTGGACCGGCCCCGCGGCTAACCTTCCAGAGAACTGCTCTTTCCTCGCCCGAATCTCCACCTCTGTCTCGTTCTCTGCCGAAGTCGGACAGTGGCCTACCCCCGCTGCCGTACTTACAGAGAGCTCCTCCTCCATCGGCGACATCGTGGCGATCCATGTTTCGCTCTTCGCATCTGCATCTACGCTTGCCGCCGAGACCGGACAGTGGAGCGACCCCGCTGCCGCGCTTCCGGAGAGCTGCCCTTCCATCTCTAGGCTCCTCATGCCATTCCCAGCGTCGGCGGTCAACCCGCCCGCGCATTCCCCATCGGACCCTATACCGGGCCCAGTCGTCGCGAAGCCTGCGTCTAGCTTGCTTCCGCGTCCCCGCTTGGTCCAGCCGCGCATCTTTATCAAGCCTCAACGGCGCCACTCGGACGTCGCCGCAACACCGCTCGCGCTCACCAAGGAGGTCCTCCCTCGTCCGACTTCCCTGCATGCGGCTCGGGGGTGGAAGTTTCCCTCCCCAGCTCAGGTCCAGGCGGCGACCCCTCTCCGGATTCGTCCTGCCATCCCCCCACCGTCCCCTCTCGCGAAGGTAGTCCTGCAGCGGGACACGTTCCGCTCGCCAGCGACAGCTTCCTCCCCCCGACTCCCCGCGCGGGCGGACAAGGCACGCGCTGCCTCCACGCCCCCTCGCAAGTCACCCTGCCCACCTCGCAAAAACGCTATATACCGACGGACCTCGATTCTATCGTGTCGCTCGTCGATCGTCCCTGCCACGCCTCCGGTGCGCTCGGGCGAGACACGGCTAAAACGTGCCTTGCAGTGGCGCTAATGTGCTTCTATCGTATGCCTCAGACTTGTATCCCTATTTTTCCTTCGTATCTCTCGGGTTCGACTCAACCTCGCAGTTCATATGCATAATACTCGGTTCCATCATAACAAGGAATGTAATGTAGACAAAAAACACACGAGGAACCAAAACAACGAAAGACACACATTTATGAGTGACTGGGATTTACATTGATGTTATTCACACGTCGATGGACATCGCCAGGTTCTCGAATACTGAGTGAACGGGCGTTATGGCCATTCGGGACGAATGCCCATTGTGCATATCACGCCGCCAACTGAAGTTGCTCGAAAGACCACGTATATCCATTCCCCAGCATCGAAACCGAAGATCAGACAACGCCATTTAAGCTAACATCCGAGAATCAAAAACCGCGTACACCACGTCACATACCTACTGCCTTCTACAGACGAGCTGATCATCTATTTGAACCCACCCCATATATCTCCAAAAGCGTCGTCTTGCTTCTTCGCTGGCGCCGGGGCAGCGGGGGCGGAACCGAAGAGGTCCGCGCCACCCGAAGACGACCCTCCCCAGATATCGTTCGTGCTCGCCATGAAGTTATTCGCGGCGGGTTGCTGCGGCTGAACACCCCATACGTTCGAACCACCCAGACCGACGGTTGAGCCGACGTTAAGGGCCGCAGGGCTGGCAGCGGGAGCGGACCCCCAGAGATTGTTCGCGGCGTGGGGCTGAGACGCGGTCGTGTTCCATCCTGACGACACGCCCCACATCCCGGCACCGGACGTGCCCATCATGCTCGTTTGCGCAGGAGAAGGCTGGGCGGCTGTTGGGGTGGAGCCGAAGGCACCCCAGGGATCGGCGGCGGCAGCGACGGGCGCTGCTTGCCCGAACTGACCGAAAGCCGTTGGCTGAGCGGGTGCCGCGGCCGGAGACGAGGCGGAGAAGAGGGAGAGAATGTCGGACTTCACGTCTTTCTTCGGGCCGGCGGACGAGGCGGTGCTGGCGGTCGGGTTTGCAGGCGCATGGAAGTCGAGGGAGAACAGGTCGTTCTGCGGTTCCGGAACAGGGGCAGGAGCCTGCTGCTGTTGTGGAGCGTGAACTTTCTGTTGCGGGTTAGCTATGATGGGTGGAGTAGCGGTGCGGGTGTGCTGCATGTGTTGTTGGGAGAGAAGTTGGCGAGGCTGCGGCTGGGTCGACGTGACGGTTGTCCGGAAGGAGCTGGAGCTGGAGTGGGCGTGTGACGTGCGCGCGGGCTGAACTTGCGGGGGAGGGGATGTCGACTGGGCTGGAGGGGCTGCCTCCCCGTCTTCTAGCACGGAGGGGTCGGAGGGCGGCGGTCCATCCATGGCCCAGCGGCGTGTCTCGTATTTCGAGCGAATGAACGAATCCATCTTGCTGTGAATAATGTCACTCGGTAAGGATCACCCTGACAATGAGAGTTCACATACTGATCGGGAGGTATGTGACCGGCCTTCAGATGAGACTCCCAGTAGAGATTGGCGCGGCGGTTGCCCCACTTCTGGATGTGCTATGGTCACATGAATGAGTGAACGAAATATATCCGAATCAAACCAGTCCAAATACCTCCATCTGCTCAGGAGTCCAGGTGTCCAGGTCAACAGATTTCACTTTGCTGATGTGCGTGCCCATGGATCGATGTATGCCAGAGCATCGGATACACACGAAGCAACCTCTGAACTCAGTGTTAGCGTGTCATCTCCATCTGAGAGAGATGTCGGGGCCCACATGTTCCAGGATGCCCATCGCGGGTCTGCAAGAACCAATTCTCAATGAACGCTGGAGAAATGGCAGCAGCGGACATACCGTTCCGCTTGCAGTCGGCGCAGACCTTATTCTCCGGCCTCTTTAGCATCTCTCGCAAGATGCGAGCATGCCTTTCTGTCGTGGCTTTGTCTTGTTTGGTGGACATTTTTGTGTCCGTCGAGCGAGTCACGCAATGGGAGCGACGAAGCGGTCACGATAGAGAGTTGGCAGAGCTAACTGCTCGAGCCCACGCGCCACGCTGAAGTCGCGCGCCGCGCCACGGGCTTGGCTTGAGCTTGAGCTGTGACGTGGGTTGCATCCAGCATTTAGACCGTCCGTGTCTGATTACTTGTTCGACAACGAGGACTACGAACGCGACGATAAGGTCGACAACAACACATGGCTACGTCTGCTGCTGCGAGAGCGGAAGCCAGGAGGAAAGCCATCCTGGCCAGAGGTGGCGATCGCCTCGCTAAACTTACCACCTCCGCAAGGGGTGAAGAGGGCACACCGGATAGATTCACGCCTGAACGTAAGCTTTGATATTTTGCCTTCTAAACCGTTCAACTCCGTCCTATTGTCACGCCGATGGTCATTCACCCGGCTTGTGCATATATATATATATTGTTCGTCCGTATGTCCGTCCAGAAAGCTGACTCCATCTCGTGCAGCTCCAAATCGTTCATCCGCGTTCCTTGGGGACGATGCGCCGGACTTCAGCACGCCCCCGCGCCCCGCGTCTACCGCAAGCGCGTCACCCACCCCTCAGTCACGCAAACCTTCCATCCGCAATGGCACTCCCGCGAGCAAAAACACCGCTGCAGAGGACTCACCGTGGAGTGCAGAGCAACAGCAGCAATTCATGCGCGCGCTCATGACCTCTGGTCTCGCTGGCGGTAATGCCGACGCGGGAAGCGACCAGATACCGCGGCTTACCGGGTCCGGCATAGGAACGCCCGATTTCGGCGCCGGACTGAACGCCAATGCGAACGCAGCGGACGACCCGTTTGCGATGATGCTCTCGAGTATGCTGCAGGGCCAGGGCGGCGCTAATGGGCAGATGCCGCAAATGCCACAGATGCCGGGCATGCCCCCAATGCCCGGAATGAACATAGCGCCGCCGAAGCCGCCGACGCTGTTGCAGCGAATCTTGCCGGTGTTGCATGTGCTCAGTATATGGATCTTGCTGGGATTCTTCGTGTTGTTCAGGGAGCCCGTAGCGTTCGACGCGCAAACACATCGAGGGAGCACGACTGGATGGTTAGGACGCTGGGGGGAGTTGCTACATGCGCCGGGAAGCGTATCAGGAGTTGTTCGTGGTTCTACCGTCTTGCTTGTTCACGTTTACTGATCTGATCAATGCGGCTATAGCCTTTCTTTTGGGCCTTCATCACCCTCGAAATTACACTTTTCTCCATCCGCATTTTCACGGGGCTTTCGAACCCTTCTTTGCCCTTCATGCTGCAAATGGCCCTCCCGCATCTTCCGCCACCTGTTCCAAGCCTCATCACCCACGGGTTGAGATACATAAGGATGGGCGGCATCCTGCTGGACGATGTCGCGGCGCTGATACTCGGATTGGGGCTTCTGACCTGGGCGGGAAGCGTGCTGGGGTCGTAGCGTCAGAGTTTTGGGTGTATCTGTTGTTACATTAGACGCAAAAATATGCTAAAATGCGGTTTTCGCCATCTGCCAGTGCCTCGTTTGCATCACGGTTCGTACGAGCCCTCTATCCGAGCCTAGCGCGAAAAGCCGCTCTATTGCAGGGAGATGGCGTGCGCGTATTAGACAACGTGTACAATAATCAGCGAAAGGTCTAGAGAGCATCATGGCAGCACGACTGCCGCCCCCGTCTTCGTGAAGTCCGGTTTGTCGTAGTCGGGCTCCGGGGTCGGCTCTTGGCTAGCCTTTCCTTTCGGTTTGGCTTGCCTCTCCTTCTGCAATGATGTTTTTCGTTGACGATTCTGCCGACGGAACAACATCAGACTCGCGAGCGCGAACTTTCCAGATGAGAGATGACTTACAGTTTTCGGAGGCGCAACAGATTCGACGATTGGTAGTCCGCCAGCCTCCCGGTCAGCGCACCATCGCTCCCAGTTGGCGCCACCAGCTTTGTTCATAAGTTCTTCAAAGATCTTCGTCGAATGTTTAGAGTCCATTGAGATGGTCTCCTTGGTGCCGTTTCCTAAAGGTATTGTCATATGAGTCACTGCGCGGAGATACAACGCAGGATGTGGAAACATACGTCGCTCGATGACTAGCTCCGGACGCACGACATCTTCCAATCCCGCCTGCACCTTGTTGACGGCAATGTCCACGTTCGGGTTGGCATACCGTATTCGAGGCAGGTCCTCTTTCACAAAATGCCTGGCAAACACGATCAACGCGTTACTATCGACTGGTCATTCCGCACGCGATGCGTACTGCGCACCGTGCACCCCAGTGATTATTGCGTGCTGCGTACGTGAGCCGCAGTGAGCTCACAGCGTTCAGAGTCGGCTTCGGATCCCTCGTCAAGAACGCGAGCACCTTGCTGAGTTGAGTGGGCCCGGAGAGCCCTTTCAGTTTCCTGGGCATATTGTCGGAGAGGACAGAAACGTGTAAGCGCCCAGGAACTGCGGCAAGCGCCCCTCGCGCCTACGCTGCGTTCGTCACCGACTCCGGACTGTGCCAGTCACTTGCTTCACTATACCCCGACCTCGACCCCGCTGTCGGCCAACCCCCCACGCCGGGTGAAGGCGACCACGACCACGACGGCGACGGCCACCATGTCGACTGTAGGCGTCGTGCTGGAGGAGGGCAAGCTGCTCAGCGAGGCCCTCAGCACCGTCAAAATACAGGTCCAGCAGATGAAGCGGCATCTGGTGTGCATCGTAATGGCGACCGCTGAGACCTCGTTCTGATATGGTGTATCTCTCGTCTTGCAGGAATTGGACCAGCTGATGGACGCGCTGAAGAGTGCGAGTCTGATGCTCGCCGAACTACGTACTTCCTCCCTATCGCCGAAGCAATACTATGAGCTATGTACGTCCCGCAATGGATGCATTGCATTGATTCTCGACTGAGTTTCTACTGTGCAGATATGGCTGTATTCGACGCGCTCCGTCACCTCTCAAACTACCTGTATGAGGCTCACATGTCCTCTAAACATCACCTGGCCGACCTCTACGAACTTGTGCAATATGCTGGCAACATCATACCACGGTTATACCTTATGATCACAGTGGGCTCGGTGTATATGTCCATACCCGACGCGCCAGTCAAGGAGGTCATGAAGGATATGATGGAGATGTCGCGCGGCGTGCTACACCCGACCCGTGGGCTGTTCCTGAGACACTACCTGAGCGGGCAGACGCGAAGTAGCCTGCCCGTTGGCAACGATGATGGGTGAGATCATCCAGTGCTATCGCTGTCATCGCCGCGCATTGACGGAGCTGTCACAGCCCGGGCGGCAACCTCCAGGACTCTATCAACTTCGTGCTCACCAACTTCATCGAGATGAACAAGCTCTGGGTTCGCCTTCAGCACCAAGGTCACTCCCGCGATCGCGAGAAACGTGAAATGGAGCGGCGCGAGCTTCGAATTTTGGTCGGCACCAATCTTGTCCGCCTGTCCCAACTCGACGGCGTCGACCTCGACCTCTACGAGCGCCTCATCCTTCCCAGCATCCTCGAGCAGGTCGTCAGCTGCAAGGATGTTATCGCGCAGGAGTACCTCATGGAGGTCGTCATCCAGGTCTTCACGGACGAGTTCCACCTGCACACCCTCGGGCCATTCCTTTCCGCCACCGCACAGCTGCACCCCAAGGTCAACATCAAGCAGATTGTCATCGCGCTCATCGACCGCCTTGCATCGTATGCCGCACGCGAAGCTGAGAACGAAGACCCGGAGGAGGCAAAGCGTCAGGAGGAAGCCGCGGCTAAGCGGCTGGCCGAGAAGGTCAAACGGGCGCGCTCCCATTCGGCCACCACAAGCACGAACGGTGTGTCTGCGGAGCAAACTGTTGCAAGTGAATGGGCGAGCCCGCCCACAAGCCCGACAGTTGCTGACACGGAGAAGAGCTTTGGGGCGATGAGCGTCAATGGCGATACGTCGAGCGCGGACGTGGAGAAAGCGAGCGAGAAGACAGCCGAAAGCGAGAAGGCGCCTGTTGTCCGCAAGTTCCGAGGCATCCCGGAGAACGTTCAGCTATTTGAGGTGTTCTGGAAGCAGGTTGTGGAACTGATCAAGGTGGGTGGAACGTGTTGTTCTCAGATATGATATTGTTAAATCTGTCCACAGGCGCGGCCAGATCTCTCCATACAAGATATCACGGCGCTTCTGGTCTCGTTGACCAACCTCTCTGTGAGCTGCTATCCGGACCGGCTGGAGTATGTCGATCAGATCTTGGGTTTCGCGCACGATAAAATCAAGGAGTTCCAAGACAGGTGAGCTTGCTCACCTCTGTAAGTTAAATTGCTGCTGACAATGTTGATTAGTCCCGACCTGCATTCGGCACCTACCATTAGCAATCTCGCCGCATTGCTCGCTGCCCCCATCAATTCCTATCAATCCGTGCTGACGCTGCTCGCGCTGCCGCGTTATGCCTCCCTTTTGACGCAGCAACCATTTTCCTCGCGACGATCCGTTGCGCACGCGGTCATCTCGTCTGTTCTCAAGAACGAAACTGTTATCGAGACACCCGAGGACGTCGATGGTATCCTCGAGCTGTGTCATGTGCTCATCAAGGACCAGGCCGACGTAGCAGGAACGAGTGGAGGTCCAGGCGACAGGCGAGGACCATACTATTTGGAGAGGGAGGAGATGGCGGAGGAGCAAGGATGGGTGGCGCGGATGGTGCATCTATTCAGGTCCGATGCATTGGATGTGCAATTCGAGGTCAGCCGACCTAGTCCAGAAGCTATCTCCCCAGAAGCTAACGTGCCCCTCCAGCTTCTACAAACTGCCCGAAGACATTTCGAAACAGGGGGCGAGAGGATGCGGTTCACATATCCGGCCCTTATCACCTCTGGGATCAAGTTATGTAGACGATACAAGAAACATGGCATGCCGGTGCGTTTTTTCACGTAAAGGGATAGTCGTAGACGTTTACGTCCTGCGGTTAGGAGGAACAATGGAGACCGAAGGTGGAAATCATCCTTCGGTTCATTCGACAGCTCATATCGATCCTTGCCACGCAAGTCGAGGCTCCCTCAATCGCCCTTCGTCTGTTCCTGCTTGCAGCACAAGTTAGCGACGAGTGTGACTTTGAGGACCTCACGTACGATTTGTATGTGCAGGCGTTCACCGTCTATGAGGAGAGCATCTCGGAGAGCCGGGCCCAGCTGCAAGCAATAACGCTCATCATCGGCACGTTGCAAGGTGCACGTGTGTTCGGCGTGGACAATTACGATACCTTGATCACAAAGGCCGCGTTGCATGGTTCCAAACTTTTGAAGAAGCCTCACCAAGCGGCAGCGGTGAACCTAGCTAGCCATCTGTGGTGGCAAGACCTCGGACCGGATGAAGAGATGCCTGTGCGATTGGAAAAGCTAGCAGATGCGGAGGAAGGGGAGAGCAGTCAGAAGGCTGTGAGTGTTGGTTACAAGCAGCTCAATTAACATATACTGACCCCGTATCGCCAGTACCCTCATCAAGATAGCAAACGCGTGCTTGAATGTCTGCAGAAAGCTCTACGTATCGCAAATTCTGCCACCGAGGAGATCATCACCATCCAGCTGTATTGTGACACCCTTGACCAATATGTGTACTACTTCGATCGAGGTGCTGAGGCGGTACGTGCTTCTTATTGGTCTTCGGTAATTCATGCTGATCCTGTCACCAGGTGACGCCGAAGTTTGTGAACAGTCTGGTTGAGCTCATCACCTCGAGCATCGACAACATCTCATCGCCAGACGTGCACCCTTCGCAACGCGCGCCGCCTGGCTTACTCGAAGGTGTACAAACGCCCGAGATGATTGCTCGTCATTTTAAGAATACCCTCCTATACATCCAGACGAAGAAAGCCGCAGGCGGCGGGCGCTGGGACGAAGTGGATGTGGTAGGCGCGATGCTCAAGATGGGCATCACGCGATGAGCTCCTTCGCGGAAGCTGATTCGACTATTTTGTTTACGAAATTGTACGTGCTATCCGTATGGAATGTACATAATGGGCAGAGAGGATGACTTGGGGGTCACGAGCAGGATGTACCTACTTCGGTTTCGTCTGATCTTCGGATGGTTTTTGCACGCGCTGTCGATAAGACCGAGTAAAGAGGGCTGGGAAAAGCCGAGCTTCTCACAAGAACAAAGGGATCACCACGTGGCTATGTAAGACAGTCGGGTATGTTTTCGCGTATATGCGCCACACAACTGATCGCTGGGCCTCCCGTTCGAGCTCAGATGCTGTCCCTGTCCTGACCGAATACAAAAGTCGGATGATTCCGATCTCCACCAGGCCGTGCGGTTTTTGTTTTAGAGAACATTGCAGGATCTGTGTGCGTTCAGAAGCGGGGCCGGGACCTGGAGCTCTAATCAGCGCCTTGTTCTCGTTTCTTCCTTTACCGCGGGCTTACCCAAAGAATAGAACAATAGTGACTTTCGGACCTGAACATCGAACTCCGCAACTCCCTTTGATTATATACTGAAAATGTCTGGCGCCTTCCCTAGAGCAGCCACCTTTTGCCAACCTTGCTCACTGTTCTCACCGGATCGCCACTCCCAACTACTCCCTGGTCCGGACGCCTGGCATGAGCGCTGTTATCAAATCTCCTACCAGATATGGCCTGGGTCCTTTGGATTTCGATCGATTCCCTCCTACGCCTGACTTCGTGTTGAAACGCCATCGAGCACCACCTCGTCGTCCAACCGCTGCCGAGACTTTACGTCGCCTCCCTTTGAAGTCTCTGGTAGAGCGCCAGCGCATTAACCGCGATAAATTCAGCCAAATTGCCCGCGTTTGGTCGCAAAGCAGGGTTCATATGGCGACCGCCAAAACCGTCGCTCGTGCAAAAGGTCTTACTGTTGACACTCGCACGGGGACAGACTATAGCGTGCAGGCCGTAATTTTAGATCGCGATGAGTACTCCATGGCACCCTCGAATTCTTTCCTCGCCCGCAATCAATTACTGTATGTGAATATTGCATCGACCAGGGTTGTATGGCTAACCGCCATCTGCACAGACAACCATACGCAGAAACAATTTTCTACGCAAACCATATCACCGCCAACTTTTCGACGCGAGGTCACTGTGGAACCGGCCCAGAACAGGGCTACAATAACGCGGCTCCTACGACTCAATCGAACTTGCCCTCGCATCTTCGCTTTCCTGCACCTCAGTCAGATCTCAACACATTCCTACTTCATAAATACTGGCCAGCCGCCTTATACATGTCTTCCGTCTTCCAAAGCTGGATGAACCCGGGCTCATGGCCTCTCCCGCTGCCGTACGATACATTGTCATACTACGACCCTCCTGGAGCCAACGACTTCCGGATGTCTTCAAATCTCAGTCACTCCCAGTACCATCCAGCGCCTCAAGCGACCGTGCAACAGCATCCAACGGCGACTGATCACGAGAGTCGGCCTCGTGGATACCCCGAAGCTCATACAGCTCAGAAATGCACTGTTAAGACAGTAAGTTCCTCATATCTTTTCCGTTGCGCCCCAAGTAGCTTTACCAACATGCCTCCAGGGCGAGATCAGATACTTCACAAGCACTGGATTTCGCGAGCCCCTTTCATTTGCCTACGAACAGCGCAAGCAACCAAGATCAGACACAGACGCGGACCTGCATGAGACGGGCCGTGTCGCCGTCAAGAGGCGTCGCATGGAGGCAGATGTTGCCCATCCAGCCAGCGTCTCTACCCGGCTTGAAATGGAATACGAGAGTGCCTGGAACACGCGTCGTGCTCCGGTAAATATACCGCAGCAACGTCACGCTCGTCACGCTCACCAAGCCAATCCGACTAATCGCACCTCTTCTCCAAGGCGATTCCATCGGAGGTGATGCCTAGATATCGAGCATCGCGTGAAGCCAGCTATCATCGACAGCGGAATCACGGGCAACCGATCAATAGTAGTGGAAGCTAATCTTCCAAACGACATTCAGCATCTCGTATGAGGATCCAGCCTTTCATAGTATTCCGCATTCAGAGCGCCATTGTATCGTTACACTCAATTATATCGTGTCATTTCTAAACCGATCGTCGCAAGTCTCCACCCAGTGACTGGTAACGTACATCAATCACGAGGGACATGCATATCAGGAGACGCGTCCGAGACCCTGGCACTGGACCCCATGGTTTTGCCTCGCGTACAGCTGTGCGCAAGGGGGAAAAGATGGGGCCAGGGCACATCCAGCGTATAGCCGCATTTCAGAGATTGCGTCTGAGAGTGTCGGCAATGTTCTTCTGCAACCGAGACAGGTGAGCTGCAAGTTCTCCATCCGGCAAAGCCGAGTATTCCAGAGCTTGTGTTAGCTGGGTTTTCAACTGTGCAGAACGAAACCGGTCAGATGTTTCAGAACATATCAGACCATTCGATACTGAAGTAGATCACGATGCTCGCGAGGCGCTGACAGCATCCGAGTCGCATCTGACAAAATACCTTAAGCAGGGATTGTCTCTTCGTGAAAATCTTGGTTGTGCGGCTTTGCTCTTCCAACTGAAGTTGGCGTTTTGTGAGCTGGACAGCCACTGCACGACCTCCGTCGATGACATCGGGCGGTAGATCGGCGAGCCTGGCAAGATCAAGTCCTAATCCGAGGATCAACGTCGTCACCAACGAGGTCAGTGCGACTCACCGTAATGCTCGTAATCCCCAACTGCACCATCCAAGATCCTGTCGGAGGAATCAGAACGCAGAGGAGGGGACACCGAAATACCCACTTATATTGGTAGGTCATGCCAAAATTGACGTTGCTGCGGCGGTTTCGTTGCACCGATAGGTGAAGACTGCTAAATGTATAGTATCAAGTATAGCATACTTTATCCGGATGCTCACTTCACAACGGATGGTTGCCTTGAGAGCGTCATCGTTAGTTCGTGAAAATGCCTATTGGCGGTCTTCAGCTGAGGAGAGGGGGTCAAGGTCTTGAGCAAACCCTACGTTGCGAAGAAAGTGAAACACTAAGACGCGATTAGTCGGCATTGCAGTGGACAGGAGTCGGCGAACCTTGGTTTTGATAAGGCTTTCTGCGATGGCATGCGAAATACCCACGCCGTCCCTTGGGGACGTGCCTCTACCCAGTTCATCGATTAACACCAAGGAGTCAGCCGTTGCCAGCCCTAGAGGTCAAGGTAGTAAGGTAAGGTCAAGGTTCCAGGATACTGCAATTATGCCTCGCCGAGTATCATTGCCGAGGAGGCCATCTCATTTGCGAAGGTACTCAAGCTCTTCTCCGCGTCATCGTCATTCGATAGCCTCGTGAGAAGAGCGTCGTGAACCCTACAGATTGTAAAAGGAATCGGAGTTAGTATGACAGTATGATAAATACTGCAGGATGGAGTCGCTCACCGAAAACTAGCGTATTGGGCCGGAACAAAACTTCCTGCCATTCCCATGATGGTTAGCAGTCCTATCTGCCTCAGATAGGTGCTCTTCCCGGACATGCTGATCAGTATGTGAGCTATCCCTGCTCCAACTAGTGACATTCATAACAGCCAAAATGACTCACTTCGGCCCGTGAACCATTTGAAAGGTTGTGGCGCCGCAACAGTACACATCGTTCGGGACAAGCATTCCCGCTGCTTGTACGCCCTCCAATATCGGATGGCGGCCCGCCTTGACAGCAAGCGTACCAGTGAACTCAGGCCGAACTGGTACGGCTGTCTCAATCCTGCGTGCAGACCGTCGTTCTAAAATGCTCTCACCATAGTTTCGAACTGTAGGGCATTAACCATGAGCAATGCCGATGATCCTGCTTACTCACGAATGGACACATGTGCAAACGCAGAAAGCATGTCAATCTGAGCCATTGCCTCCGATGCCTTATATAAGGCCCCGATGTTGACAAGTATAGCAGACACGAGATCTTGTATGATTCTGCGAAACAATGTCATAACCCCGGGCAGGCAGGTTCCATGATACTTACGCGTCGCTGAGGATCAAAGTTTCGTCGAGTGCGTCTTTCATTCTTGCATTCCTCTTTTTCTGCCGTCGCATTGCAAGTGAAGGTATCACCGCTTAGCGAGCGTGAACACTCATACCAGCTCCATACTCGAGAAGAGATATCTTCCCTTCTGGACCATGACATTAACGAAGTCTTTCGGCAGCTTGTCGGTCCCTTCCAGCTCGCTTTTCTGCAGTGCAAACACAAATCCAGACTCTTGGTATACCAGTGTCAATGCAAGACCGTGCTCTTCCGACATCAGCCTCTTCAGCTGGAAGATGTCGCCGACATTCTCTTTGTATGTTTCCCTGGCAACGTCAAGCAGTCGGTTGTGATTTGCCTGTATATGCTCCCGTGTCAACGAAAAGGTCGCTCAAGAGTCGTCATCATGACGGACCTTCACAGCATAAACGCGCGAGTTGATGGCGCCTAATCCTCCCTAGATACTTCTTCAACGGTATGCTTTCGGTCGAGAATATACTCTCACTTTCAATGGCGCAGCATCCTCGTTCAAGCTGCAACGGACCAAGTCTTCAATTTGACCCAACCGCTTGTCGGATACGAACTGGCAGAGAATTGTCACTCCGTTCTGGTATCGCGGACCATTCATCCCTACCTCATAGATATCTTGAAGCAGTCGGCTTCTACTACCCGCGAGGGCCGTTTGCAGTAGAGGAAGACTTTTCACCAAGTTTCGCAGGTTCAACATTTCGGAAACTCTCGTAGATGCTACCTTCGCGGACGTTGTGAGCTCTCGGGCCTCGGAAATCGCAAGCTATGCCACGCAATGTGAGAAGATGTTGTTTGTTACATCGGGGAGAACGCACTGAAGTGATCAGTTTGTCGAAATCCATTTTATGCATGGTTTTCAGCGCATCTCGGACGGCCGTGAATTTATCCTCCGAATTTATCAGCTCTGTGATGATGTGAGCTAATTGTCGGTCTATTCTGGTACATGCTGACCTTCGACAGCATTGAGTCTAGTTTCAATTAGATCTTGTACTTTGCGGACAATCAGCGTATCCGAACTTGGTAGTGGACTGGGTTATGTACCAGTGGAAGGTGACAAAATGTTCACTCTGAGCAACCTGGCTCCCATCGCAGTGTTCGTGTGATTCAAAATGCTGTATATTTGATCATGAGACGACGAATACTACACGAGGAGATTTTCTTACCCGAATAATGAATGAGCCGATCTTTTCGATGTCATGTTGCACGCCAGCTCGAGGTTTCGCACCGTGTCCGAATCAATCATCATCGTTCCCTCAAAGGGTAAATAACTGAGCATATCCATTGTCGATGGATGGGATCAGCCATGAAGTAAGATGGCATGGACGCAACAGACCGAATGCGTAACGAAGCTGCAGCGTATCGCGTATTGAACTTGGTTTCGCAGTACTTGAACAGCGCAGATACTGCTGACAAGGCATAGTATCTGAGTGAGATTACAAAGCGTCAGCATCACATACCTGTATGCATAACAGGCTATATGCGTGATGTATATGCAGCACAAGTCGATTACTTACTTGTTTAAGATTGCCATAATGATTGCTGCCCTCTCGTCGTCGTCTACGCAGAGTTGTTTGACGAAGTCGAGACCTGAAGTGGCCACCTTAGCATTCATCGGTAGCTTTCACAGCAAGAGAATGGGCCCAATAATTCTTGGTGACTCCGTGCGACACCGGAGGGAGGAGAAAGTGCCCGCGTTCATTGGAACCTTACCTGCCGTATCGTTCCAGTACTTCCTCATCACGGGTTCTATTGGAACCGAGAACTCTTCTTCCAAAAGTCGAACAAGAATAGAGGTGACTGGGGGTTTTCTGAATCCAGATGCAAAGCTCGCATCTCCGGCGGAGAGCGATGTATCCGGAACTAGGAGAACAGACGGTGATCGTATACATAATTGGTGCAGCGTCTTGGCATATGTCTGGGTATCCGAGAACTGGAGAATAGACAAATATGAGCATCCGGTACGCATATATGCAGCTCCTCGGTAAAGGTAGAGTGTCGAAGGACGGGAAAATCATAACCTGAACGAGGATAACTTGTCCTGTATCTCTTTCCAGAGCTGCCAAACCGACTTCGCGGGCGATGCCTCGACCTTCCAGGATCGCAGCAGCCCAGGAGCCGTTGCACCGCTCAGAGGCTGATGTGGTGGGACGCCCGGTACCAGGGCGAGACTGGGCAGTTCGGGGCCTGGTACTAGGTTGTTGTGTCGCTTGGCCAGTCCAAGAACGAGACGTCGGAGTGCTTGAGTACATCTTCCGTTTCTCTACTCGACAATATACGAGCAAAGCGGAAATACAGAGTCTGCAACAGTGGACTGATAAGATGTAATGTATGTCAAACTAGAATATTTTGGTGGATTGCGTCACGTGGTGAATCTTCATCGTCACCGCCCGGCCACAGTGCTGAGTGCAGCAGCATGCGTTTACCACCTAGACTCGGGCCGATCTGATTGACCGCAAGCACAAATCCATCCTTGGTTAAACGCTCGTTCTGTCGTACTCATGTCCGATCCTACATCGCAGGTGACTGAATGAATGTTGCCCTTACTTGAAAGCGCTCTGACAATTGCACTAGTCCAATTACGCTGCGATCTTTTCCGAGCATATTGCTTTAGTCTGGGTTGTCGATTTTTCCCAGAAAATCATAAGTGGCCACGCTACGCATACACTCCGTGTCAAGGACGCTAGTGTCAAGGAGGTCGTGTAAGCATCAGCATGCACGAACACCATCGTAGCGCGAGCTGACTTCCTACCTTAGGTTCGACACCTTGGACCTGAGTGTGGAACGAGCAGAGGTTGACTCGAAACCTGCTGATCACCATCTGGACGAACCCCACAATGTCATGGGTTCCGCGTTGCATGTCTCGCTCCCGCCTGGTGTCGTCTTGACGGAAGACGGAACTGTCGAGGTCAAAATATACTATCGCACCACAAATGCGTGCCCGGCGTTACAGTGGCTGGGAAAGGAGTGAGTGATCCTTGCATCCATGAAGGACAGACAGCTCATCGTAACAGAGCCACGCAGGGCAAAGCCTTCCCTTACCTCTTTTCGCAATGCCAGCCCATCTACGCTCGATCATTGGCGCCAGTTCAAGGTTGGTTTACGCGAGTTGCAGTTCATTCACCCCGGTGATAACGCCGGATGTAGACACCCCCTCCGTCAAAATTGTCGGTGCAAAGAAAGGATCGTTCTTCAATCTGACTGAAAGCATCATAGACCTACAGTGCACGAGTCGCATCGACGCTTCCTGTGCTCATGTCCGCTCGGCGTGTTTCCCCTCCTTCAGACGGGCCTCCGCATGATGGCAAGGAGATCGGGAAGGAAACTGTGACGTATGTCTACGACCAGGCGAGTCCACTGTCGGCAGTCGAGTGGGGACTCAATTTCACCCCATGCCGCAGCCTGTTCCGATACCCTCGTACCTTCTCGCCATTGCATCGGGTAACGTACGATATCGCGCTCTCCCGAAACCGGAAAGCAAGAAATGGACCACTGGTATTTGGGCTGAACCGGAACTCATTGATGCTGCGTACTGGGAATTCAGCGAAGACACTGCGCGGTAAGATTGATTACCTCACATTTGCCAACGACCTCATAAGATGCACCCTATACCATGACATAGATATCTGGCTGCTGAGGAAGAATTGGTGTTACCGTATCGGTTCGGCGTATACGACTTACTGGTGCTGCCGCCTTCGTTCCCCTACGGAGGAATGGTGCGTGCCACCCCCTATTATCTTTGTAGTCGACTCATCCGGTCCTAGGAGAATGCCTGTTTGACTTTCCTGACACCCAGTGAGCGTCTCGCGCCTGTTTCAGGAAGAAGTAAAACTAATGAGTCACAGCACTCCTCACCGGTGATCGTACCTTGGTTGACGTCGTCGTCCATGAGGCTACTCATTCCTGGTTTGGTAACGGGGTGCGTTACGATAATACGCGAGTTTCCCGCATAATTAACGTTGGCCTAGGTGACTCATGCTCATGCAACGCATTTCTGGCTCAATGAAGGTTGGACAAACTACATTGAGCGCGTTCTTCAGGAAAAGCTCCATTCTCCCGCCCACAGGGGCTTCAGTTATATCATTGGCAACAAACAGTGCGCCCTCGTTCATCATCTTCGAAACCACTGAATCGATTGGGAAGTAGGTTGGAAGAGTCGCTGAAGGAGTACAAGGACTGCCCGAAGTATCAGAGACTTGTTATCGACTTCGAGTACGGCGAGGATCCTGACAATGCGTACTCATCCGTACCATATGAGAAGGGAGCAAATTTCATCCTTCACCTTGGTTGGGCATTTTCTTTTCCGATTGAGCTGTAGTTGCTGACAGCCGTCAATCAGAGCGTACTCTTGGCGGCCTTGATGCCTTCCTGCCCTACGTTCGGGATTATGTCAAAACTTTCCAAGGCACTTCTATTACGACTGAGCAGTGGAAGGATCATCTATATGCATACTGGGCTAAACAAGGCAAGGACAAGATCGAAGCATTGGACCAGATTGATTGGAATGTTGGTCCTTCTCCGTATCCATCGCGATCTCACCTCACCAAATATCCGGACTACAGGGATGGCTCTATGGCGAGGGCTTACAGTTGCCTGTGGAACTCACGTACGACGAGTCGTTGGCTACGCAGGCGTATGATCTTGCTGGGAAGTGGGACGCGGCACGGAACTTGAGTGTGTCGGAGCTCAAGTTCAAGGAGGAGGATCTTAGGTCCTTTGACTCAAACCAGAAAGGTATCATCATTTTGTTCTGGGCTCATACGCTCTTATCTCACTTCCGTGAATCACACAGTCGTCTTCCTTTCCCGCTTGAGAGAGTATCCTGCGCTTCCGACTTCGCACCTCGTCCACCTTGGCAAAGTGTACAAGTTCTCGACTACGGGAAATGCTGAAATCAGACTGCGGTGGTACCAGCTCGTGCTGGACGTCCCGGATGGCGCCGGTGCTCCCGAAGTTGCCAAAAAGTACGCGCCCGAGGCAGCGAAATGGGTTGTCGGTGACGACGCAACAGGCGTGGTGAAGGGCCGGATGAAGTTCTGCAGGCCTGTGATGAGGGCAGTGTACAAGGTCGATGCTGAATTGGCGAGGAACGCGTTTGTGGGGAAGAAGGACGCATTCCATCCTATTGCTAGGAGGATGATCGAGAAGGCCAGTTTGCTGCGTGGATGAAGCGTGATTGGCTAATCAAACGTGATTCTAGGACCTGGGGCTGGCATGAAACATGAGACATGGTCATGGGCGCATCTGAATTGCTCAAATAATTCGCGGACGGGCCGGGTATTGGCCGCGCTGTTGATGAGGTTCATTTCAGCAGGCCACCGTCCCCCCTCCTTGGTATGCCGTAATGTCATTGGTCTCATTTCGCTGAAATCACTGTACACAAAGATATCGAGTGTTTTTCCGCTGTTGATATCAGGATGTGAAGAGAAGAAATGTAAGCGTCAAAGGATCGAGGATACTCACCTCGCCTATGAACTCTCGTGGCATGTTTGTTAGGCGATGTGGGCGATGAATGCAGCGGACCATGTAGTCTGGCACAAGCCGGGATGTGTATATCCCACTCCAGCAAGTAATCACATCATATTAAGATCTGACAGTGACAGGCGCCGCATACATGATCAACAGCTTGCACGAGAAACACTCGTGTTGACCGCGATCAGAATGTCTGGATGAAAAAGACGTATGTATTGCTGCGCTACACGTATACACCAACGCTGCAAAAGAGAGCAACCACGCCGAAGCCACCCAGTACACTGGCAAGGGATGCGACGGCGAGCTCGCGGGCGGGGACAGTAGCTTTGGGCAGGCTGTTGGTCCCATTCGACAATCATTAGCACGAGGTAAAGGTCCAGGCGACATGTAAAGCACAGTAATATACAAATCCGGGCAGCGTGTCAGAGGATGACGAGTGCGGAGCAAGAAAGCAAATACTGACGTGGAGAAGTAGAAAGCCAGCCCGAATGTCGCTGCCAGCAGTACGAACGCGAGGTAGGGCAGCAGCTCAGTTGGCACGCTCGGGCTGAAGGGCGGCAGGCCGCGATGTAGAGCCTGTCGTTCACCGCAGTTAGTAAAGGTTGGCTGGAGGCTAACAGCCGGGACCGACCTCTACTTGGGAATGTGTGAGGGACATGGCGCTGGCAGGAGATGCGGAGCACGCGAGGCACGGCCTGGGTTGACGTAGTCGTGGGAAACCTCGGCACGATATAAGCAAGCTCGGTCGTCACGCATTTTGCCAACTCACACCCCCCACCGCACACGACAACGACCGTACACCTCTTTACGACAACAGTGCGCATTCCTAACACGCAGTCATTTGGTTATGCTCACCTACAGCTCAGATGTCTACCGGCGAGAGAATCAACAATGTCCAAGCGCAGGTGCAGTCTCACCCGACGTACCTGCAGGCCAAGGACAAGACGAACTATTACCTCGCTCAGCTCGACAAGGAGGTACAGTGGACTGACATATCGCAACATCTTATCGTGCTGATATGCGCGCTCTGCAGCTGTCTAAATACCCCGTCATGAATGCCGTTGAGCAGCGCACTCAGGTCCCCAAGACCTACATCGCTCTCGGCGCCGTCGCGCTTCTTGCGTTCTCACACACCTTCAACGCCCTCGCTGCTCCTACTTCCAACCTTGTTGGATTTGCCCTCCCTGCTTACCTTTCCGTTCGCGCTATCGAGTCCCCCGGCGCGCAGGATGACGTCCAATGGCTGACCTACTGGGTTGTCTTTGGATTCTTTAACTTCCTCGAGTCCTTCTGCCTCCGGGTCGTCCTGTACTATTTCCCATGGTACTTCGCCTTCAAGAGCCTTTTCGTCATCTGGCTCCAGCTGCCCGCCTTCCGCGTAGGTTTCCGTTGACGTCATCTCCGCGCGTACAGATACTCAACTACCTTTCTCATTTAGGGTGCCCAAACTCTGTATTTCTCTGCCTTCAAGCCTGTCCTAAGCAAGCAGCAGGTGTCTACTCGTCCTGACTCTGCCTCGACTTATCAGGCTGATACCCTCCGTGACCGCGTGGCCACAGCTAACGTCGAGTGAGCGTTCTCAGAATTGAGGTGTAGATGGAAGGAGGAGATGGAATGGGCTTCGCACTGCCTTTGTCTCCAACGCTTACGGGCACTTGAACTTCGACCTCTGTGCGGCCATATGCCAATTCGTTCTTACCCTACGACTGTATATTGATGAGTTGAGATGAGATGACGAATAGAACGCTTTATAGTTAAGCCATACTCATCCATCCGGGCGTATGAGATGGTGAGGATTCGTTCGGGGCCGTGGAAAGTGCATCCGTGCCTAGGCCGGAGCTTCAGATATCTACCCAAAAGGTTACTCTCCTTGATATCATGGTTGGTCCTCGTGGTCTGATGCGTCTCCAAGACACAAGGGGACAGGATGAACAAAAGTATGAAAACATAATATGATATACAGATACGACGCGCGGTATGAGGTATAACATAGGAGCTTCGGTCAACAAGCACGGGTCACGGAGATGAATGTGAACTTATATACACACTAAGGGAGGATACCACGGGTTGATTTGTAGCCCTTGACGGCCTGGACCCTTCCCCCAGTCCGGAGAAATGTCAGGAATCAGGGTCTGACATGGTACAGTACGGTGATTTGCCTAGGTTCAGTATACGTAAAAGGAGGAAGATAGGAGCTCAACTGGCCGAGTACGTCGGCATATCGGCTTTTACCGAACAGGCCGATAAGAAAGGTGCAACGTGCGAGAGCTCGCCGTGTTACCAGCAGTTCGTAGACGAATGATAATTATTCGATGCATACAGCGGACGAGGAGAGTGTAACCTCGCCTTCGGAATGGTCGTTATGCGATCTTAGGACCTTCGGCGCCCCGCAAGTCGCGCACGCACAAGTTAGGTAGGTAGGTAGATTGCCGACGAGGTCCCGGTAGCGGAACAGTCGGTTGCTGCGCTGCACGTACGCCACTCGTGCAGTCGACAGCGTAACACAATCATATCGATGTCGCGGTCGGAATCAGAATATTTTTCTCTTCCGGTGCTTGTTCGCAGGTAAGGAATCTGGCTCTCTAATACACCCCTCCCGTCAGATGAAACACTTCCCAGATGCCACGGCTCACTGTCTTGCGTTTGCGTTGAATTCTTGACAGCGCGCGACTGACTGGCTGCAGACTGGCATGCGGTCGCATGTCAAGAGATCAGACCGAGAGTAGGTACGATCAGCATCCGTGAGTGCACAAGAGGCCACTATAGTGTGCATAAAAGGCGACGAGTCCCCAACGATTACACCAATCCGTCGCGACAAACTACTCACAGACTTCGCGCCCCTCACCCCGAACATGAGGACGATGCAGATCTTCGCTTGCACTGCTGTTCTCCTCGCCGCCGTCGGCTTTGTTGCTGCCGACCCGTTGTGTTGCACACCAACCCCGAGAGACGAAATCCCCAGCGCCTCCGATGTCCCTGCTGTCAGTCGCAGGTATCCTGGGGTATGCCCGATCTGCATTTGTTGTTGAAGAAGGTACGATCATTTCCAGCGCTCGTGCCAGGCAAACATACCCACGCCTATTTATCAGCACTATCATCCGCGACACATAAGGGTCATGGCCAGATCCCCCCGCACGACCTCTTTAGTTACAATGATCATTTTCAAGGTACTCATAGGATAGCTTGGCAGTCTCTCTTAGTGTACTCGCGTTCTTGTCGGCATTGTAATCGCTCGTCCGCGGTGCTCGCGTTGCTCTGCGTTTACTTGGGTTCCGTAGCTAGTCGACTCGCCATTGAAGAGCAACACTTTGATGCCAACGCTTTGCTTCTGAGCCAGGAGATCTAGATGCCGGAAACACGAGGAAGAGAATGAGAGTTAAAGTGGCATCCTGTGGCATCATGTATACATTCACGTGTAGATACACGCTGAAACGGGTGTCCCCGTAAGTCCCCCGTCCACATACTGTGATCTGCAGGATCCGCGTCTTGCATTCTGTTCTGGTATCCCGGTCTTCCGGCACAGACTTGCCCGCCATGCCGTTCACAACATATGCAGTGTATAACAACTTGATATCGATAGCATGCAAAACAACCTATCTAGATACAACTGAGGGTATAGGTACCACGGACTGCCTCAACCACATACAAATACAAAAGCCAGACAGGAGCAAAAATTAGAACATTGTAGTCAATGTGCCTTCCTCGTTGCTGCCTCCGCCCATGCCACGGGCATTCAGTCCGACACCATGCCTGCCAAACGTGAACCCGACCCAGACCCCGCGATTGAACGGTTCCTCCTTCTCGCGCACACGCTCAACGTTGCGCTGCTTCTCCTTGACTTCAGCATACTTGGCCATGTCCTCCGGACTCGTGAAATCGTCGTAGTAGCCCGTATCGATTTCGGAATCAAGCGCCGGAATGAACGGAGCTTGAATTGATCGAAGGTCCTTCCACTTTACGCCGGCAAAGAAGGGATGCTTTTCGATCTGCTCGAGGGAAGAGTAGCGAACGGAGGCGTGCGCGATGAGGCTGCACCCGAAGATAATTAGTTGATAAGACCTGAGATTCTGAATGCCTGAGAGTTGGGACACACCGGGTGACAGCGTCCCACGCAACATCACTTAAGTTAAAAATCAGATCCTCAGGTTTGTCGTACTCTGGCCGGCGAAGCACCTTCGTCCAGTTTTTCAGGTTCGTCCATGTTTCCTCCGGGGTACCGCCACTGAACGGCGGGAAGCCTGCCAAGAACTCGAACAGAATACATCCCAGCGACCAGTAGTCGACCGAGTAGGTGTAGGGTTTCCCGCGGAGGACCTCAGGGGCCATGTAATCCGGTGAACCGACGATCGAGTCGGCATAGCGAGCATCAGCTGCGCGCATGGATCGATAGATGGATCGCCGTTCGAGGGTTGAACGCTGAACTACTTCATTGTCTTTGACCTTGTCCAGCTAGGTATAGTGGTTAGCACGCTGTTGCACGACAATCGCAGGTAACGCAAACCTTGTCCTTCAGGTTATGAATCAGGCGCGGGTTGAGCGCTCCTGTGGCGAGACCGAAGTCGGTGAGCTTGACATGGCCGCTAGCATCAACTAGAAAGTTCTGCATGACACAGTGAGCAGATGGTAGATTTCGCAAAGTTGCGCAGGAAAGAGTTACCTCCGGCTTGAGGTCTCGGTGAATGTACCCCAACTTGTGCAGCTCGTTGACGCATGCAAACATCTCGGAGATGTAATACCGAGCGTGTTCTTCCTTCAGAACCCCTGAATTGTTAAGGAGAGTGCGAAAATCGCCACCTGGTACGTATTCCATGGCCAGATACACGTGTTCTGGGTCCTGAAAGGCGTACAATAACTTGACGAGCCACGGCGTTTGGGTCGCCCTGAGAATATCACGTTCCACAAGGACGTGACGGATCTGATGGGTCACTCAAGTGAACAAAGGAGTTCACTGCGCGATATAATGCGAGTTCACCTCGTCCATCTTCGCTAGCGTTCGCTTCCTCATCTTCTTCAGCGCGCAAACTTCGCCAGTCTCCTGTTTCCGAGCAAGGTACACTTCTCCATACCCACCCTGACCAACTTGAGCGATGATGTGGAATTGCTCGACTTTGAGTTTTGTGCGACGCTTGCGCAACACCACCCGTTCACGACCGCAGTATGACTTGAACTCCTTGGCGTATTCAGCAGAGGATACATTGCGAGCGGCGGTGGATGCGTCGAAGGCCTTTCGTCGTTCTTTGCGCGCTGAGATATACCCGAGGAGGTGAAAGTAGTAATCGAGGAAATCTAGAGGGAGCAATGAGGTAAGTGAATGCTCGTGATCGGCGTCGTAATGAACGATGGCCTTATGATCCGTCAACGCGCACAACAAATAGTTCAATTGCCGTGTAAGGAATGTGCATATAACGTGGCATGATTGGATAAATCACACCAAGGATGCTCACATAGTTGGGCAACTGTGGCCTTGCGCTTTACTTCTGGGCTATCGATCAACTCGCGTTCCCAGAGCTGAAAACCGCCAGGTTTGAGTGTTGTTCCCTGCCGTGCAGTGTCCATATAGATATCGCCGCCCATGGTGTATCCTTTGGCCGTGTTCATATGCACATCGTAGCCGCTGGGAGGAAGTCCCTTTGCGGTGTCCATGCGGACATCATACAGAGGATTCTTCTGATTAGGTAGCCCCGAGACGTCCTGTTTCTTCGCAGCAGCCATCCGAGTTGCGTTTGGGCCGCTTCAGTGGTTGGTTTGGGAGCGAGGACAGATCGATCGTCGGTGCCACGCCCCAAACCACGAGCGCGATCCGGTCACGTGGAGAACGCGTCTTGCCATGTCCCGCGTTAGCCGGACGCCTCATCTCAACCTCGCGACAGTCCTGACCCAGCAGAATCCACGAATCGACCTCAAGTTAGAACAACACGATAACGCGACAAACTTATTTCTGCGTGCAGTCGATGATTATGCGAATCGTGCTGCTGCCGAGATAATAAGGCGGAGAAACGAGCATGTTGATGAGACCAAACGCGGCGAGGAAGAAATGAAGCACATGGAAGCGGAGACGACTCAGTGCAAAGTGAAAGAAATTGAACTCATATCCGGTACGCTGATTAGCTGCACTGCGATCTCTTCCATATCGTTGATGTGTGGTCGCTCAGAACTGAGCCGTGAACAGGACGAGAAGAAGGAATCGGAAATGATTGTGGCTCAGCTGCGGCGCCAGCTCGCGTCGATCAAGGAGAAATGCATGCATCTGGATGAAGAAATTGGGCAACGCAGTGCGGTGACGTCCAATCTCCAACGAGGTACGTACAACTTCGTGTTCAGCCGTGGTAGCAATTTATCGAGTGACTCAGAGCAGAGCAACGAGCGACAACTGCTCGCAAGCCACGCTACCTCGCTTGAGCAGGAACTTGCGGATTTCGGACAAGTACTTGGTTGCTTCTGCGAGGGCATCGATTCCGATCAGCTGCTTTTCCGCTTTGCTGATGTTTACAAAGACAACGAAGCAAGCTTCGTCTTGGACGTTAGTGAGAGATCGTATCGAGGTACGGGGGCCCTGTTGGTTCTTCCTTGCCTTATCTTACCGACATGAATAGTGCTCACGTCGACGCCGCATCTACCGTCACTGCCTAACTTACTCGACGACCTGAACGAAAGTCGGGACCTCTTTGCGTTCCTCAAAGAGGTTCGGCTGGCCTTTGCTGAAATGCACTCGGGCAAGCAATGAGTCCCAGCCATACTGCCGAGAAAGCTGTGGTAGTTTCTGGATTTCATTATGCGGCTGGGAGATCTAGTCCCTGATTTATTCTTATTGCTTTGCCTCTCTGAGGGAATCAGCGATTCTTCCCGATGCGAGAAAACGAACATAATGTCACAATAGCGGTTTGAGCAAATGATGTACAACATATGTTGCAAGCAGCCATGGTACGAACACGAATGAACTAAATAACGGGGTAAATGATACATTTGGAACCTGAAAACAACTCAGGGGTAGGTCGTGATTGGGAAACTGGAACACTATACATAGGAAAAGCCCCTTTAAGAGGACTAAGGTTCTGAACAAGAGCACACACGAAGATCGTACCCAGGGTCGAGATCAAGGGTCTTGTGGACGGGTCGCAATGTCGAGAAGCAGATGCAGCCAATCGTGCTCTAGGAAACCTTTCCTTCGCATCTAGATTTAGCAATCCTCGGCAAGACGCTCAATTCAGCGCAGTTCTAGAAGTTTATTTCGTAATCCAGCCAAGGTAATCGGCCACAATCAGGGTCACCATCCTATCACCATGCTGTTAAAGATCATATCCGATGAGAGAACATTTGGACTCACGCATGAGGCGCAATGCGGACGTAGTATGTTCCAAAGCCTCGGTAGAACCGTAGCAAGCCTTCATCACGCGCAACTTTCCGGAAACAGTCGAACATGGACTTGTATGGCAAGGAGCCATCGGAACGCTACCAGCAGATCGTCCTCAGTAATAGGGGGGTGTCATGACAGTAACCACGTACCTTGGTCTGCTTCTGGAGCCTATGGGTATCGGCGTTGAGTATGAATAGTGCCATATCAGAACCGGCACGTACCTCGTCTTCACAAAATCGAAGGGTAAGCTGAAGAAGCTCGCAAAGAACCCAGCGATGGCTGAGGCGGCCAGAGTTTGGGTCTGCGGGCTTGCCAGCCATGACCCCTTTTCCGGGAGGCCGTACCGGGCACGAGTGCGATTCAACTCGTGAAGACGCCGCTCCTTGGGAGTCATGCTAGACGGCTCGACGCTCTTAGAAGCTTGGCTTTCTGCGAGCTGTTTGAGACGCGTCTTCGCTTCAGAGAAGAACGCGAGTTGCCCGAAGTTCAGCGCCATTGCGCGTACAATGGTCGGCGTGCAACCTGCCCAAAGGGCTGTAATGCCTTCGTTTCGGGAGATGCGAAGCAACGCGTCGAATACGCCTTTGTAATTGGCTCTACATGCGACAGATCAGCAATAGTCCCGTGTCTTCAAGGCTAAAGATGATCAAACCTTTCCCCAGCCGGTTTGAGTCCGTCGCTCTGCATCCGGATGAGAGCGAGATCAGCAGGATTCCCAACCATCGCAGCGAGGCCACCAGCCGCCAGACCCGCCAGAGCGCGCTCTCCAAAACCGATCCCAGCCTTCGATGCATCAGAGGTGTTATTGGCAGCGGCCCGAGCTGTAAGGGCGTTCATAAACGTGTCAAAAAAGCCGAGCCGTGCTGTGGTGTATACGGCCTGCCGGAGCAGTCCCGCGCTGAGGCCGGTGTACAAATCGAGGACTTTGCCAGCCGCAACGATTTCGCGGGCGATGCTAAAGGGCGTGGGCCGGGTCACCGCCATGGCACCACCGGTTGCGACCGAGTCCGCCGCTGATCCCGCTAATTGTAGTCGAACCTTCACCATGTCTATGGGCTGTATTATGGCGGTTGCTGTCATGCCTGCCAGGCCTCCGTTGATGAATGGCAGAGCAACCCGAACGAATGGCGTATGCAGCCAGTCCTGCTTGAGGGACGACGGCGGGGTGCTCATGGTGAGTCACAGAAGGGGGGAAGAGAGAGGAGGAGATACAAGGGTTCGTTTTCGAACCCTCAAGGTTGATATGGCTAGTGTGACGAGAATGGAACCCCTCGTGAGAGATCGAGACAGGAGGTCAAGGGGTTCGGACACTTACCACCGCGAGCGTCAAGCAATACATTGACGGAAAGCGGGTCTCCGCGCAACCGCTTGCCATTAGAGCGAGAGTCATCATAACCATACACTTCCTGCATGATCATCTAGCGGGTGCAGTGCCTTGCATACAGAATATCCTCTTGTGCACATTAAGTTGAAGTTCGCCACGGCCATGGGGCAGACATAGGATGTTATGCAGGAGCTCAAGCTGCGCAGCAGCTGGGCTGGGACCTGGAAGTCGCGTGTGCCGTCATGAGACCTGAGGCCGGAACGAGTTGGTACGGAAGAGGTGCAAAGCTTAACTCTAAGTGGGGTTCCTTTCCTCTTACGAGTCTGACTAAGCGGGTTGCACGGCAATTGGACGGTGTAAAGCATCCACTGTTCTCTTGCTCGAGCGACTCGGAAGCTGGCGGAGGCGGGAGTTTTGAGGGCTGTTATTGGACAAAAACATGGACATGTATGGTGCTCACTGATTCGCATCGATGTGCATCGATGCTGGCCAGTGACAGTAGTGCCAGAGCAGTGCTCATCGATGCTGGCACCGTGCTGACCAGTGTCAGCCATTTCTGGATGGCCATCGTCGGTGTGCTGTCCCAAATGCGGGCACTGATGCAGATGGACATCATATTCATCACACTGTTCCTGCATTGATCTGTCTTTGGCAAGGCACTGTTTTTTTTCTCTTGCAGTCAGTGCCAGATTGTAGGAAGTATGCGTAAGGGGCGAGGCGGGTGGTGGCGGTGTCATGATGCGCCTGTGAAAGCTGCGCTGCCGCACACAGTGGCGGGCGACATCAAGCTCACCTGGTTGAGTCTGGGTAAGTCTCAGTCTGTGGAGGACAGAAGTAAAGCGACTTGTATTGCAACGCTCAGACAGGCCTGTATATATACTACAGAGAGTGGCTATGCGGTGCAATCACATGCTAAGCTATAGAACAATAAAGAAGGCTGTGGAACGTAGCAACGCACAGCCTATTGTGTCAGAAATAGATACAGCTGTGCCGAGGACGGCAGTCAAGGCGGGCTGTGCCAGCGCCTGTGAATCGGTGGCTGTAGAGCGCCAATTCAACACTCCCCCTCGCTGAGTGCAACGGTAGGCACGTAAGCGGATATGGCGCAAAAATGCAGCCACAGGGAGGATGACGGTTTCAACCGAACACTAGGCCCAGTTGTGACCTGAACTTGAGGAACTTTTCATGTCCTAAGTTCTTGGTGAACATGTCTGCGGGGTTCTCAGAACCTTCGATGTAGAACAGCTCAAGCTCCTTATTGACGTGCTCTCGAATGAAGTGGTATAGCACATCAATATGTTTGGAGCGGCG